CTAAACCCTATGGCCTTACATAGTAGGGCTTTATGTAGGGCTTGGGGCGGCTCGCAATTACGGGACCTTGAGTTGTACGTGAAATCTCTGTGGACTGGGGGCTGGATAGGGGCCGGGCGGGCGGGTTGTTCCGGCGTGACCGAGTGGTGTTGACGGCTCTGCGTGTACCGTACTCCCGCGTCGCCCGTAGTCCCCCCTTGGTCGTTGGTCGTGGCCCACGTGTCTGCTGACATACCCTCACCCCGCAGGAGGCGGCAGCGCTGGGGCCGCCGCTCTTTGCGCTGTGTCACCACCCCGCCCCCCGGGTCACCCAGGGCGCCGCGCTGCTGATGCGCGCAGTGGCGGAGAGCGGCGCGGCCGCTGCGGCACCCATGCGCCAAGCGGCATTGAGGCACGGTGCCGTACTGCACCACCTGCACGCCGCGCTGTTTGCCGCGGCGGCTGCAGCAGCGGCCGCCGGCGGCGGCGGTGGCGGTGGCGGCAGCAGCGCCCCGGCAACGTGTACGGCGAGCGGAGACGGCGGTAGTGCTTCCGGACGGCAGCAGCTGGGTCGCGCGCTGGTGGCGTCCTGGTGCGACGAGTACGCTCCTGCGCTGGCGCTGCTACGCAGGTGGGGGTATCGGGTGGTTCGGATGTGAGCCCCGGCGAGTGGGATATCCCCCTGGAGGAGTGCGGTTGCCCTCCTTGTTGGGGCCCCTCGCTGTGTGCGAGGCAGTAGGCTGCTGCCGGGATAGCACTGCTTGATAGGCGCGGGCTGGCGCCTAGGGACATGGGCCCCGCAACGATGTGAGAGCTGTGAAGGGTGCCACAGGCATATGACGGCTTGGGTGGGTGGGGATGGGGATGGGGACAAGTGGGACTGTCATTTGGGTGAACTCTCACGTGCGGCCGCATCCGCCGCTCAACCCCGGCCTTCCAGGATATTCCCGCCGGGGCTTGTGCGCTACCTCAACTCGCCGCGTGTCAGTGGCGGAGGCGGCGGTGCCGGAGGAGGTAGGTCAGCAACCGGCACCTCTGCGGCCGCGGCTGTACACCCTACGGCGGCCGCCATCGCCACCGGCGGCGAGGTTGCGGCCGTGGCGGCTGCGGCGGCGCCACCGCCGCTGCCACCGCAGCTGCAGCGCTCTTCTGCCAACGGCATCGGCGACGGTTCCACTCCATCACCTTCCCCCGCGGTTGCTGCGCCGGGTGTTGCGCATGTGGGGTCTCCGCCCGGGCTGCACCCAGGGCTAACAAGCCCTGTGACGCCGGCCGCCGCCGCCGCGTCCACCATCGGGATTCTTCCCACATCCAGCACTGCCGCCGCCGCCAGCACATCATTCGGCCTCAAAGGCAACTGGGAGGCGTTTTGGGAGGCGGCCATGCGGGATCATTGCCACGCAGGCCTTATATGGCACGCAGGCTGCCGCCAGGTGCGATATTGGATTGTAGTGGGGTGTGTATGTATGTATGTATGCATGTGTTTGTGTTCATTACGTACTCCGGAGCTAATCGCTTGAAGCTAAGGAAGGATCAGTTCGCGGAATGGGGTCTCGCCGCAAGGCCCAGTTTGCTTATGAACTCTGAAGGACCTGCAGTGTGAGCCGCACGGCAACACGGCAACGAACCGTCCAGTTGGAGCTGCTCTCCTCGTCGTACAGCACCTTTCCTGCGGACGTTAGAATCCGCTTCACCTGCTGTTTGCCCTCCTCCATCTTCCCACATGCCTCCTCCGTCAACCCCTCCTCGCCTCCCCCCTCTTCCTGCGCGCTGCAGGAGCTCCGTGAGGCCCTGGAGCGTGAGGAGGGGGGACTCAGGTGAGATGGGGTGGACGGACTGGGAGCCGGCGGGAAAACGTGTGAATATAAAAACCCTGGCGAAGCTGGAAGACGGGAAGCTGGTGGTGATGGTGGTGGCGATGCGCATGGCGCGGCACCCCCCGGTGCGACCTTGCGGTTCCACTTCCCCCACCTTACACACCTTATCACCCATCTGGCCGCGTTCTGAGTGGACATAACCCTTCTCTCCATTTCCAAAGGCAGTTTTGGTGCTCATTTCTTCATTGGTCGTCGACAGTCAACAACTCTTTCCCCTAAAATTCCGTCCCTCTACGATTACCCCGGTCCCGGAGCTGAGCTGCAGCTGCAGCTTCCGCGTCCGGGGCCGTACGGATGCCATTGACACCATGAAAGTGGCCATGAAGGGTGAGGGGCACACGGCGCTCGTTCATTCACCTCATCGATTCGCCTCGCCTTGACGTGCCCTGACGTGCCTTGACGTGCCTTGACGCATCGCGCCCTCTTTTTTCCTGCTTTGTCTTCGGCGATATCAGGGCTCGTCGGCAGCAGCTTGGTGGCGGCGGCGGTGGCGGCCTGCAGCTGGGCTGGAACTACGAGGAGTTCGGAGTGACCTACCCCAGCTTGTCCAAGCACGTCGTGGTGGGGGGCATTTACGTGCGGCTGCTGCTGGAGGGGGCGGACACCGGTGCGGACTGGCTGGCGGGGTGCCCGCCGGGGGGCGAGTGTCTAGCGGTGTGTGGCTGTGTGGGAGGTGGCTGATGGGTGATGAGGTCGCCGGTGTGCCGCCGCTGGGAAATGGGTTTTGAAGGGGGGAGGGCACCCAAATAGCTCCCAGAGTACCCGTACAGTCCCTCTCTCGTCCGTTCTGCTTCCCTCTCCTCCCTTAGCCTTTCCGCCGTATCCGAAACCGCCCGTTTCCCCCCCTCACGGGGTCCCTGACCCCTCACACACACACACCCTACACAACACAAACGCGTCCCGACTCGCTGCCGCCCTGCCCACAGCCGCCGTCAGCAAAGTACCGCAGCCACGGGACCTGTTCAACTCGCTCCATCAAGCCTTCCTCTGCGCGGCCGACCCGGTGATCCAGGACTTGTCTCCCGCCGCCACGGGCACCGCAGCTGCCGCTGCTGCTGCTGCTGCTGCTGCGGGCTCGCCACACACAGCATCTTCGCCCTCAACAGCAGCTGCGGCCGCGGCCGCGGCAGCAGCGGCGGCTGACCAGGAGCTGTGTGCGCGAGCCATGGCCGCCGTGTACCACGCCCATGCCGGGGCCATAGGGCCCGCCGACGGCCTGAACCACCTGGTCCGTGTATTGGACTACACCCCCCGGCGGCCGTTGCGCCACGCGTTGTTAGAGCTGGCGGCGGCGCTGCTAGCGCCGCGCTGCCTGACGGCGGCGGCCGCTGGTACCGCAGCCAGCGGTGCTGCCTCCTCCGTAATCAGCCCCGCCGCGCGGGCGGTGCGGGCGAACAGCTACGCCTTTATGGATGCTGGTGGACTGGAGCTGCTGACGGATGTTGTGGCGTATGCGCACACGGGTGGCGCAATGGTGGAGGGTGGCGGTGGCAGTGGATCCGTAGGCATCGCCGCCGCGGCCGGCGTGTGGGGCGGTGGCGGTGGCGGCGCCTCCGCAGCGGCGCAACGGCAGCAGCAGGTCGGCGCGCAAGCGGGCCTTATGCTGACATCCGTGGGGCACGAAGACATGCCCAAGGAGTGGTACTTCTATCCGCGGGGTGTGCTGCCGCCAGCTGCGGCGCCGCCGCCGCCAGGTGACTTGCTAGGAGACGAGGTTCCCGTCGCGGCGTCGCGTCCGCTGCCCGCGACTGCCGCTGTGCAGGCGTCGGATTCGGACCCGCTGCTGGGCCGCAAGCCTGATGAGACCGGGCGAGCGGGCCCGTACACGAGGGACGAGATACGGCAGCTGGTGGCCCGTGGGTCGGTCGACATGGGCACGCTGTGTTGGGCCAACGACATGCAGCGTCCTGAGCCGCTGGGTGCCATTCGAGAGCTGCGCTGGATGCTAGCGACAGGTGAGCGGCAAGCAGCGGCATTCCAAAAATTCAAACTTGCTGATGTCGACAGCCGGGCAGCCACCGGGTTTGGATTTATAATTCATAGAAATCCCGATCCGTATTGTGTCCTGTGAATAGCCCCCGCCCCGTCCGGTCGACCCCTTGCTTCTTGCATGTGATTAGCCTGCGGTCCTCCCTTTTTCTCACCCTTGCCGCCGCTGATTGATGCAGGTCCCGGCCGCTTTAGCCCGTACTCGGCCGCCGAGCTGGCGCTACAGCTGCTGCAGCGCTTGCTGGAGCTACAGCCTGCCGTGGACGAGGAGGAGGGGTTGGTGCTACAGCCCTTGCCACGTGCGTACCGCCTCCTGGCGGGTCCCCGTTGTCTGCCACACCTGTGTCAGGTGGGCCCCGCAGCGGGAGGGGGGTTGGGCGACGTGGTGTGCGTGTGTGCGTGTGGGTGGGTGTGCGTGTGTGCGTGTGGGTGGGTGTGCGTGTGTGCGTGTGTGCGTGTGTGCGTGTGTGTGTGTGTGCGTGTGTGTGTGTGTGTGTGTCTTGGGGGGGAGATGCCCTTGTTGCAACTAGGGCGGGAAGGGCTCTGTAAGGAGGGCCCCTGCAGGCGTTACGTGCGGCTACCACCCCTTACCACAGACGTGGCCCCTGTTTCCTCTTCCTCCTCTCTAGGTCCAACCTCCGACAGCGTTTCGTCTCTCACCCTCCTACACGTTCCATCACACTCATCCGCCCGCCCATTCCTCCCTCCACACCGTCCACCACCCGGGAGCAGGTTACGCTCTCGTGCGAGTCTACACATGCACTCAGCTAACCACGTACACGAACATGTACCCCGCGCTCCCAGACCTTTTAAGGAACTTGCAGCCACTCGCAGCCAGTTACAGCCAGTTGCAGCCAGTTGCATGCCCCCCCCCTTTTCACCCCTTCAGGCCCTCCTCACCTTCCACCCGCCCATCGTGACCTCTAGCTGCGAGCTGTTGCACACCCTGCTGGGCCCCCACCCGGACGCCCTGGCCCGACTGCACCTCACCGGGGCCTTCTACTTCGCACTGGCCTACCCCGGGGCTGACCTCTCGGCTCCCGCGCGCCTGCTGCACAGGTAGTCTAGGCTGTGCCGCTGTTGCAGATGTGCTCCGACTGGTGCGTCCTGATGTGGCTGATTTCCAGGTGCTCATCCCTTTCTCTTCTCGCTTTCTCTTTCTCTTTATGGAGGAGGAAGAACGTCTGTGTGCGCTTTGCTGGTGCTTGCCTGCCGCCCTCCGGTTGTCTGTCTGCTGCTCCGCTTCGATAGCTCCTTGCCGTGTGCGGTAGAACTGACTTTCCATCTTACTCCTTTTGCTTCACTGCTGTTCCGACGACAGCTGCCTGCGGGCCCTTGACTGCCCTGCACTTCACATGCACGCGTCACGTGATGTTTACGTCTTGAGTATGTATGTCGGTGTCGGGGGGCCACCCGCAGGGCCCACCTGGCGCAGGACTTCGCGGGCCTGGCGGGCGGTGCCGCCGCGGCGGCTGGACTGCCGCTTCGTCAGCGGTCGTACCTGGGCCATGTACTGCCAGAGAGCTTGCTGTACGTATTGGAGACTCGGGGACCGGACGCCTTCGCGGCTGCGCTGTGCGGTAAGCAGCAGCAACAGCAGCAGCAACAGCAGCAGCAACAATGGCATCGGCGACGGGTGTGGAGGCGGCAGTGATAACCCAGCCGGCAGCCGCCAGCTAGTGGCTCCGATGCCTTCGTGGCGTACTGTCCCCTGCTCACATTAGGAGGCGCTTGTCTCTTCGCTATCTCAAAGTCCGGATTGAGCCTCTTACCTTTCCACCCTCGCCCTCTACCTGCCTCTCCTTAACTAGACCCTCCCATTCGGGGCTCCCCCCGTCATCCCCTTCGGGGAACACTTAAGTCCCCCCCGTCGCCCTTCCCCCGGCGCAGGCGACCATGACACTCCGGAGCTCATCTGGACTCACGCCATGCGCCGCGGCCGCCTGCTGCCCGCCCTGTCCTCCCACCTGGGTGATCTACCCCTGCGCCTGACCCAGAGGTGCGCCGCCACGTGGGACTACTCGCCCCTACCCCCGCTGACCTACCCCGAGCTGGAGGGGGAGCTGTACTGCCACCGCTACTATCTGAGGCATCTGGCGGATACGGTGCGCTTCCCCACGTGGACCCTGGTGGACCACGTGCCGCTGCTGCAGGTGGGAGGAGGATGGGGGGAGGAGGATGAGGAGGGGAGGATGAGGGGGGAAGTGCCCGGATGTCTCCCTCCCGCTCCTTTCCCGTATCCTTGTGTGCCCGAGCCGTTCTCGTTTCTCTTTATGTCCCACCGCCATCACCACTCTCACCACCATCACCGCCGCCGTATCGCAGTCTTTGTTGGCGGAGTGGCGGGGGGAGCTGGCTCGGCAGCCGCTGTCGCTGAGCGAGGCGGATGCGTGCGCGGTGTTGGGGCTGCGACCCACGGGTCAGCAGTGCGACGGCGGGGCCATAGGCGAGGAGGAGCTGCGGAGGGCCTATCGGGCTCTTGCCAGGTGAGGTCCACTGGAGGCAACGTGGGCTGCGGGGCCCCCTACCTACCCCCTGCCTGCCTGCCTGCCTGCCTGCCTGGCTGGAAATCGCCCGCGCGGTTCTGTCGGCATGTATTGTGTGTTGTGCGCCAAAGTGTTCTCAGATAGCTGCCTCTCAGCCTGGTCTCCTCCGTGGTCTATTCCTTCGAGAGGACGCTCATGCGCCCAGAAACCACCGCGAAAGCTCGTCCGCCATATCAGCTGTCGATATCCGTTGTCGTTCCGCCTCGCCTTTGGCGCTGCCCTGCACCAGCAGGTCCGCACCACCCGTAACCCCCCTTCCCCGGGCCGCAGGAAGTACCACCCGGACAAGAACCCCCAGGGGCGGCCCATGTTCCTCAAGGTGGGGCCGGGGTTGGGGTTGGGGCCGGGGCTGCGATGGAAACCAACAACGGCGTGTACCTCCGCGGGACGTGCTGATGATGATTTCCGTCCGCAGTCAGTTTCGTTTTGTTTTCTTTTGTTTTTGTGTCGTGTGTTTATCCTGTGTGTGTGTTGTGTGTTTTGTGTGTACTCGTGCTCCTGTGCGCTTTGTTACTCGCGTCCACGTCCATGTTTCCACGCGCCAACGTAATCCCCCCTCCCCGCCCACCACCCCATCACCCCGCCGACCGGCAGATCCAAGCTGCGTACGAGCGGCTGCAGGCGGGTGTAGCCGGGGGGGCCCAGGGGCCACAGCCCTGGCGCATCCTCCTGCTGCTACGCGCCCAATGCGTTCTGTACGGCAGGTATGGCAAGGAGTTGGCGCCGTACAAGTACGCGGGGTACGGCCTGCTTCTGGACACGATCCGCAGCGGCACGGCGCGCGGCAGCACTGCCCCCACCGCCCCCACCCCCACCCCCACCTCAATGGGCTCTGAACAGAAGGGCGGCCCCGCGTCAGGTACGGACGGCAATACCCAGGCCAGGGCAACTGCGGCTACTGCTACTGCTACTGCTACAGCCTACTCCGCGGAGTCCTCCCCCGCCACCTCTGGAAGCTTCTTCTCCAGTGAAGTACTGGACCAGGTTGGTGGCAATGAGCACCAGGAGGTGGTGGAGGGAAGCGGGGAAACAACAACGGCCGTCTTGCTGAGTGGGGCGGTGTTCGCCGTGGTCGCCATTCCACTCCACTGCTCGAGTAGCTCGGGGGGCCCCGTTACCGAACCCCCACATGCCTGGGTGCTCACCACTTCAATCTGTTATGGTGAAGACCCCCCTCGCCGCGATGACTACTAGCCGAGTTATCACTGGTCGGTAATTTCCTGATACAGTATGTATGTATACCTGTCTATTCCTGCGTAGCAGTATCCGTCTATCTCTTGAGGTATCAGCTGCACCACTCGTGTGTGGTTCGTCTTACCCACCCCCCTTCACCCTCGCTCTCCCCCTCCCACCCCACCCCCACCCCTCGGTGTTCACCCGCCCCTCACTGGGTGCGCGTGTGCCTCCCCCCCCCCGCAGGTGAGCAGCGCCGCCCAGCTGTGCTGGCTGACGGTGCTGTCCTGCCGCCGTAACGCGGAGGAGCTGGCGAGGTGCGGCGGAGTGGGGGTGCTGGCGGAGCTGCTGTCAAGGTACGTGCGTGAGTGTGTGAGAGGGAGTGTGTGAGAGGGAGTGTGTGAGAGGGAGTGTGTGAGAGGGAGAGTGTGAGAGGGAGAGTGTGAGAGGGAGAGTGTGAGAGGGAGAGTGTGGATAGCGGCTCCGCATGGGTGGATGGGTGTACGAGAATAGATGGGTTGGCGGTTTGTGTAAGAGGCCTGGTGGCGGCTGTGTGACTGTGTGGGCGAGTTAGGTTCCCATGACTGCGTCTGTCTTGTCCTGGCTTGCTGGCTGGCTGGCTGGCTGGGAGTGAGAGTGTGCGGGCAGGCGGCTGGGCGAAAGCGGCGCCTCGGTGGTAGCGGATGATGGCATCCATGGTTTTGTAGTTTGCGGTGGTGTCAGGGGCAGCGGGCTGATGCGACAGGTCATTGCCGTACATTGACGACCTCGGGGTGCCATTGGCATCCGACCACAGGGCCATGGGTGTGCTGCCGCTGGACGCCGCGCCGACGGACCCAACCGCCGTCGTCGCGACCGCCGCCCTGCGCTCCTTGGCGGGCCTGGCGGCGGTGTTCGAGGCGCGGGCCGCCTTGGCGACGACGCTGGGATCGGCGTCGCCGTCAGCGCCCGCCGCCGCCGCCGGGCTGTGCCGCGACCTGATCCGTTGCTGTCGCCTGACGCGCTGCCACGCCGCTGTCGATGCGGCCCTGGTAGGTCTGTCGTACATGGCGGCTGCGCCGGAGCTGCAGGCGGCGCTGCTGCGCTGTGGTGTGCTGCAGGCGCTGGTACCGCTGGTACTGCAGTACGACAACACCCTTCCCAAAGATGTGCTGGTACGTGAAGAGGCTCCGTGCGGGGGGGGAGAGGGAGGAAGGGGTTGTTGTTGGTGCATGTCCGCCCGCGGGCTACTGACCTCGGTTCTCTCAACCACCCTCGCTAAGCCCCTCCCGGCCCCTCCCGCAGGCGGAGTACCATCTTAGAGCCGGCCGGCCTCCCCCTCTCCCAGGGTACCTTGCGGCCCTCGCCTCTACCCCTACCTCTACCCCTACCTCTACCCCTACCTCTACCCCGACCCCAGCCCGCTCCACCCTCCCCCTGCTACATCGTTAATTTCGGACTCCACAGGCAGTTGGTGGGGCGTTAAACGTCGGCCAGCAGTCGAATCTTCGCTGCTTCTTTTTCGTCTGCTTGTCTTATCGCATGACTCCAACTCTCACCTCTTGCCCGTTCTGTTCTCTTGACACGCAACATCCGGCGCGTGCCTCGGTGAAGTTATTTATTGTGCGGTTCCCCCCCCTGGAGGCCATTTCTTCCTGGCGGCTCAGATCATAAACACACACGCACACGCATCCCGATACGTATCTCCCCTCTCCCCCTGCCCCAACCCGCAGTCCACTCCCCTCTCCCCCTGCCCCAACCCGCAGTCCACTCCCCTCTCCCCCTGCCCCAACCCGCAGTCCACTCCCCTCTCCCCCTGCCCCAACCCGCAGTCCACTCCCCTCTCCCCCTGCCCCAACCCGCAGTCCACTCCCCTCTCCCCCTGCCCCAACCCGCAGTCCACTCCCCTCTCCCCCTGCCCCAACCCGCAGTCCACTCCCCTCTCCCCCTGCCCCAACCCGCAGTCCACGCTGGCTCCGCCATTCTCGGGTCCGGATGACTCGGCCACACTGCCGCTGCTGGCCCTACCTGAGGACGCACCTGCGCGCTGCAGTACACCGGCAGCTAGGTCGCTGCATGCAGTGCTGGCGGCGCAGGTGGGCTCTGGGGGTGGGAGGAGGGGGGAGGAAGGGGGAGGAAGGGGGAGGAGGGCAGGGCGCGAGGGGACCCCCGGCTGGGGTCCCTCCCGGTCAGTCCGAGGAGTGCGGGTGGTGCCCGGGTGTATGTACGGGTGTGGGGGGATTGGGGAAAGGGAGCTTGACGGACTGACGTGCTGTGCATTAGGTGGGCGCGACGACCTCCAACGCAGCGTCCCTCCTCTCTCTGTCGCTCTCTTTCCCTCTCCCTCTCTGTCCTGACGGCACGCACACATGGTTTTACCACGTCGTATCGTGTGAACTACAAGCACAACTGTCTGTGCGGGGTCTTCCAGCCCACCGGTTCAATCGCCCTGCGCCGCCATCCATTTCCCTTTTCACCCTCGTCCTGGGTCCGCAGGCTCTGTCCCGACTGGCCGGTCTGCTCCCCCCGCCCCACGCCACCCCGTCCTGCCCCCCCGCCTGCTCCGCGCTGGCCGCCATGCTCACTGAGCCGCTGGCCACCCGCCTGAGCGACCCCGACCCCAGGCCCTTGCTCGGGGTGCTCAGCGGCACACATGAGACGTGTAGAGTGGGTTGGGGAGCTGGGGTGGGGTGGGGGTTGGGGGTGAGGAACAAATACGAAAAACACGTTGGGCTGGGGCTGGGGTGGCTGCTTCACTATCCTTGCGGGGAAAGCCGGGTCGTGAGATCAGGAGTGGTGGTGGGGAAATGGGAGGGATGGGAGGGTGGAGGGTGAGGGAGCCTGGGCGCTTCTTGCGTAACCGCCTCTTTCCCCTCGCGACGTTGATGTCCCCTCCGCGTGGCACCCCCCTTTTGGAGCCATTAGTGGGACGTTTTTACGAGAATGAACACACGCAAACACACAGGAGTCCACAACCCTTGCATGCATACATGCATACGTAGCTACACACACCGCTTGCGGGCGCACGCCTGTGTGTTATTGCGTGGTGGCGATCGCCGCTGCCACAGGTCATTTGGAATCCCGCCATGCGGGAGGAGCTGCTGGCCTTCCTGGAGCACTCCGCAACACCAACGACACCGCCACCACCGCCCACCCAACAACGGCACAGCGGCGTTGAGCACCCAACCACCCACAAGGATGCGCACACGGAGGCCGGCGGCAGGGTGGCGTCAGCCCCCGGCGGTGTCGTTGCTATCGGCAGCAGTCACAGCGGCGGCGGTGATATGTTGTCCGGTCTTTGCTCCTTCGTGCACAAGTCCCTGGCGGGGGAGCTCGTCGTGGGCGGGGTGTTCGTTCGGGTCTTCAACGAGAGGCCCTCGGAGCTGCCCCCCGACCCGCCCGCGTTCTGCAAGGCGCTGGTTCGGTGAGGGGTTGTTTAGGGGGGGGTGAAAGAGGAAAGAGAGGGCGAAATGGAAGAGTGGAAACTACTGTACGGTGATATGAGGTCTGTGATATGGGGGTGCGGCGCCGCCTTGATGCTTAGAGTGGTGGTGGGTGCTAAGACGCCCCCCGGGATGGGGGGAAGGGGGAAATTCGGCCATGGCGGTGATCGTCAGCCCCTCTTGTGCGCAGTCCTTGCTGCCATGCATTCAGATGCGGGTCCTCACCGGTGCACTCTGTCCTCTGCCGGCTACGCTCTGCCGTCTGCGAGGGAGGCGCTGGGGCTCCTTCCCGCCATACGCCCCTCTACCTGCACCATACATCACCCTCCACCGCCCCCACAGCACGTGACTCTGTCACGTCCTCTTTACCCACTCCCTACCGGGATCCACTACCTCCAGCTCTTCCGCTAGAGGGTATCTCCGCACCAAAACCCGGACCGCTACCATTGCAAGATTCCGTTTCTCGAACCTGTATCACCACCTGCTAACCACCCGCTGCCGACTGCTCTACCTCTACCTGGAGGCTTTTGTGGATGGACACCTGCAGGCTGCCCATGACCGTATTTTTTCCCTGCCTCCCCCTGTCTCCCCCGTGCCTCCAGGTACCTCTTCGACGCGCTGCTTCCGCTCCCCCCCGGCTCCCTCCCCGCTTCCGCCTCCCTGCCGGCCGTACTGGCCGTCCTGGCCGCCTCCGCCCGGCTGCTGGATGGGGAGCCCCGGCTGCTGGGGGTGCTGGCGTCCAGATCCGCGCTATCCCCGTTCGTGGCCTGTCTGCAGCCCGCTGCCTACCAGGCCCTCATCAGCCCACACCTGGAGCCACACCTGCATCAGCCGCAGCCGCAGCCGCAGTCGCAGCCGCAGCCGGCGGCACATGCACAGGAGGGAAGTACCGGGGAACCGGGGGACGGCACCACCAGCGGCGCCGGCGGCGCCGGCGGAGGCGCTGCGGACAGTGGTAGCGGTGGTGGTGGTGGTGCTGGCAGCGGAGGAGAAGAACCAGTGGTTGGGCAGCAGCAGCAGCAGCGGCAGTCACCCTCCGGGTCTCAGCAGCGGTACTGGGCGGACCGGCTGGCGGTGGCTGGCATGGCGCTGCTGTCCCGGGCGGCACAGCACAGCGGCTGCCTGGAGGTATGGGAGGGAGACTGGGAAGTAACCGTAGGGCTGCGGGGTGGGGTGGGGTGGGGGATGATAGTTTTTCAACCACACGCCCTACGCGGCCCCGCCCTCGCTGCATTTCCGAATTCCACATCTCCAGCTGGCGCCCTCGCCTCTGTTTTCCCCGGGGGCCCTGCTTTTAGTCCATCCCATCCTGGAAGCAAGAGGGAACTATTGTGATTGGGTGTTGGCCCCCCGCCGGGCCCATGCCGACCCATGTCCCCGGAACCGCAGGCCTTTGCTGACGAGCACTGCGCGCGGCTGCTGTTCTGGCTGCTGCACCGGCCGCCCTCCCTGGAGGCCATGACGGCGGCTCTGCGGCTGCTACGTGCGGTGTGCGGCCAGGCGCCGTGTGCGGCTGTTGCGGCGCTCCAGGGCGGCTGGCTGTACCTGCTGGAGGTCCTGCTGCACAGAGGACTCAGGCCCTGGCAACAACAACAACAACAACAACAACAGAAAGAGGAACTGCAACAACAGCAACAGGGTTCCGGTGCTGCAGGGGCGGGGGCAGGGGGAGGGGCAGGGGCAGGGGCAGCAATGGTGGGAGCTGGTGGTGTGGGAGATGGTGGGGTCCGGGCCGGTGCGCTGGAGGCGGCGGCGGAGGCCGCAGCGGCGGATGAGGCGCGCGGGGAAGCAGCGGCGCTGCTGGGCCGGCTCATGGCGCATGCGACCCATGGGTCATTGATTCAACTGTCGCTTCAGCGGCTACTGCCCCCGGGTCTGATCGCGGCCATTGCGGACGGGCCGCCGGCGGTGGTCCTGCAGGTACGGTTGCTACTGCTGCCGTTGCCGCTGTTCCGTTGAGGACCCCCCGCCGCCTCGTGCCCCGCCCGACCTTCGTCCTAAAACATTTACGGCCTTTCACACAGTCCCCCGGGGTTCCCTCCTGCATCCCAGCGCCTAGGCCTTGACCTTGTCATTGGCTTTGCCATTCATGTCCTACCGACCGGACATTGGCATGAGATTGGCCTGGTAATCAACCCCGGTGCCTTCCCCGAGCCTGAGCCTTAATCCGCCCCCGTCCTACCCGGATCGGCCACCATGCGGCCCCCCAACCACCTTTCGCAACAAGACGCCGGCAGTTCATTCCTTGCATATGATCCCACGCCCGCACCCAGGCTCTCACGCAACGTGTTGAGACACCCGAGTGCATCTGGGACGCGGAGATGGCTTGCAACGCGGCCACACAGGTAGCTATCCGTCCCCCTGTTCCCCCGGGGAGAGGCGGGAAAGAGAGAGGGGTGTTGTGGGTTGTGTGTGGGTTTCACACGATGGGTCTCACGACGTGCCCGGGTCAGATGCGGGGATGGGGCAAGTGCGTGTTGATTAGGGCTTGCAGGAGGGGAGTGGAAGGGGGGAACAGCTTACGGACAGGAGGAGTTGCGGTTCTGCTTGGGAAAGAAGCTCAACGACCAACTGCTTCGGCACGTGCAAGGCCGCTGGGTGAAGGCGAGGCCCCGTGCACGTGACCTGCACCTCCCCAGGACTGCAGCTCCTCACGGGGAGGTTTGTCTGTCGGGATGTCCGTATCCATTTGGTCCCTTCCGAATTTTCTATATCAATCTTTCGGTGGTCTCTTCCATCAGTTTCCCGCTCCCCGATTTCTCTCCCCCCCTCCCGGCGCCCCCCCGACGGCCCCTAGGTGGCTGTGCTCGCCTCGCAACTTCGCTCTCGCCAGGCGGAGGGTCAGTACGACTGGGCTCTGCCGCCCGGCGCCGCCGTACAGTACGAGAAGCTGCGTGGGGAGCTGTTCGTAGGCGGCGCTTACGTCCGGCTGTTCTTGAAGAATCCGAAGCACCCCCTGCGCCACCCGGCCAAGTTCGGGGAGGGCCTGTTGGAGCGGTGCGTGGCGGGCTTTGGCCACACACACACACACGAGTCCCTGGGGGTGGGATGTGGCAGGCCATGGCAGGAGGGGATTAGGCGCGGGATGGGGTGAAATAAAACAGGGCGGAGACAGCCACGACTGGAGGTGGACGTGGCTGTGGTTGTGGAGAGCTGAGCCGTGAATAGGAACTACAGAGGCGGCTCGTGAGTCTCACTCAGTGCAACTTTGGCCGGGGAAGTAGTCAACGCGCCCCCAGAGTGCCCTCCCTGCCTTCTTCCACAGCTTTAATACCCTTTGGACGCGGTGCTGCTGCTGAGCTGTCCCTCTGCGCCGCTTCGTCCGGCATCCTTTATGTTCTCTTGCCGCTGTTCCTCCGTGCCCCCCTTCCCCCCTTCACTCGTTCGTGGTTCGTCTGCCCCCCTTTCCCCCCTCCCTAGCTATCTAACGGAGCTGTCCAGCCCCTCCCGGGACTCGGACCTGTTGGTGCTGCTGGCGGCTGCGCTGGTGGCCCTGCTAAGGGTGAGTGAGCTCCAAGGTGGTGGGGAGTGGAGCTGCACCGGGGAGGGGCCGGAGAGAACACTGGTGGGAGGGGAACGGGATGGGGATGGGGAAGAAGGGGTTGCCGTAACGGAGGAGAGGGGAGAGGGAGGGTGAGGCGGAGGCAAGGGTATGTGTGAGTGAGGTTAGTACGCCAACGGGAACTGCGTACGTGATTTGGGCCACACGGTTTGTTGGTTTCTATGCCCCGTTCCTCCGCCTGACGCCTCCCTCCCTCACACGTTCGCCTGCTGGTCGGTCCGGTCACTCCCCGCCCGCTGGCCCGCTTGCGTCCCCCAGTCTCACAGCCTTCTCTCCGAGCAGCTCTGTCGGGGCGGTCACGTGTCCAAGCTGCTCACGCAGATGGGCGCCCTCACCCGCCACCTGCAGCCCGCGCAGCAGCAGCAGCAGCAACAGCTTGCAGGCCCCGACGCCAGCGGCAAGAATAACAACGGTGGCGCCGACGGCGCTGCTGCGCCGGCCGCCGCAGGAACATCGCCGCCGCCGCCGCCGCCACCGCCGTCACAGCAGCAGCCGCAGCCGCAGCAGCCCCAGCCGCAGCACCACCAGGCGGCTGCTGGCCTGGCGGAGGCTTGCGGCAGTGCGCTGCGGATCCTGCACCAGCTGTGTGACAGTCCGTCGGTCGCGGAGGCCCTGGCCACGGCGTCGCCGCCTGCCGTACAGGTGTTGTGCGGCGCAATGCGGCTGGGTCCGGCGGCTCGTGTGTTGGCTCTGGAGTCCCTCAAGCGGGCTCTGGCTCCCGTCAACCGGCAGCGGGACGCACTGGTGCTGCAGGTGCGCGGGTGGGACATCGTCTGGGCTTGTGGAGGTGCTTATGAGCTTCTAGTATTTACTCAGGAGGAGGAACAATGTGCTATGGCCCCTCGCCTCGTTGCGTCTCTCTTTGCGCGTGTTAAAGAAAGGGGTAGTGATGTGCGAGGAGAGGAGACAGACGGTAAACAAAATAATGCTAACCAGTCTAGGTTTTACCTACCGACCGACCAAGCTGCCCAGCGAGGGCCGCTGCAGGAGCGGAGGGAAGCCTTAACTAGGTATCCACCTCCCTACCGGTGTTCTTTCCTTTGCGTGATTTGTGTGAGCGCGCGTGCGGGCTCTTGAGCGTGACAGGTCGGACTTACCGGCATGGCTTGACTGCATGGTTTCCTATGATGCGTGTACCGGCGCAGGCTCTTCAGTACGGCTTGGTTCCGGAGCTGCTGACTTCCCTGGACTGGCAGTCCAAGCGCGGGGGAGCGTCTGGACCCGGCCCGCCGGCGGCAGCCTCGACCGCCGGTGGCGGTGGCGGTGGGGGGGGCGGCGGCGGTGGCGGTGGCGGTGGGGGGGCCGGCGGCGGTGGCGGTGGCGGCGATGATGACGATGCTGCCGTACTGCGAGTGCTGGCGGTGGATGTTCTGAGGGCGCTGCAACTCGCTGGACTCCACTCGCAACAGGTACGGCTGCTGTACTGCTTTCGTTCTCTTCCTTTCCACCTTCCTCTCCCCTCCCCTCCCCGCCATCATATGATGGCACCCTCCTCCCTCCCTCCTCTCATTCCCTTTGGACGCCTTCTGGCAGTTCATTTCTGAGTTTCTCGCATCATATGATTTCCCCCCTCCCGTTTCCCCCTGCCCCCTCCCCTCCCGCCCCCTCCCCCAGGTCAACCATCTGTTGGATGGATCCGCTGTGTGGCAGGCCTATTGCCACCAGCGCCACGACCTGTACCTGCCCTCCGGAGCCACTGCACAGGGCAGTGTGGTGGGACTGCTCACAGCGCCCGAGACGGCGAGGTTCGCGTTGCCGCCGCCGGAAGCACTGGGGCCGGACTAGAGGGGGCCGGACTAGAGGGGGAACCGGCGCTATTCCGCTTGGACGCGGCAGTCCTGATGGACGTCGTGGCACTTGGAGAAGCACCGTTGCTATCAACAGAGGAACGTGCGCGAGTGTGTGCGTGTGTGCCTCTTGAATGTGCGTCTGTGTCGCATCCCGCGTCCTTGTGTGCGTGTTTTTGTTACAGATGGGATACGCCCAGAGGAGATATGCGATATGGATTGGCAGGGCAGCAGAAATTGGATGCCAGCCATGCGACACTTTCTTTTGTGCATGTACGTCTTGTTAGCAAGAGCAGGACGGCATGTGGTGGAAGGGAGCATCGCCGTCGGCATGTGCGTGTGTGTGTACGTGTGCGCAGGTTGGGTTGGCATTGGTTGCCGAGTGGTCCGGCAGGGAGGCCGCGGGTGATGGACGTTCCGTGCGAGCAGCTGCACGTAGGAGTTTGGTGTGGGCGGTAGGGTACAGACTGTGGCATCCTTCGCCTGTTGATGGAGCCTTGCGCCTAGGCTCTGTGATAAATCGGTTGGCTGATGGTTGAGATGGTTAAGCGTCAAGTCCATTGCACGGCTGCCTCAGGATAGGCCGTATAAGGTTACGTATCCTCAAAAGCTGTTCTCCATCTCCTTGACCCAGTACCTGTTTCGTATTCAGCGTTCCACGTGGGCTTTCTGCAACGGCGTGCACCATGGCGAAATTTGCAAAAAGCAGCGGGCGTCCTGCCCGCGCCTATACGGGCACCCGTAACGAGCATAGTCGCACTTCTGTTTGCTTCAAATTAGTACGAATGAATTATCAGACAAAAATTAAGATAAGTTACAACTGCCATCCGGCCTGTGGCGTAACTCGTGCTTTATTGCACTGCTCGCGCCTTACTCGTAAGCTTCACTGCTGGACTCAGGCCCTTCGGTCGTTTACCATGCCTAACACCTTCTGACTTGCTTAACACGCCACGTCCCAGACATACAGGTGACAGAGGAGACAGGCAAGGGACTGTTCGTTTTCAGATAGGTTGATTGCCTTACACCAATAACACCACGATTTGTTAACGACGAGCTGCAAATGATAATAATTGTTTAAAGTTTATTCCATTACATAAAAGTACAAGGTAATCGGGCTAATTGTCATCTGTCTTGCGTGGTGCAATAATCTTTTGCCGGGCAGGTTTTTATGCTATAGCCTAACGTTTTGCCCATAACATAATAATGATAACCTATTCATATAATTACCAGGTGAAACCGTTTTCTCACTGTTTAACTGCTCTGTGGGATGCACGTTTTTTCCATTTGCTGGCGTTTTATGCAATAACCGATGATACCAAGAGCGTTAGGTAGTTATGAAGCTCACCTTTTGGCACTTAATGAGACGATAGGCGTACGGTGCTGACGTACGGAGAGAAGGGGGTTTGCCGCTGCGCAACAGAAGGCGCGGACAACATTTCGGGTAGGTCTTTAGGCACAGTACGTTTCTGGATTGGGCACCTCTGATTGCCAGGTTTTCAGATTTCAAGCTTGTACTGTAACCGTTCTAGGAGTCCCCCTGGCCCTTCCTCTGGAAAGCGCTGCGCCAGCAGCACCGCATGTGAAGAGTTGAGGTGAACATGGGTTGCGGAGCTAGCAAGAGTCCTGAATCGGCGGTGGCTCCACAGCAGGCGAAGGAGAAGACTTCGCAGGGTCCCCAAGACTTGGTAGGTTGGACTGTAAGGTTGTTCTGGGTAATTTAAATTCTATATACGATTGGGGCTGTAATTATTACCCGCGTTGCTGCCCCAAATTCGGTAAGTCAATAGACGCCTGCCCTATTTCTGCAGGCCGCGGCCCCTGCTCTGCCTGAAAGCGAGGCTACCTCGGTAATGGGAAAAGGAAATAAAGATGACGTCATTATGGTGGATGTCGCTGGAGCGAAGGACGGATACGGCGCTGTCTCCCCGGCGAGCGACACAAAGTTGTGGGCGTCGGAGCCCAAGGCCCCCAATCAAAAGACCGCAACAGCCATGGATATTGAGGAATCGCAATGTTTAGAGCAAGATGCCATGCCCGAACGTCCAGCCAGCATAGAGCCAGAGGCCCCCGTCACCGCCGAAGCTGGTTGCCCAGTAGAACCGGATCGCCCCGTCAGTGCTGAGTCTGACAACCCCGCACGAGCGGCCTTCCGAGCCCGCTTCTCAGCTCGCTCGCCTGATGATATGACGCCGGTGCGAACATAATGGATGGAAATTCAGGGTACTTCGGATCGGACAGATATTGAGGAGCACGACGGGACGGGGATGGATTGGCTTGCAGCTTCATTCCTGCTAATTCCCTGTCCCGGCCCTCTTAACCTGCAACTGGCTTGCTCCTTTGGTTGTCTTTCAAACAGGAGACGCGCCAGTACACTGAGTACTGATCTCTCTTCCTTAATTTCCCTCACGACTTTTTTCCGTGCACTCAAACATTCCTGCGTAACCTACGCTTTGCCCTGCTGCCCTCACAACTATTTCCGCAGTCACCGATAACATTCAAGTCTAGCCGGAGCTTAAATCGGAGCATTGGAGTACGGCGTCGCAACAGCGACCCCAGTTCAAACCTCGAGTTAATCTTGCCGCCGCTGGCCGCAGCGACTGTGAATCCCACTGCGAAAGAGGACGATTACCCCGACGACGCGGAGGAGGAGGACCAGGGCCCCGACCCACTCCGGGAGCAGTTTGAACTCACCAAAGAAACCAACCCCTTGCTGGTGAGACACTTCGGATGCCAGTAGGAGCCTAAGGAGTAGTAGATCTTAGGGTTGAGGGCGGCATCTGCAGGGCGCATTCTTTCACGGGCATTAACACATTACCCGCACATGTAGCCGCATCAGATCCCAGATCCAGATCCACCGACCCATGGGCCGCCAGCTCGGCGCCAGGCTACATGTAATGCCCGTCCCCCTCGCATGCCGGTTGACAAGGGTTCCCCCATCCCTTGCCCCGCCCTGTCCTACCCCTGTGTCCCCTATCAGGCTATCGGGCGGAAAGCCACAAGTAACGGCATTCTTAGTTGCAAAGCCAGCGAAAGATCTATGAAGTCTCTTAAATCGCACAAGCGGTTGGCCGTAGGCTTTGCCCTGGCTGATGGTGCTAGCGGTGTGCTGGATCGGCCAGCCAGCAGTGGCCATAAGAGCGACAGCACGTCCAGCCGTGGAACCGGAGATCTGGACCCAGATGACCATATGGAGGCAGAGCGTTTTGCGTCCGAATCTTCCATGCCGGCGGAAGTGCCGGCGCCCGTGGTTGTCCAGTAGTAGGGCTCTTGAGATTCCCTGGTTCGGGAAGGCCCCCCGAGGGTTGGGGGAGCCTTGCTTTAGCCCCTCAGGCTTGAGGTTGATGCGCCTCGTAATGCATCTCTTGGGGGACCCGAATGTGTTATTGTTGTAGAGCACATTGTGGATGGTGCATAGGTAGGCTAGGTAGGCTGGCTGAGGACGGGCAAGTGGGATTTCAGCCGTGTGAGCCACACGCATGGTCTCGCCTGGTCTGGTTATTACGCCAATGTCGACAGTGGTAGTTGCTCTGAGGCGCCAGCGAGGCAACAACGAGGAAACAGGCGCCCTAGCGCGCACGTTCACCACGAGTACCTAAAGAGTGCACCAATTGTTAGTGAGGCAACTTGACTTGGAGGCACGATGGTGAATGTTAGGTTGCGACGTTGCTGGCACTCGCCCATGGGGTGTCGAGCGCTGCCATTGGCGTTGAGGGTATATAGTTAGGAATGCCTACGCCATATGCCGCAACAATACAGTTGACTCAAGCTTGTCTAGGTTGCCGCAGTTCCGTACCTGCTTGACGCATCAACTTCGTCGTTACCACCTCCGCTATGCGTGGCATTTACGGCTGGGCATAGGGAGCAGCTTTGCGACGACCTCTTCCCTTGATGGCGGCATAAACAAGCCTGTATCTTAGCAAACATATACATTCTCGCCTTATATTTTGTCATTAGGATAGGCAGGTAGACAGATAGAACCTGTGTAAAGCGAATTGATGCATAGATGGAGCAGTGTCAAGGCCTATAGAGGGGGATTCATCGCACTTGATATTGGATATTGCAGGACTTAATCTCAATGACGCCTTTTGAGACCCCCATCCTGTACGTGTGAGCAACAATTGTTGGGTTTCAGAGTTACCACCCTGGGCGCTGCCGTCGTCGGCTTGATTATGACGGTCGGTCGGCTGTTTCTTGGCGCATGTACGCGTGTTCTGAGTGTTTTGCTCTGTTGCCAATTGCTGCTGTTGTGGGGAGCGGCCGGGTTGGGGTAGGCATTCATTTAGAAAGGTAACCCAGCGCAGCAGGCGAAATCGGGTCTGGTGCACAAGTGGCCCCACGCGTTCCTCGTAGACCGCAGGCGCCTTAGTTTGTGGACTGCTCTTCTGGAGCCCCCATGCAGTAATTGTTTAAGCCCGTGCCCACCTTGTACAGATAAATGACGGTTCGCAGATACCGCGCTGCTGCGCGTCAGAATAACGGTTTAGCGTGTTCGGTGGTGAAGTAGTGAATTGGAGTTGTGGCTTTTCTATGTGTGGGTCAGGTTGAGTTGGCTGTCGGTTTGTTGCAACAACAGGGTGCATACCTTTTTGCATGTTGCAAGTCCTAAAGCATATCCTAAATTCATGGTCATGGTGACTCATGCTCGATACTCCGTCATGTATTTCTGCATTGTGGCCGGGCAGTGGGCCGGGTCCACCGCATTATAGGTTTCCATCACCGAAGACATGAACAACGGTGTGTGCAATCCGCGGCCTGGTCTGGGTATGTGACCGTGTACGTTCATTCTGTCCTCCTTTCTGCGGAGCAAATACTCACTTCCATCTACAATTGAGTTGGTGGGGGGCTTGCGACTTTCTCCGTGTTTTGGGTTTCTTGTGTCCCTCTGCATCATGCGACTGTCCGTGCTGCTCAGCCACACGCACAGCTGCGGCGTGCCGGTGCTGATCGCTTGGTTAAGCGAACCAAGAGCTTTGGGCTTTAACATCTGCGTCTTGGAGGAGGTGGATTGTTAGGGGTGCGATGAATGGTGTCATCCCCACCTAGGCGCCCGTACACCGTTGTTGGACTCACCTGCGTACGGAAATGATTGTGGAATGATATACAAGCCTTAATAATGACTGGCGAAAGCTTTTGTGTTGTTCTTCAATGAAGTCGATAGAAATAAAGTGCAGCGTTGCTGGTGCCGGTCCGGGACTCGGCGCTGGTTTATAGTCTGGTTTGGCGGATTTGGTATTGGTTGGTGCGTCGCGTATCTGTCTGATGCCTGTGCCGTGTGATATGTGCTTATCTTCAATTGCGGCGGCTGTGGGATGAGTTGCTCAGTGGACCTAAACAAGATTAAGCATGAAAATGTGCCGCGATCTGGGTACGCCATTTGCGTGTTGCCGTCATCGCTATGCCTATGAGCTGCCCGTCACTTTAAACCCTAATCCCGTGATGCTACCTGGTCACCTGCGTCATGGGCTGTGCTGTGTTCCAGGCATGGACTTTCTAACGTGATGCAGTCGCTGGTTTTCCGCATGTTAGGTTAATGGGCACCTCCGTGGTTCCTAGGCAAGCGACCTGGATCGCGGCACCTGTCGTATGAGCTTGAACCTGGCGATTAGCTTGAAGCACACACTCCCGTGCATGTCACTTCACGGTGATTAGCAGGTTCGAATATAGTCACGAACAAGCAGAAGAGGGCTAGATGTCCAATCCAGCATGAATGCGGCTGACTACAACCTTAGGCCTAAACTGAAAACGTCGAAACCAATGGAGCCCGAATAACGGGCACAAATCCCACGCTTGAGCCTCAGCATAAATAGCAGAAGCGTATTCGCAACATGAAATTGAAAGCACTTCAAATTCTGGAGCGCAACACCCCTGCAGCGCATGGTGCTTTCAGCTTGTCCGTCCACCTGAGATTTGTAAGATAAGAAATAAATAGTTTGCAAAGGTGTTTTTGCTTCCTCTCACAGGATTGCCTCGAAACGGCTAAACGGCTCGAGGCTACTAACTGGTTTGGGTCCGCAGACAAGTTACAACGCCCTGCCAGCATTTGTGACACTTTGCGTGTTGCGAGCATAGTTGTAATGATTGCTATCCGGGTTTAGAGACGGGGTTGCACACGGTTTGCGCGCCTGTTATCCGAGGACCCGTCCTGGAGTCATGGGCCGAGCATTTGGACAAGGAGAAGGCAGGACACAGCGTCAAATAGAAGCTGCTTGCAACATATACACGTCACACAGCCTGCACTGTGGACGATAAATTACATAAAACCTACTTTTGTTTCATTTAGGCCAAGATTACTTAAAGTTTGGTCCTCTTTCTGCGACCTTCTTTTTTGGCCCCCAGCGGGCGTCCATAGCCTAATACCCTTCTTTAACATCATCGGCAAAGATGGGCCTGATCATTTCGAAGGCACTGAGCCGGCTCTTCGGCAAGAAGGAGATGCGCATCCTGATGGTGCGTCCCGCGGCTTTCCGGTCGACTGTGGATTTGCCTGAGCAGCGGTGGTCGCGCAGGTTGGTCTGGATGCTGCTGGTAAGACAACCATCCTCTACAAGCTGAAGCTGGGCGAAATTGTGACGACTATCCCCACAATTGGTGAGGTTTGGGAGATCACCCGTAGCAAGCGGTCGCCGAGCACCGACTCAGCTGTGCCCACTTGCAGGCTTCAATGTGGAGACGGTGGAATACAAGAACATTAGCTTTACCGTCTGGGATGTCGGTGGCCAGGATAAGGTAACGCACCGTATGTGTGAGGTGAAAGACGGCAGGGCTTGACCGCTTGCCACATGGTCGCAGATCCGCCCACTTTGGAGGCACTACTTCCAGAACACGCAGGGCCTTATCTTTGTGATCGATAGCAATGATCGCGAGCGTGTTGGTGAAGCAAAGGATGAGCTTCATCGCATGCTGAACGAGGTATGGACCTGGTTGTTGACATGATTGTGCCAAAACTGTTCGCAACCCCCAGCCGCATCTCGTGATGGATTTGTCTATTACCTCCTGCAGGATGAGCTTCGGGATGCTGTGCTGCTGGTGTTTGCGAACAAGCAGGACCTGCCTAACGCGATGAACGCTGCGGAGATCACTGAGAAACTTGGTCTGCATGGGCTGCGTCACAAGTGCTGGTACGTAGCTTCTTAGTTTGTCATAGTCCTGTGTATGTATGTGATGAAGTGAATTGAGCTTTGCTTCGCCTTATGAATGTTGGTCGAACGCCTCGCTTCAAGTGTACCGGGCTGATGTTCGTTTTTCCTAATTCGCCAAAGGGTGTCGAATTATTATGGGGAAGGTATTTGAATGGCGGGGCGTGCCCTGGCCATAACCGTGTGTTAATCGTGTCTGCCTTGTCCCTTTTGCAACTGCAGGTACATCCAGAGCACGTGCGCCACATCAGGCGAGGGCTTGTACGAAGGCCTGGATTGGCTTAGCCAGAACATTGCCGCCAAGTCGTAAGCAGGTTTCGCCAAGGAGATGCGTGAAACAGGGGTTGTGCGCCTAGACGAGGGCGTTGTGGGATGGAAGCTGATTATCAAGGCGGCGTAGTTACATGACTGTCGGCGGTGTGGAGTGGATGAGTGGATGAAGTGAAGGAGGATTTAAGGTTTGCCAGTAGGACCCATTGGAACTCCCGATCCCCCGGTGGTAATCTTGCGTGTGGGCCCTTGGATTGTAGGATGATGGCGCTCATGTAGATGAAATGCAGCCACATAGCAATGACACATTCTTTTTCCTCACGTTGAGGTCGAGTGCTATCTATCTTAGGGGGTCTGACTGGTGACATTTTCACCCCGGACTGAAAAGGCGAGTGAACAGGGCAAATGCGGTCAGGATGGTAGTGGCGGAGTACTCGAGCAATGCTGTTGTAAGGATTATATGCTGCGAACCAAAATGAGTATCACAAGTTAGGGTAAGAAGCGGTGTGGATGCGGTGTTGGGAGGTTGCCATTCCCGACCAGCACGGTACGGGAAAATGTCGTACAGTGCAAGTTCTCCTTACATTGAGACAACGTCGGCCAGCTGAGTTGGCCTTTCACCGCGTCCGCTTCTATGGTGCTGGGATGCGTCTCTAGGGGGCATCCTGTTTACACAGTATTATTAACGGATACAGACATCACTGCTAGTCGGCATGCTATTAGGAGTATCAGCGTCACAAATCGCTGGTAGACTCTTGTTGGTTCCATTAACCAGTTTGCTTCGGGCAATGCACTATAGCACATGCACAAATCAGTTGAAAGGTAAACGGGGTCAAAGTAACCATCCGCGAGCCATTTCAAACACGATCCTAAGATCTGTTGTGCCTACAGTGCTTCACATGGAGATTGCATTGCGAACATTCCCTTGCCAACTTCCATCATCCTAGCCGCAAATGACTCTGCGCATCACTGTAAGAGCTGCGCAAGATGAAAGCCTCCGACAATACGCGTTCCAGTTGCGCCTCCGTCCACTCGGCGGTAGGCAACCGCTGAAGGAAGAGGATGAGGTCTTGGAACTCCAACTGGGTAAGCCGGTCCTTCCAGCTTAGCAAAAAGGCGGCGGAGAGGTAGATCTGTAAGAGGGAATAGCGGGCGGTAGAAAAGGAGCAGGGCGGGGAAGGAATGGTGGTCTGTGCACCTGGCAGGAAGTCAGTCCGCAGGAATAAAAACCCACAGTCCTCAGGAACCCTGAAAATTCGTTGCAAAGAATACATGCCTTTCAGATATCGTCATGAGTCCCGACCTCAACGGCACTCCTCCAACTGGCCTAGGACACGGCTATAGCCGGGCAGGGCCAAGAAAACGACTCGCTTCCACCAGAGCCCACAGCCGGGTGCGAAACCTAACCCTGTAAATTCTGAGCACTCCGCACAGGGCGCCGCGCGGATTATTCTCCACCACGGATACCATAACCTGCGACGTCAACCTTTCCCCTTTTCCAGCCCCTCCCTTCCTCTCCAGCGCCGCACCAGAAACTCGCTGAAGCCTGTCCCTTCCGCCAAATACGTGTCCCACAGCCGTATGGCCAGACAGAAGGGCAATTCCCGCACTAGCAGGCAGTTGACCCAGCGCAGAGCAAACTGAATGAAGTCCACCGCCTCAGTCTCAAGGTGCTCGGACACGTCTGACTGGCAGCGCCTGAGGGAAGCGGGGATAAGGGGCAGACAACCTGCCGTGGACAAGAGCTATGGTGGCGATGAAGCTGCAAGATGGCTCGAGACATACACGATCGCGCCCTGACAGGACCCCAGGAAAAATGTGGTTTTGCGCAAAGGAATGCGCGGCTGAGTGAAGACTCTACACAATACGCAAGCATGCACCCCAACAAGCGATGTGGGTCCCTAACCACCCCTGCCTGGCGCCAGTTCTTTCAACTCCTGCCATCCACATTTCACTGCCGTCGCACCTGACGAGCTCCTTGATGCGGAACACAGCCCGTTGGATACCTGGCTGTGCGTACGTGTAGTGGTCCTGGATGCCCTCAACCAGCTTGCACAGGCACCAGTAGCAATCCGCCTCGACGGCCAACATAATCGTCTGCGAGCGCAGAGTGTAGCGGGGCCGCGGAGTGTGCGACAGGGCAGGGCGGATTGCGCGGTGGTACACCACCGGTGAAGTAAACATCTCTCAGCTGCCGGTGGAGTTCATCTCTGTTCGCTTTGGTCACCCATGTCCAGCAGCGGGGCTCCACCGACTCCACCGCACCGCTTGCCGGCTCACCCCAGCACAGTCTCACGCCTTACCGCCTACCTGGTTTAGTGCCTCCGCCGACCAGCTCTCCATGGGCCCAGGCAGGTGCTCCGACAGAAACACCGCTAGGAAGGGAGTCACCAGATCGTTCATACCCTGGACGTAGCCACTGGCCGGGTGGCTGCATGGGGGGAGGAGAGGGGGGCCGGTCCAGGGGGGTTTAGTAGCCCCCGGCTGGGCGGGACGGGAAGGAGCCCTGAAAGGGGAAAGGCGAACCGGTTCACTCTACAGGAGGTGTGAGGGCATCGGCATTGGGCGGCACTTATTACTTTAGAACGTCAAAAAGGGAGGACGGCGCTTAAAAAGGGGTTGAAGTTGTCCCGCGAGTGCGGTGACAGGGCGATGGCATGTTCACGCGCACACATTTGCATGAAGGCAGGGTTAGGTGGAGTGGGGCTGACTAACCACATTCACCTCCCCGGGGTACGCATACATACATACTAGGGTTTGGCACTACTGGTAAGGCGCGACCATTACCCCCGGGAGATCCCGGGATCGATACCCATTAGGGTCAAAAGTCCTTCCGATGGTGGGAGGCATTGCGCCCCTAGTTGATGGACGGTGGTGACCTGGGATAAAGTTAACCTGCGAGCCGACCAGGAATGGAGTTGGGCCACTGTCGACCCGGCAGATTCCGTTGGATGGTGGGTGCGGAACCTGAGCGATCCACTGAGAAGTTGACTAGGGTGACTGGATGAGGGTGCCCCGAAATACCGGGGAAAGGCAGGGTTTCGCAGGGTAGCTGCCACGGGCGAAGATACACCCCCCTGTTTCACACATCATACACAAGCACACGCCAAGAGCATCCCACCCGCAACATCAGGTGTGGGTGCCGAGGGGGAGTAATAGGAGGTTAGTAAAAAACAAACACCGCTGCTGCTGGTGCTGCTACTGCTGAGCGACATTAATGGAAAGGTCCCGGGTCGTGGAGCAGGATCTTCTCATTTCCCAGCCCTCCCCGTCCCTGCCCTCCCCAAGGGAAAAAACCAGCACTGCCCCACACTGCCCTTTCCGTACCGTATCCCCCAGATGTACAGCAGCCGCTGCAAGGACTCCTGGATGATGGGTTCGTGGAAGAAGGGCACGTTGGGGGCGGTGCGGGGGACGTCCACCAACACCTGCGGCCGGACCGGCGGCCGACGCAGCGAGAGGGCCCCGTGGGGGGACATGTAGATGAGTAGATGGAGGAAGGGGGCGCAACCTCGAACACAGGAAAGCCCCTGGTCGACCCAAGGCCGGACCGGTAATCTATTCTCAACAGATGAACAGAGGGACATTGAAGTGGCGCTGGCTTCAGGTCACCGGTGCAATCGGGGGCCCTTGCTCTTGCATGTGCAGTCGGAGGCCCCTCCCTCCCTCCCTCCCTCCTACCGGGGGGTTGTGCGTGTCTTGCATATGATCACCCCCACACCCCCACTCCCTGGTTAGGGGGTGTACCTGGCGGTAGGCGGCCACCTCGTCTTCACTTCGTTCCTCATGCGGTATGTCGTAGTACTCGGGGACCATATCCGCGTACTCCCGCCTCCGCCGCTCCAGAGTCTGCGACTGACGGCTCCTGCAGAGGCGAAGAAACTCCCCCGGGCAGGCGGGAAGGGGAGAAGAGAGGGAGGGGGTGGGGGAGATGTGGTGGCGATGGAGGGAGGTAGCAAGCAGCAGGAGAAGCTAAACAGAACAACCAGCACAATGGCGACGACCACGACAAACCCAAAGACCACCCACCGGTCACACTCACTTTGCCGGTGGCAGGTAGCCGCACAGGAGCCTCCAGACTTGCGGCCGCAACACCAGAGGCACCCCACTCCAGGAGAGCTCGCGAAGGGCGTCCAGGTCCACCTGCGAAATGGGGTTGGGAGAGGAGCAAGTTCAGTTGAGGGAGGGAGGGGAGGAAGGGGAGGGAGGGAGGTTGAGCATGAGCCTGGGACTGCGTTGTTACGCGCGCCGCAGCTGGACCCGGGAGCACACAGAATGGAATATCAGTCGCCATCGGGCCATGATCTCTAACTACTACTCAGAAGCACCATCTGGTGCAAATACAACCCACTCCAGCCCGACCCCCCCAGGCCCCCCCAGCCTACCACAGATTCCTGCAGCAGCTTGTGGAATTTGCGTACTCGGTGCTCGGGGATGGCAGCCTGGTGCATAAGGCCCCCTCCTGTGGGCCCGCTCCACGTGGCTAGCTGGGTCTGCTGCTGCTGAAAGGCGGAGGAGGACAGGGCGGGGGGAGAGAGGGCTCCACCGTTATCCTGGGGGTAAGCTGGCAGCTGTGGCGGTAACGCGTCGTCCCCGTCGGAGGCCCCAGCCGTGGTGGTTCCGTAGGCTCCGGTGGCCCGTGGGTCGGTCCTTTGCATGTGGGTCGGGCTGCCGCCACGTTAGGGGCAAAGGTGGTTTACCCGCAACCTGGGCTAGAGGATGACGGGGTGAAGTCACATGGGAGGTCGTGGATGCGCGTGTGTGTTGGTGGGGGGTGGGTGCGCGGAGAATGGGGGCGACTACGCAAGGGGACTGGAGAGCTAGCAACCTTTTCCGAAGGGGGTAGTTCAAGGACCCTGAGCTTGAACGGCATCCGGAGGGAGGAGGAGAAGGAGGAGGAGGGGGTTGGGCCGAGGAATCAGGAGACAAATCCCTTCCAGCTGCATTGTGTTATTATGAGTGCGATGATTGGCTGGAGGAGGAGTGGGTTGGAGTGCAAGAAAATCGCAGCGGGCAGCGTGCGTCAGGCGCTGACTCGTGGGGCTTCCCACATGGTACACGGTTTGCAGATAGCATGCGGCGCCTTGTGCGTGGGAGTTTCACTTCCGCCGCTTGGGATAGGTCGGAGCGGTATGGATGGGGCCAGCTCCGTAGAAAGGGTTCAGAGAGATGATGGGCAACACTGTCTGTTACCTTTCAGCGCCACAAGGGTCACTCCAAGCCCAGGTGATAGGCCAGCAGATGGGCTGTAGGTCGGTGCCGATCCCGTGAACGACAATGGCTGTGCGATTACGGTGCAAGAGCTGCACTGAGCCACGTAACTCTGATCACTTATATAAATAAAGGTCCACTGCTTGAAGGGACGCCGATCGCCGCTCCCGTCAAGCAGTTATGTTTTGCAGGCTACACTGAATAGTGAGCCTTCACATGGCTGCCAGCGTCCAGAACTTGACACTAACATATAGCTTATATTACGCAGCATTTAAAACAGTCCGTTAGGATAATGTCTGGCTGCTCGTAAAAATACAGGTATAAGAAATGCCAAGCAGTGTAAATACACTCTCAGCTCGTAAGTAGATCGCAATTAACGCGTTTTTTGTATTTAGCAGCACAGGTCAGGGCGAATATGTCGTACCACGGGTGACTTCGTCTTTCCTTCTCTAGACGGAATTCGGTATAGTCACTTCGTTCGTAAGCCGCTCATGTCGCATGTGCACTTGTGGCATTACGAGGAAATGGGATGTTTGCCAGGACGCAGTGATTTTCCAGCAATGCTTTCCGCAGCTTTAATAGAATAGTATCAATTCTGTTTATTACGTCCTACTGTCACACCTTTTTTTACCGTAAACTCAGGACTACGAATTGGGAAAAACAGGTGGCACTAGCTTGTATACACCAAGATAGGGTGCATCAGCAGTAAATCCCTTACCGTAGTTCAAGAAAGCAAATCAGCGGAAAGAAGGTAAGCTGTGGGCTTAAAAAGGGGTATCTTAGCGGAAGTTATGGCGACGTTCGCATGCTGCCCCAACGATACCGCAAAAACCTGTTGTTTATTGAAGTCAGTCTGTGTGAACGACATGGAACAAGGGGATATTAATTCCTGACACGGGAGTCATCGTTATACAGGGGACCTCCGAAGGATGTGAACGACAAGACCAGTGCCGGTGGGCAGCCGCCAGCCCCATCCGGCTCTTCCGTCGTGGGAACAGTAACGCCGGCTCACATATCAACTTTCAGGACCTCCGTAGGTGCTCCGCCCACTCCCAATGGTGAGGCACGCATGATATCGGAGTTGCGACGTTAGCACTTTCCGTTTTCGTTGCCTCCGCGCAAAGCCTGGCGCACCAGCATCACGTTTCTACTGCCGCTATGTCTGTACTGCCGACGTCGCAGCAAGCCTTGCCTTGCCGGGTTCACTTTACGCTAACTTTGCCCCACACACAGGCATCAGTGTCGACAATGTCTTCATTTCAATGCCAGGAAAGCTGGCCGCGGCTCGCGCCTCCCGCGAGGCCTCAGAGCGCAGCGCGCAGCTACTGCCCCGGCGGACGGGCTCCACGCAGGGCGGCCTGCCCACGGAGCTGGAGGACGCCGCCATCGGCGCCGAGTCTGCGGTCATTTCCAGAGCCTCGGCCAGCCGCCTCTTGCGCAGCACAGGAGGCGTCGAAGCATCCGCCAGCCAGGCTCCCAGTCTCAGACATTCCCAGCAGATACTGCAGCAGCAGCAGCAGCAGCAATGTCCTCCGCTCCACGACGGCCCCACGTCCAGTCATTCCGTCACGTTTCTGGTCTCCTCGGGACAGAACGGACAGAACGGAACACCCACGGCTACGGCCGCCGCCATCGCACAGCAGGCTCTGAGTGCCGGTGGGGCAACTGGTGGCAGCGGAGCCGCCGCCGGCGCCGCCGCCGGTGGATTCTCCTCACCGGCGGACTGTCCTTGTCCCCCGCCGCGTAGCCCCAGCACTGCCCCGCTATCACAGCCGCCTTCTGCGGGGTCTCTGGTGGTGCAGCCCAGCGGCAGCAGCGGCCTCGCCGCCGCCGCCGCTCCGTCCGCGACCATAACCAGCCCAACAACCGATGCCCCACGGGGCCACTGGCTGGCAGTGTCCGCATCCAGCTTACACCAGCGCAACGGTTTGCAATGGACGGCCGGAGATGATCAGGGGGGCCTGTCCTCACGGACTGTACCCGGCGGCGGCGGTGGCATCTCCTCCCCCTCTGCTGCCTCCCCCTGCGCCGCCTCACCCTCATCTATCGCCGCAGTGAACGCCGCTAGCGCGGGCGTTTCATCGGGAGCAGCGGCGGGCTCGGGTACGAGCGGTGCAGCCACTGCTGCTGCCCCAGAACGCGAATCTGCTGTACGGAGTTTTCAGGGCAGCATCCAGCAGCCTGTTGGTGCGGCATCTGAGCAGGTGTGGACGGCCGCGGCGCCGGTGGAACGACCCAGAACTTCCCTCGGGGCGGCGATGCCGGTCCGCCACTCCCGGTTGCGCGTAGCGGCGACGGCTTCGGAGCGCTTGAGCGGCAGCTGGAACAGCACTGCGATTGACGGCACCGCTGCTGCCGCAGGCGCTGCCACCGTTGGGCCAGTCTCTGCCACTTCCGTCGCGACATGCGGCAGCAGCTCGCGTCACAGCCAGCAGCGGTTGCGGGGTGCCGTGCAGGGGGAGGTAGACTCGGGCGGCAACGCCGGCGCCAGCTCCGTGGCAGCGGAGGCGTTTGGTAGTACGGTGCCGCAATTCTCTGACCTGCCGGCACCGTCACCCGAGAATCCGCGGGTTGGGGCCACGGGGGCTTGGACGGCGTCAGCAGCCTTGAGTGGCGCCTGCAGTAGCTCCGCCGGCGGTACCCCTCCGGCCAGCGTCGATAAGGGGTCTGCCAGCTTCATTGGAAGGAGCAAAGGGCCAGCGCACAATCGGCTGACACCAACTGGCTCCGCCGGCTTCGCAACGGTCTCGGAGCTGTTTGCGGACGGCGGTCCTGGCCGGGAGCCACCAAGTGCCGAGTCGTCGTTCACTGTACGGCAAACTCCATCGGACATGGAGGACGACCTCCTGGAGCGGGCTCGTGCGCGCCGGGCGATTCGGTCGCTCACAATGGCGAACATGGGGATGGAGCCTCGGTCGCCGGATGCGCTGTCATCTTCGGCACAAGGGACCCCGACGGCAGGGGAACAGCCGACGGCGGCGGCGGCGCACCCGCAGGGGCCTTATGGGCCCGTCGCACGGGCAGCCACCGCTGCCGCCGTTGCAGTGGATGCGTCCGCGCCCGGTAACGGTGTCTCCCGTGTTGCTATTCGGCTCAACCACCAGCCAGGCCACCACAGGAGGCCACCGAACCGCCACGCATCAATGCCAGCCATGAAGCGCGAGGGCATCACTCCCGCTGGCGGTGGCAGTGGCGGCACTCGCAAGTCGCCGCTGATGCGTCCGCCGCTCTCCGGGGGCTTGCTTCCGGAGGAAAGTGTCCCGGAGAACATTGAGGAAGAGGACGTGACGTCATTGCAGTACAGTGCTTTGGAGGGCGACGGAGGTGGCGGCGGCGGCGGCTGTGGTGGCAACGGCGGCGGTGGTGACATGGCGTCCGGTTACACCCGCATGCAGAGCGACAGCCCCGTCACCAGCCAGATGTCAGTGACGTCATCCATACTGCTCCAGGGTCCCGGCAGTACGGCACAGCAGCGGCAACTGTCCGCGGCATCAACCCCGGTCCCGGTGGGTAATGGCGGCGCAGCCGCTACCGGCGCAACGGCCGTCACCTCCGGCGGCGGCGGCACCGGTTCCGGCAGCCCCGCCGCCGTCACCCTTGCCGCCAGCCTAGGCCTGGCACCCGCACAACCACCGGCGGCGCTGTCCCGGCTCGCGGCACCGGGCTTCCCGCCCGGCGGCTTGCCGCCGTCGTTGCTAATACGGCTGCCGGACATGATGGGCGGCAGCAGCGGCCAGCGCCCCAGCTTCGAGGAGGACATCACACGGCCGACTCCGGCGTTCCTGGGCGGCGGGAGCGGCACCATCCAGATGACTGGCGCTCAGGTGCCGGCAAACTCCCACACCAGCTGCGCCGGCTACGTGGGAGCCGCCGCCGACCGGCCCTCGCACATGAGCAGCAGGATGCTGAGTGGCGCTCACGCCCAGACCCACTCCAGCAGCCTCGCCGCGCTCCACAAGGCAGTGGAGAAGCTCATGTTGCAGGCGAGTGGGGGATCGTTTTTGTAGCGGAGAGGAGGGGGATGTGAGGAATAATGGCCGTGTCTGGGGAGGTGGTGATGTGCCATCGGGGGGAGGCCGGGTTTGGCAGTGCTGCGGCGGCGCGAGGTAGGGTTTGGAAAGGACTGGGGTGGAGCCAGAAGAGCTGGTGTAGGGGCCCTTAGGGAAAGCAGTCGCCGAAGCTAGTGCCGAGCCTTGCCAGACAGCACGTGACAGAGTCGTAAGCGGGGTGACAGCGGTTTAGTGACTTTACCACTACTATTCGTACGCTGCCGTACACTTGTTCGTATTTGCAGGACAGCGGATTGTACGCCAAGGTGCAGGCGAGCATGAAGGGCATCTCCAGCCTTGCAAAGGTAGGAGGGGTTCGGGGTGGGTGGTTGAGCAGCCGGGTACACCAGCATCACCATCAAGTCGTTAAGGTGATAGCGGTAGCGGCCATGGCGGCTTTGGCGGCGATGCTATGTCGCCAATGATTGCCAGCGGTACGGCAAGGTGGTCTCACGGCGCCAGGTAGCGGCTGCAGCGGAGGTGACGGTGCCGGATGCGCCAGAGCGGCGGCGGCGGCGGTGGCGGCGATCACCTGCCAGGGCAACGAACGCACATCCGCGTGCAGCCAAGTGAAAATCTCTATAAGCAGAGGTACCGAGAGGCCGATGCCGTACTGCATCGTACTGAACTTGGCAATGCGTTATCTTCGCCGTCCTCAGCCCCGGCAGCAGCTCTAGCAGGGGCATAGCAGCTACGACAGGGGGCATTGCTGCATATTGCTAAGACCCGGGCATTCGCGTTCGCAGTTGAAGAGACCGCTTCACGATGTGGTTTGGCTGACGAGGTGTAGCTTGTGGCGAGGAGAGGGGAAGGAAGATCGCGCCTTGGACGCAAAGCTGTGATTGCCGTGGGGAGGGAAGAAGGGGCCCACTATTGGCAGCAGCAGCAGCAGCAGCTACAGCACTTACCGCCACGGCCGCCAGCACTGCCGGGGGAGGGCGGCAGCCCCAGTTCCACCTATGAAGGGGGAGGTTTGGCTGCTAGTCGCCACCGTAGCCAGATGCTCCAATGCAGCAGATTGTCAGGGTAATCACCATACCATCATCACCAATCTATATTCATAATGACCCTTAGCGGCAGCAGCAGCAGCAGCAAACCAACACGAAGCAGGCAGCAGCACGCGGATGGCCGCTCGGGGAGGGCGGGCGCCTGCTCCTAGGGCCCCACCCCCGCCAAGACGCCTCCCGGTAAAAACGGACGTTCATGGGGCGGCTGAGGCCATGACAGGACTGTCCATAAGGCAGAAGCGGCGGTATCGGCAGCAGCAGCAGCGGCAGCCTCGCCAAGAAGCCGTTCGGAGCCCCTGCCATTGGGGAGGCAGTCAGAGTCATACAGCAGAGTCCGCGCGGGGGTCGGCAAGCGGGTGACGGACTGTGTATATGTGTGTGTGAGGTGTGAGAGAGAAAGAGACAGAGAGAGAGAGAGAGAGAGAGAGAGAGAGTCAGAGTCAAGAGTCATGGGAAAGAGAGAGAGAGAGTCAGAGTCAAGAGTCATGCAAGTGCACACGTGGGGCGGCCACACGGCAGCAGTCAGCAGCGAGAGGGGGAGGGGGGAAGACGTGGAGAAGTCCCTCGGGCCGGTGCTAACTGCCGGCGGGGCCCCTGCCGTGCCGCATCGTGCAGGGCTGCGTGAGTAGCGGGTGTACCTTGAAGGTGGTTGTGCAGGCGGGCGCGTGTGTGTGTTGTGTTGTGTTGGTTACAACCCAGGGGCCGTAAGATGGCCAGTGAGGGAAGGGGGGTGCAGCCGCCGTGCAAGACCAGTTGAGCAGCTGTTGCAGCAGCAGCCATGTAGCCATGCAGGGAGCTTGGAGCCCCAGGCGGTTGGGCGGTTAGCGGCTTTCCCGCCGGCTCACAGAGCCAACCAGCCAGACGGTTGAGCTGGCGGCCCCGCAGCCCATCTGGGTGGTGGGGCGCTCCGGGGGATGGGGTGGAAGGAGCGGAAGCAGCGGCAGGGGGAGAGATGTGGGGGGAGGGAGGGACCAGCATGGAACCTGGATATGACCGAGCGACCCCAAAGCCCGAAAGTCCAGGGGGAGGACAAGGGCCAGCTCTAGGACCCCCACCCTTCCCGCACCCACACAGGAAACACTCTCTCCCGTTCCGGATCCTTATCCCGCCCGACTGCACCTCACGCCCCACTCCGACCCTCCCCACCCTACCTACCCACCCTACCTACCCACTCTCCCCTCCCTGCACTCACCACACTTGCCCTCGGTTCGCAGGAGACCAACAAGCTTGAGTTTGTCCGCGACGCCAGCGGCGCCACTGTCATCAACCAGTACGTGGTGGTTAAGACGCTGGGCAGGGGGGCCTTCGGCAAGGTCAAGCTCTGCCTCAACACGCTGGACGGCCAGCTGTACGCCGTCAAGGTGGGGCTGGGCGGGGCGGGGACTATAGGGGTTGTGTGGTGGGGGTGATGAGGGCAGACGGGGGTGGGGAGGACGAGGCGAAGAAACAATACAGGACCCGACAGCGCTTTGGGATATACAGCTGGGTTGTGACAGATGCGGAAAGCAGGTGCGGAAAGCATGCAACCGTCTTTGCCAGGTGCTTGTAGGGGGCCAGACGCTGTGGTGGTGGAGGTGGGCGTGGTGGAGGGGGAGTGCAGGGGCAGTGGGTTCTAGGTGGGCGCTGAAAAGGCGTCTGGGCGCATCATGTGTCGAGATCTAGGTTGTTGGTCAGGCGCTGTGCCGCGAGTCGGCCGGGGGAGGAGGAGGTAATACAGTGGGGATGTGCGAGCCGCGGTCGGTCCTTCCCGCCCAGGGGGGTGTGAGAGGGCCCCGCTGCGGAGGGCTCCGATATGAGATACGTATACCAGACCTCCGCATCGCGGGAGTCGGCAATGCAAGCATGTAGTGAAGACTGGTTATGCAGGGTTGGTTGACAAAAAGCATGTTTGTTCTCGCTTCGCCGTTTTCATCCCTCTCCTCGTCCCTCCGGTCTGTTCTCCACCCCACCCCACCACCCACCCACCCTCTTCTCCCGCCAGATGATCAACCGCGCCCACCTGCTGCGGCAGCTGCAGAAGCCCGCCAGGCCGCTGCGCCGCCGCGCCCCGCCCCCCCGCAACACCTCGGACACCGGCCTCATGGACTTGCACCACCGCAACCAGAACTCCGACGGCAACCTGTCCATCAGCCACACCAATCTAAACAATAATTTCGGCAACGCGGCGCAGGTACGTGTGTATGCATGTATGCATGTATGTATGTGTGTATGTATGTATGTGTGTATGTATGTATGTATGTATGTGTGTGTATGTATGTATGTATGTATGTATGTATGTATGTATGTATGTATGTATGTATGTATGTATGTATGTATGTATGTATGTATGTATGTATGTATGTATGTATGACTTAGATTACACTGTGGGCCGCGAGAGCCGGGGGCCGAAGCCTAAACGCAGCGCTAGGGTCGGGAGCACACAGCACAAGTCGGTTAGTCTTGTGTGCTCCCGACCCCGACTCAGACTGCCAACACTCTACGCAGCCACTCCGCAGCCCCTCCATCCGGGGATGGCGCTGCATTGAATACACCACGAAGGGCTCTCAGGTCCCGCTAGAGCGAGTCCACAAGTCTCAGCTAGGGCAAAGCTATGTATGTATGTTGTTACAGGGTGGTTAACTTCGCCAGCGGCCCCCTTTCCCGGGGCAGTCCCTGCTCTCCCCTGCTAGAGGGGCACCCTAATCCGTCACCCCATCCGACTTCAGAATGTATTCGTTGGGTTCGGCAACTCACCACCAGCATCCAACCAAATCTAGCGGATCAACGGCGCATCAACTTAGTTCCTGGTCAGCTCGCAAGTTGATATTATCACGTCCTACACCGTCCATAAGATGGGGGGCCACCTCCCATTTCATCACTCCTCAAACACCCGAGGAGCCGGCAGGCGGATTTGAACCCGGGTCGACTGGGTCAACTGGGAGCAGAAGTCAGGCCTTAACCTCTGCCAGCCGCCTGCCATGTATGTGTGTGTGTGTGTGTCCGGGGGTAGTGCAGGACCTACCAGTGCGTGCGCGTCTCGTCACTGCTTCCCCTGCCCGCTAGTAACCTCCCCTTCGATACATACATCCCGTCTAGCTGCACGTAAAGCTCCCGTGAGCCCAGACTCGAACTCCTAGAGCCCCGTAAACACTGTATGTATGTGTGTGTGTGACGGTCAGGTCTCCGCAGTATCTCCTGTCCTGAGCCCCGCTGCTTCCGTAACCCTACGTTGGACGTTTGGAGCCGTCAGGAGCTCGTTTCCTCATCTCGTGCTCGTGCTGAACACCTCAACTACTCTCCCGTCCCCGTCCCCTGGCTGCCCCACCGCGCCGGCCCCTTGCCGCCCTAGCTTATCGCCGGGGGTGTGTGGGCCCCCGGGGGCCCCTGCTTAGCTTTGGACTCCGACAGAGGCTCTCATTTGCAACTTTGGATCTCACAGTTTTTTTCGTTGACTTGGCCGCATCCTGATATTCTCCCTCCCCATCCATTCCCCCGCCCCCCCCCGCCTCCACCGCTGTCAGGCCGCTGCCCCCGCTCGCGCCTCCATGGACGACACGTCCCCTCTGGCCGCCATCATGCGGGAGATCGCCGTGATGAAGAAGGTGGATCACCCGCATGTGGTGCGGCTGCATGAGGTGATTGACCCTCCCGGCTCGTCCTACCTGATGATGGTGATGGAGTACTGCGAGGGGGGCTGTGTGATGGAGACACGGCAGCAGACGGGGCTGACGCCGCTGGGGGAGGACACGGCGCGGGAGTACTTTCGGCAGGTAGGGCGGGGTGGGGGGGTGGAGTGTTGATGATGTGAGCCTCAGGTGGGAAGTAGCGCTGGGGGGGAAATGGCACACGCGTGGGCTTGTGTATGAGGGTTACTGCGGAGGTGGAGCTGGGAAGGTGGGAAGGCGGCGGGAGAGGAGCAGGGGCTGGAGGATGGAAGTTTGGAGGGGTTTGGGGTTTGGGGAAGTAGGGGTATAGATGCGGTTGGATGCGACGGGGGAGGGAGGGGTTCGGCGTCAATTCTATCTGAAGTACCTTAACAAGGAACTACCGCAACCACCACACAACCCACACAACCACCGCAACCACAACATAAGCCACCACAACCACAACTCCGAACAACAGTCCTTGCAACATTTTGTTCACCTCTTTTTGCTCCTGCATGTGGGTTTCCGCGCTCTCGCAACCCCCCTCCCCTTGGTTCGTCTTAACCCCCTCTCTCCCCCGGCCCCTCCCCACCCCGACCTCTCCCCTCCAAATGCACCCTAACCGCAGGCATGTCTGGGTCTGGACTACCTGCACTACAACAACGTCGTCCACGGCGACCTGAAGCCGGAGAACATGCTGGTGTCGGGCAGCGGCCTGCTCAAGATTGCGGACTTCGGCTCCAGTCGCTTCATGGGCGGGGACCCCACGGACGCCACAAAGACCTCCTGTACACCCGCGTTCCAGGTGGGGGGGAAAAGAGGGGAGGCCCTGCTGCCTGCCGGCCCTTATCCCTGTGCTGCCCTGCCGTGCCCCACATGTGCCCTGCCGTACCCATGCCGTACAGTCCCCTGAGGAGATTGGTCACATGCTCGTCAACCCCTTCGCCGCCGACCTGTGGGCGCTGGCCTGCTGCCTCTTCTGCTTCGTGTTCGGTCGACTGCCCTTCGTGGGGTCGTGTGTGGTACGGCAACCGGGGGGAGGGGAGGGAAGGGGGGAGGGGTCCACACACACACCAGGCTTGGATTGCGGTACCGTACCGTACGGCACAGTTGCTTCCTTTACATATTTTGTAATCTTGCTCGCCCACCTGGTAGCAGTGGAACCGCCGCCTGGTATGTGTGTGACCACCTCTGTTCACACACGCACATACATACACATGTACACACGTGGCTCCCTGTCCCGCCCTGGACTTTGCACGTCGGTGGGTTTATTTTGCATGTTGCATCCCCCGTCCTTCCTTCCTCCCTCCCCCTCCCCGTCTGCCGTACACAGGTGGACATCTACCGCGCCATCCTGACCCGGCCCCACGTGTTCCCTGAAGAGGTGTCCTGCTCCCCCGCGCTGAAGGACCTGCTGGACAGGATGTTGCACAAGGACCCCAACAAGCGCCTCAAACTGCGGGTGGGGTGCTGAGAGGGCCTTAGGGGGGAGAGGGGGGGGTACGAAGAAGCACAGACGGTTGACGAGAAGGAAGAACCGTAGACGGATACTCTGGGGGAGTAGGGGTGTTTGTGTGTGTGTGCGTGTGTGTGTGTGTGTGTGTGTGCGAGATTGGAGATTTGCAGGTCAACAACTAGCACAACTCTTCGTTCCCTTCCATTTCCTGTCTCCCAGGGCCAACCAAGTCATATGGCAATAACGTTGTTTGTACTGAAGAGCTAGGTTTCCCCCCTGGACGTCGATTTCGATCCCCGCTCCCCCCCCCACCCCCCACCTCTCCTGCCCCCCCTCCTCCCGGCAGGAGGTCGGCCAGCACGAGTGGGTCACTGCGGGCGGTCGGCTGCCTCCGTTGCAGTCGCTGCAGTCGCTGGGGCCCGCGGGGCCGGGCGGGGAGGCGCGGCCCCCGGTCATACACGTCACACACGCGGAACAGGTCAACGCCATTGACCGCTCCTCCCTCGTGTCGCTCGTCCGCGCGCGTCTCAAGGTGTGATGGCGCACAGCGTGGTCGTGTCCAGCGTGTTTACCTGTATGCTTGTACGTTTGTTTGTTTGTTTGTATGATTGTATGTACGAGCAAATGAACGAGTGGTGGCCATTCGCCATCGGCCCAGGTTCCCTCCGGTCCGCTGTCGCTACACCCGGCCGTACACCCCCCCAACCCCAACCCGCCGAACTGGTTCTCCCCCCTCCCCGTCTTTCCCCGCCCAGGAGAAGACCTGCCAGCCCGGGGAGTACTTGTTCAAGTGAGTGGCCCGACGGTGGTGGCGGGGTGGCGGGTGGTGCGGGACGGGACAGCAGCGACCTGACCTCAGTGCCCTGAATGGCCTCCAAGATCTGGGAGATCACATACTCCCCAGCAAAGGGGGACCTAGGCGAGCAGACTGCTCGCACCCTTCTGTGTCTTCCCTTCTCCTGGCTAACTGGCTGACAGACAGACCGACAGACTTGAGTGGCACCCGTCCCCGCCGCCTTACACACACACATACACACATACACATACACCCGTAGCCCTTGACACCCCCCAATGGGTTGCCCCATGTCGTGCCTTGTGTTGCCGTACAGGGAGGGTGAGGAGGCACACTGCGTCTACATGATCATGTCGGGGGTGGTGGAGCTCACGCAGCACTTGCGGCGGCCTGGGGGCCCTGCGGGTGCGGCGGCTGGGGGCGGACATGGCTGCACTCACGGACACAGCGTCGGGGATGTCCACGGGGTACACAGCGGACCTGGTGGCGGCGCTACCGCCGCAGCCGCCACAGGTGCGCATGGCCCCGGCGGTGGCGGCGGCGGAGCCGTGGCTGCCGCCGAGGGCGTTGCCGCCGCCGCCGTCGGCAGCGAGCTCCCCGGCGGCGACCACGACGCGTCTTTTTCTGTTGATCTTGACGAGTCCCTCACTTTGGACCACCCCGACATGGGGCAGATCACGGAGGCCATGAACATCGTGGATGGCAAGCTGCACATAGACCGGCAACAGGTACGGCAGGATACCTACCTACCCACCTGTATGTATCTCTCTACAGCTGGCTTGGGGCGCCTGCGCAGTTGGTACTCGCTGCCCCTTGCCTCATCATTGATCACCCCGCCCGTGTGTGTGTTTTTCTTTCCTTCCCTCAGGCGCATGAGATCCGTCGGCGAATGCAGGGCACTCTGCTGGGGGAAAATGCGGAGTACGTGGTGGAGGTGCGCAGGGGTTCCCGGGGGGGAGGTGAGGAGTCACATGCGAGAACGTGGAAAGTGGATTGCCGGTGTCCCCGGGAAGGGGGAAAGGGGGGGGAGGGGGAGGGGGAGGGGGAGGCCGCGGAGAGATCTCGTTGTTTTACCGTCTGCGCCGGCCCACGGCACCTAGGTGTACGACGCCCCGAAGACGTCACTGTCGCTGGCACCGACTGACCCCCGCTGGTTAGACCACCGACGGACGCCGGGCCCCCAATGGCGATGAAGCCCATACTCATGCCCGATGATGGTCCTGATGGTGATGGCGGTGCTGACGGCGGTGTGGTCCGCAGGTGAAGGGCCCTGGCTCCGTGATTGGCGAGATCGGGCTGGACAACGCGGCCATTGCCACGCACCATGTCTCGGCGCGGGCTCGAGGTCCCGTCACCGTCGTCAAGCTGACGGAGGAAAACTTCTTCAAGGCGCTGCTGCAAATGTACGGTGAAGGCGGGGGCGGCAGCGCTGCCTCGACCACGCTTACGGCCAGCTCGGTCTCAGAAGTGGTTGGGAAGGGGGCACACGGCGGCGGCGGACACGGTGGCGTCGGTGGGGGGCACTACGGCGCGGCGGGTGTTACCGCTCAGCACCTGATGGTGATGCAGTACCTGGAGGACTCCGGGTCGTACGCGACCTTTCCAGCGCCGCCGACGTCAGCCGCCGCCGCCACCGGCGTACCCGGGCGATTCTCCATGGACGCAGGCACCACGCCTTCGACACTAGGCTACAGGCAAAACCACCACCACGCGCACCACTACCACCACCATCACCACCAATACCACCATGGCGGCAACGGCAATGCACACATCCGCAACCACAGCGTTCATGGTGGCAGCATCGGCGGCGCCTCAGGCGGCGAGAGGGGTAGGAGCCCGTCGCCGCATGTGCCGGCGCATGGAGTGGCAGCGGAGGCGGGGGTGGAGGCGCCTCTAACGCCGCCGGAGCCCGCCGCCGCTGCCGCCGCTGGCAGCGGCAGCGTCCAACCGACCCACGGGCCGGGCTCCGTGCTGCCGGCGCGCAGCAGTGGCACGTTTGCCGCTCGCTCGCGGCGCATGGCAGGCAGCGTTGTTGCCGGTGCTGCTGGCGCGGGTGGCGGCGGCGGTGTTGTTGGTGTCGTGAAGCCCCCCGACGTGAGCTCCATGTTGGGTGTGCTGAACACCATCCACTCCGTCAACGCCAGCCGGGGTGGGGCGGTTACGTCGGAGGAGGGGGTCGCGGACTTGTAGCAGCATCCCACCTGCCCCGAACAGCCCCAGTTCCCCAGGGAAAGGGGGGGAGGGGAGAGGCTGCTGAGAACCCTGGTCGCCGCGGGAAGATNCCCAACACACCACCATCATCACCACCATCATCACCACCATCATCACCACCATCATCACCACCATCATCACCACCATCATCACCACCATCATCACCACCATCATCACCACCATCATCACCACCATCATCACCGCCCCCGCCGCCCTTACCCCCCTACGGCCACCCGCCTCATAGAGGGTCCTGACGGCGCCATCAACACGTCCCGTGTGGCTGTAGTGCCCTGTACGCTCGGAGAATATGTGGGGCTCGCTGGTAGCGGCTAGTTTACCACTGAGGCGAGGCGGTTAGTGAGGTCGTGCAGCGCTGTTCAGCTTCGTCTGCTGGTTAAGGAGGACGGCATGTGGGCGCACGGGGAGCGCACGGCAGCTTGCTGTTGATGTGCTGGCGAGTTTGATTGTCAGTCACTGGTCATATTCTTCTTTCCGCATGTTGAGCGGCTGATCTGGTTAAGTGGCTAATCGCTGTCTTCACTGCCGGGGTCTTCCTGAAGGAGTGGGCGGGTGTGGCGGGTTGCACGCGGGCGGGGGTTTCCGGTGTGCAGCAGCTGCTGCGGGCGATGTGTTGGTGTTGCCACTTGCCCGCGTGAAGAGTTACGGATGCCGGTGTGCGCCCTTCAGTCCCCCATCGGGCTGCGGTCAGTGGATTGCGGTGGTGGGGCTGGTGGGGGCGATGATGGCGGGGGAGGGGGTGGTGGGGGTTGTTTGGCGGGCCAGGCAGAAGATAATGGCGTGTCTTGGTGCGGGGCCGGGGTAGGGTGGGGAAGACACAAGCTGCGATCAGTCTGGCCAAAGTGAGACGTGTGCGCGTGTGTCTGTGTGTTTTGGGGGTTGTTGCTGCTTGGAGGTAAGGGTGGAAGGGGGAGACGGCGGCTTGGAAAGCGTGGGGTTTTAGGCGGGCGGGAGTTGTCGCTGCGGACCCCGGGGGTCCTTGGCGATCTTGTGGTTGGCGGGAAGCCGCACGTTAGAGGGCCGCAGGGCGCAGTCGCGACGATAGCACCAGCAGTGGCAGCTGGAGTTGTATGTATATGTGTGTGTATAGGAGTGGCTGTGGTTTGGACAGCAGCCTGTGCAGGAGCGCCCTCGGAAGTGTATGTTTGTATGTATATGTATATGTATCTCACACACATACACCTCTCGGAATTACGGTATCTACGGCGGCGGCGTACAACGAGCTCTATACCTCGCAAGCCGCAAGAGGCCTCTGCGGGGGGGTGGGTGAAAAGGGCTCCGCAGCCGTTAAGAAGACCGCCGCGGTTGTGACCTTGATAAGGAGGCCCGAACGATGGTGATGGTGGTAATGATGATCCAGTCTGGATCAATAACTGGTTAAACTTGCATCCGCGTTTGGATTCGGAAGTGTTCTGGATCTGCGCTGTGGCAGCCACCGCGGGATCGTGTACGTCATGAGCATCGATTGACCCACCATCGCCCCCACAACAACACACGTATGGGGGTAGTTCCGGCGTTGAGGTGTGGTGGAGCTCGGGGGTCTTGAATTGCGTTCGCCGCCGGGACCGTCTGCGGAAGGCGGGAGGCGGGCTGGACCCCGGGGGGGTTAGCAGCGGGGTGGATGCTGTGCTCAGCTTTTAGAGCAGCTTGGGCCCCGGCCGGCCGGCCGGCCTCGAAGTTGCGGCAGGTCGCGCCGAGCTAACTTGGCTCAGCCTAGGTCACGCTACCTAGGTGCCCTGCGCCCTTTCGAAGGGGCCTCCATTGTTTGTATTGATTCTTTTGCCGCAGCTGTCGCCGCAGCGCCTTCTTCCCCTCGCTCTTCCTTTCCCACGGCCCCTGCGGTGAAACCTCCTCCTCCGGGGCCATTGAGGGTCTCAGCAGGGCGTGGGGGGAGAGGCAGGGGGAGAGGGGAGGGCATACGGTCTGCAGCGTGCTCGTTGCCTCCCCAATTCTCACCGAATGTGAACTTGAAAAGCATGCATCATCAAACTGGGGTTATAGGAGATGGGTTGGGAGGTGAGAGCCTCTCCGCGCCAGGAATAATATAGCCGTGGCCGCTGCCCTGCAAATCTCATGCTATGCCTTGCCGTGCCCGCTCTCTCTCTCCCCCTTATGCACAGACCTTTTTTTATTTAGATGTCGGCATTGAGCTTCCCCTCGCGTCTTGATTCGCTTTCTCGTAAGCATTATAATTAGCGCTGTACGGCGTTGTGCGTGTTTCCATGTGTGCTTGCTGGGCCCTCTTGCGCTCGGCGCCCCCACGCTTTCCCACGGCCCCCCGGTGTGCTGCGATTCGGAGTACCGCAACCAGCGGGGCGCCGCGTCAGCCTGGCTTGTGTCCAATTCCCCACCCCCACCCAACCCACCCACCCGCCAACCCCCACCCCACCCAGCAAGCCACACGCAGTCCGTGGGAGCTTTCACGGCTGACATGTGCGGGCGGTGGGAAGGAGAGATGAATGGACACCCGGGCTGGGGGGTGTACACGTGTGTTTGCGGGCTGGCTATGGGAATGGATACCTGGTGGATGTGTGTACACCGCGTTACGAGGGGGCTCCCGAGCACCACCCTCATCGCATTCGTCGTCATTAAGGGCGCCGTCTTGGCTGACCAGGTCGTGGCCACTTTCCACCGTTTGGACTATGAGCCTGGTTTGGCCGCGCCGATCTAGTTCCGCTTAACCCGGGTCTTGGTCGCTTGGGTCTGACCAGATCTGTCTCCCGCTAGGTTCGTACCTGACCTGGACCGGGTTGCACCGGGCTGGACGGATTGGGGAAGTAAGGCCGCAGTGGGGGAGACGCCGGCGAGGTGCCTCCTACCTGCTCGCCGTCATGACTTTGCATTACGTCTCTCTGTCTGCCTGCCTGTCTGTCCGTCCGCATGTATGTATGGCATATCCTTTCTGGGGATCGTTCCTTCGAGTTGTCCTGCACACCTCTATGTGGGATCGCGCTGCGCTGTCGGTGTCCTGCCGGGCTACCGCTCTGAGCAGGTGGTGGTGGTGGTGGTAGTGGTAACGGGGTCTTGGGGAGTTGGGTGGGCGGAGCTGTGTGGCCTTCTGGGGGAACATCGCACCTGGTTGGCTGCCTGGGGGGTTTATGTACTGGAGCAAGACGAGGACGACAAAGAGGAGGGGCGCTACACGCCCAACACTGTGGAGGACGAGGTGAGGTGTTCATGCTTGCTCACGTAAATGCATGGATCCAAGCAGGTAGCCTGACGGGCGTACGGGGGAGGTTAGCCAGGCCCCATATACCCCGGGGCCGGGGGCCATCGTAGCGCTACTGGTTGAGCGGCGGGTTGGAGGCGACTATGGCGGTTGTGGGAGTACCTGCTGATGGGCATTAGCGCTGTCCGGAGATGCGTTGATTAGAGCTGTTTCCCCCTACACACACAGCCCCCTCCCCCCCTGCTTCAGTACCCTGGAGCAATGCAGCCACTGGGACTATTGGGACGGCGTTGTGGGCGGGAAGGGGAGTGGTGTGGTGAGCTCTCATCGTTCGCGTGGAGGCAAAGAATATGGTAACATGCCTGACCTCCCGATTTCCACATCCCTCCCATCTTCTAGTCCGTATTGGGAGAGGCTGGCGAGGTTGGGTCGGGAACAGGAGGGCACAGCTGTCGTTGCGGGGCAATTTGCGGGTGATTTAGGCGAGCTAGGCTTGGCTGGGTTTAGCGCAGGGGCCTCGAAAGAGGTATGGGCGTCCGGGGGCATCCGCGCCCGCTTCGCACCTCGGCTGTCCTTGGATGAAGGAGTTTGGCTTCTCGTAAATAAAGCTCCTGCCGTACAACGCATCGTCACCCTAATTGCTTGACGTGCTTGTGCGCGCGTGTTTGCAGATCGATCATCGTTTTTTTCCAGGGCCGTGTACCACTGTGTATGATGTGTGAAACAGGGGGGTGTATCTTCGCCCGTGGCAGCTACCCTGCGAAACCCTGCCTTCCCCGGTATTTCGGGGCACCCTCATCCAGTCACCCTAGTCAACTTCTCAGTGGATCGCTCAGGTTCCGCACCCACCACCAGCATCCAACGGAATCTGCCGGGTCGACAGCGGCCCAACTCCGTTCCTGGTCGGCTCGCAGGTTAACTTTATCCCAGGTCACCACCGTCCATCAACTAGGGGCGCAATGCCTTCCACCATCGGAAGGACTTTGACCCTAACGGGTATCGATCCCGGGATCTCCCGGGGGCAATGGTCGCGCCTTACCAGTGGTGCCAAACCCTCTTTATGTTGTGTATGTATGCATGTATGTATGTGTGTATGTATATGTGTCTCTGAGTTCACATGTTGGGAGCACTGACCACCTTGGGGCACACCCGCACGCGGACGACCATGGAGCGGCGCGAGGGAGCCCCTCCTTCCCCCAGGGTGGGGAGGGGAAGAGGGGAAGTCGGTCAACGTCACCCCACAAGACAAGAAAACCCGTACTGTACGGAATCCAGGCCTGGTGCCCATTCTTGGTGCCGTGCCGTATGGCATGATGCATGTGGCATGGTGGCGCGCGATGTGCGGCGGAGGCATGAGGAGAGGCGTCTTAGGCCATCATGCCACTGACCGCGCCTCTCACAGGTTCCAGGTTGGGAAAGCTCCAACGGCCCCGTGTTGCCGTTCTGCAGGCTTATGCCGAACCGGACTGGCGGTCCTACGGAAAGCCACTAGACATTTCTGGCTCTCCTGGCGATAATAAGTGCGGTGGCAAGGCAAAGGGGATGATGGTAACGGGTTGTTGGCTCGTGGGAAGCAGCGGCCGGCGACTTACATCGCGACGACACGTCTTGGCATAGTTGGGGGGGAGATCCCCCTGCTGCATCAACTTGTCGATCGTGTGTGTAGGGGGACATGAGCTTGAGCTTGAGCTTGGCCACTTCTCTGCTTACAAATGTCCCATTATTGCGTTGGTTGAGGTGGGCTGTTGGAGGAGCCGGCGACTATGGTTGGATGGGGCCAGGGGGGTGCCGTTGCTACGGCCGAAAGTGTGATGGCAGGGTCTATGCTTACGCAGTCGCAGGTTGTTTGGTCGCTAGCAGTCAGGAGCAGGTTGCGCACTTAATAAAAGTAGCAGCAACAACCAATACAACGACAGCAGGAGTAGCAGAAGGCGCAACAGCAGCTGGGTTAGGGGTAGAAGTAGCAGCGTGGTGAGGTGGCAGTGGTGGAACCCACCCATTCAATACTGATCCCGCGCCATGTGTTGGAAGAGACGTTAGCCGTCCAGCAATGTCGGTCTTTCGCTGTCTGCCCTTGGGGGCGATGTGCGCACGCTGTGTCAGGTGGGGACGTGGGAGCTCAACATCAGGTTGTTGTTGTTAGGTCGTAAGGAAGCCAGGGTCTCAGGGAAGGTTCATGCTGTTCCGTGCGGGGCGGGGCGGCATCATGCAGTAGGTGGGTAATGAGGTGGGGGCGGAGGCAGCCAGGCTGCGAAGGTGGCAGCACGTTTAGGCAGTTGTGCCAGTGGCGGGAGGTGTTGGCGACATTGGGATCGTGGCGAGCGGGTGATGGCAGCACCGCCTCAGTGTTTCCCGCCGCCGGTGGTCCGTCTAGCCCTCGGCTTCACTCATGCGCTTTTGAGGTGTGTTAAAATCGCGAGGTGGAGGCGGAGGTGTGTGCCAGCAGGAGGAAGGGGGTTCCTTCACGCGCCTTGTTTACACCCGGCGTCTTGTTATATCGCCGTGTTGTCTGGGTTTGGGTGCGTGGTTGGGGGCAGGGGGACTGGTGTGGTGCATCTGGATATGTACTTGGGATGCATGAAGACTGAATGTTGGCGATGTTGTTGGGGTGACATGTAATGGGGGTCCAGCCCAAGATCATCATACTACGAATCTTATAGAACCTGTGTGTCAGGGTAAGAAGAGGGGACATTCCTCTCGCAATCAGCGTTGTCGTCAATTGCATCAATTCTGTCGTCAGTTGCCGCAGTGCGTGAGATTGAGGAAGAGGATAGGGCCCTGGTGGCCAATGCGGATACTGTGCGGCAGAGGCAATGTCCTGTAAGCTCGAATCTCTTAATGACAGCGGTCGTCCGAGCTTTGGGGGAGATGGAGCAGGGTCCGATACCCACTTTCCTCTGTTGTACAGAATGTGAACGGATCATCTGACATGAAGCTGCGCAGGAAGATGCATTAGGCAGCCAGTGGCACAGCACCCGGTGGGGTGGGACCTGATGGGACGGGCGACGTGCAGGGCGCTGAGCTCTGTATCGCATTCCCGCAGCGTACTGGTAGGGAATGAGATGGCGCAGGAGTGCACGGTGAACATACGAGATCAACATGAAGACATCAGTTCATTGCATGTGGAGTAGGATGCAGGGGTGAAATGGTGATTCAAAGGAATAGTCGTTGTGTAAACCTTCTCCAAACACAGCTTACAGGTAGCTGCATTGTTTGCCGGCAGCAGTTTCTGTGTCCTCAAGCCATATTACAGCCAAGTTGCATGCAGGCAGTAAGAAATATAGTGGGAGTGCAGTTGGCAGGGGTTGCGACCGGACCTGCATATTAGAATTAGACCCCGGGGTCGCAACAAAAGTCTGTCCACACTGTCTGAGGACATTACAAATTCTTAGCATATACACACAATCAGCATAGGTTTGATTCGTATTGCGAAGTGCTTATATGACTTAATTGGAAACGAACTAGCAAGATGAGAGAGGCGAGGATAATAACGCTCTGTTTAAGCAAAGAACAAGTTATCCTAGCAACATAAAGTCTTAAACATCTTTACCAATTCGGGCAATTGCATTAGAGAATTGCGCAGGAGGCCCTACAAGATCTCGTACGGCACGAAGATGTTTTTGCTTAAGCTCTCGCAGCGTGCAAGACAGCTGTGGTCCAGCTCTTGCATTCACCAATTGTACCAAGATGGCCGTCGCTATGCGTCAGTCGTGCGGCCTGCGTGCCACCACCGCCCGGCGCCAGGTTCCCCTGGGCCTGGGCCGCGCGTCCACTCTGCGCGTTGTGGCGATGGCTGATGCCGCTAAGAAGGTAGATAGTGAAGATCACCAGCTGAAAATATGATTACAGTGCAAACTTCTCTTGTCTTCATAGAGAACCGTCCATGAAAAGGCAAATTACTATCCACACTTGCTCGTCTGCAGGCCCAGGTGATCACCCCCGTTAACGGCGATCCGTTCGTGGGTATGCTGGAGACCCCCGTGACCTCGGCCCCAATCGTCGCCACTTACCTGAGCAACCTGCCGGCCTACCGCACTGGCGTTGCTCCCCTGCTGCGCGGCGTGGAGATTGGCCTTGCGCACGGCTTCCTGGTAGCTGGCCCCTTCATTAAGGTAGGTCCCAGCGATAACTTCGTTACATATGCACAGCGACGAGCTCTTGTTGTCCGATGTCGATTGACACTACCAGTCACCAGGGAATGGCTGTGCTTTGCCTATTTGCTTAAATGCGCACTTTCAATAGGCATACCTTCTAGTAACAGGCTGTGAACTTACGGAATAAAGGATATCAAGGATTTGCTTGCCGATTACTTGGCAAACTTTGGAAGGTACTACGAGCAGAGCTGTGTTGCTGATGACTTCTTCTGTATGGTTTACAATGTTCCCTGCAGCTGGGCCCGCTGCGCAACGTGCCCGAGGTTGCTGAGATTGCTGGCTCTCTTTCGGCTGCTGGTCTGGTGCTGATTCTGTCTCTGGCTCTCTCTGTCTACGGCTCGGCCCAGTTCCAGTCTGCGCCTAAGCTGGGCGTGAAGACCCTGTCGGGCCGCAGCGTTGCCCGCGACCCGCTCTTCTCCGCTGATGGGTAAGCTCTATTTCATATAAAAGAATGAGACTGACTCAGTCAAGTAAGATGATTAAGATGTCATGATCTTCGTGGGTTTGTACTGAAGTTGCTACCCATTTACTCGTTCATTGCACCCTCTTGGCTCGCTCTGCAGGTGGGCTGAGTTCACTGCTGGCTTCCTGGTCGGTGGTGAGGCTGGTGTTGCATGGGCTTACGTCTGCACGCAGATCCTGCCGTACTACTCGTAAGGGCCTGGAAGCAGCTCTCTTACATACCTAGGGTCTGTTGGGGCGCGGGTTATGGCGGCTTCCTGGAGGTAGTCGTGAAGCCAAGGTCGGGTAATTTTTTTGATGAGCCGCGAGGGGTGGGACTCTTTGAATGTTCCCTGTGAGGAAATCTGTCACCGACTGCAGAGAAGATGATGTGTTAGACTGTAGCCGATGTGTGTTGAACAGATGAGGGTGACTTATCGGTTCGTGTGCTCATCATTTCGACTCCCGCTTGGCTTTGTAAAAAACATTATGGGACTCGCTTTTCAGCTCGTCGGCTGATCGGCCGAGCGAACTTACAGGTGTATTTGTTGACTGCTAACTAACGAACGCACACCAATAGGAATTACATCACATGGGAGGTCAGATCATTGGACATGCACTTGGTCAGAGGTGTACTCAGTCATGAGTGGCAATTGTCGTCTTACCTTCGGAAAACCTGCAGTTGAACGGTTGCATGTCCCTGCAACCTCGATTCCAACGCGGCAGTCTTAATCCAACACAAACGTTAGGTCGGTGTTTACAACTTTTCCCTGTCACATGCGGTGATTTGGGTTTTCGGAGCTACCACCTTAGCCGGCCCGATTACTAAGTAGGGATATGTGTATGTGTGTGTTTGACCTCATAACTATAAAACTACCCATACGAGCCGAAGGCCCAAGGGCAATATCTATACGCCTAAAGGCCACGGAGAACAGGAAACACCGCACATCAGCCCAGACTAGCGTCCAAAGGGGGTAACTGAGTTTCGGTGAGCCCACATACGTTCCAACATCCTCGCCACACGTACTGGTTCCCATTTCATGGCCTCCAACATGCTCTGTTGATGATCGAATCCCTCCTCAGCATTAACATCATTATAGGCTGGGCATTCCAATAAGACGTGTTTTTTATCCAAGTAGGCATATGGGGCTCGTGGCTAAGCTACCTCGGAAAAAGTAGGGGTTCAGTGCCACCAGCTACCTGGCTCAGGACGGAATCGCGAGCTGCAGTCTTGCAGCTGGGCTGGCCCATACGCATGTCTTCATGTAGAGACTTCATACTACATTAACGCTTCAGATAAGGGTTCCAGTCTATAGCGAAGCGAAGAAACGAAACAAACGATTTTCAATCGATCCGGACCGCCGCCAAACCAGGGCCCAAGAATCTACTGCGCTGCTCATCGAGGGATGGACTGATGCCCGTCCCAGAGCACAGGAGAATGCGGAAGCTCTGCCCTGAGAATACACATTTTTATTGAGCTTTTCCGATGCGGTTCTTTTTGCATTGACTGTCCCAAGTGGCAAATACTTGGGGCTGCCGCCACACGTATAACTAGCTGGGGTTTCCAGGTGCCGGGACCACACCCTTCCATCACGAATCATCAACACCACCTTATATCCCTACAGACCTCCCCGTCCTCACAGAGCCGAGTACGATGGGCCGCAACCATGTCGGCCACCGCAGCTCATGGAGCATCTCATCCCTTTGTCGCTGTGGCGGAGAGTCGCAAAGGGTTTCCACTCTCAAACCACCCACAGGGCGGCGGCCCCCAGCAAGACCGGACTGCCCTGGTGGTGGTATGTGGCGGCCCAACGGTTTAACGCCATCTCTGCGGAATCGGAACGCCGTGTCCTACTACTAGTTTCGTTTGTAAGCTTTCTCCCAGCAGACGCGGGCAACCACCATGTCGACCGTCAGAGCTTCGGCACAACTTTTAAAATTGGAAAAATACAGAGAGGATTAGCATGGCCCCTGCGCAAGGATGGCACGCACAAATCGAGAAATGGTTCCAAATTGTCAGACAGCATAATAACATCTCCTGATATAACAGCACAGCTGTAATTTCGCTTCACTTTCCAGCTCCTGCCACAACCTTTTACCATCGGCTGCTTCCGAAGCGAGGCGGCAGTCCGATTCCGGACAGTGATTCAGCGGGCAAATGGGTCCCTCAACCTGCGCCGTTTGACACTTCCTTACAAGGGCCTCGGAAACGCTCTGTCCATTTAACCCTCACCCCGGAAGTCAGGTGACCGCTCAGCCGGGCCAGGTCGGTCATCACCCATCACCCATCCGACAACATTGACCCCAGGTCAAGCCACGTCGGTAATCCTCCCCGCAGGTCCTCCATCCGCTGCTCGGCATACTCCGGCAGCCCTTGTAACGCTGTTTGCAGCTGCTTGGCACTCCGAAACCGTACGGCACCCGTCCTGAACCACGCAAACTGCGCTGCTAGGAGTGCCGCTGTGAGGCTTGGGAACCAGAGCAGGAGCGGCGGCGCCACTGTGGCGGCAGCAACAGCAGCAGCACTATTACCGCTACAGCCACTGACACTGCAGTCGCTACAGCCAGTGGTGCTACACATCCTCTCAACCTCTGCGCCTCCGCAGCCGCCCTCCACCACACTAGTCATCGCAACCCCGTCGCGTTCATCAACCAGCCCCACCAAGACGCCTCCTTCCCCACCTCCTCTGCCACTATCATTCCCTAGCCGCCACTCAACCTGCTCGGCACCCTTCTCCTCCGTCCGCTTCTCTCCCAGCAGCTGCTCACCCCTTTCAAAGCCTCGCCTGGGCGCCATCAGCACATGCAGCCCGAGGTGCCTGCGAACACGTGCAAGGTGTTGTGGGTGGGAGGGGCAGGGCCATGTAGGAGTCTTAAATGGCAAGATCCTCAATGGCGCATACATACATGCATACATACATACTGGGATAAAGTAGACCTGCGAGCTGACCAGGAATGTAGTTGAGCCGCCGTTGATCCGGCAGATCCCGTTGGATGCCAGTGGTGGGTGCTGAACCTGAGCGATCCACTGAGAAGTCGGCTAGGGTGAATGGATGAGGGTGCCCCAAAGTACCGGGGAAAGCAGGGTCTGCCGGGTAGCGGCCTCAGGGTGAAGATAGACCCCCTGTCCCACACATCGGCACATATGTATGTATGTATGTGTGTGAGATGGGGAGCTGAAATCACCCAGCTTGCGCACCTTAGCCTCTCGCGTCTGAGGTCTCCATATCCGTCACCTCTCCCGCCTCCTCCTCCATATACTGTGGATTCCGCAAAGTCCGCGTTCCTTCTCCCACCTCCTCCTTCTCCTCCTCCTTCCCATCCTCCTCCTGAGAGTGCTGTTCCCCCTCCTCCTGCATCCCCCCCCGCACCCCCCCCCGCCGCCTCGCCGCCCGCTGCCACCGTTTTCCTCCGTTTCTCCCCTCCTTCTACACCCCCGTCCCGCAACTGTTGGTACATGGTGGTGGGCAGACCCCGACCCAGGTAACGCAGCCACCAGCACTCGGGCAGCACTGCCAGAGCGCCTCCCGATACAAACGCATCAGCAGCCCCAGGGCCGAAGGGTGCGGGCCCAGATGGGATCGCGGGATTGGCGGGGTCCGCACCCTGGCTGCCCAGGGGCAGAAGGTCGTGCAGCGGACCTGCTGATGTCCCCCCCAGCACTCGTACGGAAAGGGGGACAGGCGGGGCGTCGTTGGACGCTGCTGCAGTAGTAGCGATGGCGGGTGAGGGCGGCGGCGGCGGTGACTCGGAACCGGGTGGTGGCGGTAGCGGCCTGTTCCGCGGCTGCCGCGGCAGTAGCAGCTGCGGGTGGTTGCGGCACAGCTGTTGCAGTACCTGAGGGGTGTCGCGGGAGGAGATGGCAGCTGGCCGGGTGGGTAGGCGGGAGGGAGCGCTGAGGAGCAGTAGGACGGGGAATTACACAGGGTCTGTGCCTCTGTGTTGGGTTGGAGCCCCCGGGGGGAAGGTGGACCGCGTGGGGAGGTGCTGACATCCACGCGCGCGGGAGCTTTCGCGCTGGGTAGGACCCGCAACAGCGGCATTGCTATGTACGGAGACCACGAGGGACCCCAATGCCGCTGGCAGAGCGAGAGGTTTTCAGCGGCACACGGCTGGCCTGAGGTGCATGGGCCTCTAGTTGCCTCCCAACACCGACATATTGGCTGCGGGTGCACTGGCGGCATCTTGCCGCACCTGATACTCGCGCCCTGTTGAACACCACACGTGCAGTTCACGCGCACACAGCCGCCGCTTAGGGTTCATTTCACGGCCTGTTTTCCCTCCCTGCTCCCTCATCACCTCCACCTCCATCTCCACCGCAACCACCTGGGGATCCTCCGCGGCCTGAGGTTCCAAAGAGAACCAGCAGTTGAGGGTGCAGCGCTCCCCGCGGGACACCTCCTCTACGCAGTGCACATTGCGGCGATCTGTACGGACGGTAGTACGGACACATGTACAGATGTACGGCATGTGCCGACACGAATAAATCCGTAGCGTTATATATGTTTGACATATCCACATATGTAACGAATCGGTGTAAGTCCTCCTGTCTTCTAAGGATTGTGCGGGTGGCTGACGAGGCGCCGTTGCCACCCCGGGTTGCTTGAAGCTTCATCCAGCCCACCGAGTCCATTAATGTCATAGCTCCTAAGGAGTGTGGTCCGCTTAAATCAGTGCGACCGACGACCCAAATGGATACTATGTGCCGTACCTGCCGTATACGCGACCAGCCGACCTGCGCGAGGCGCTATTCGCAGGGGTTCCGGGCCGTCCTGCGCCCGCGGGCAGGGTAGAGTGCTCTGGATACACTGCGGGAGCTAAGTTGTATTTGCGCTGGTGTAACGTTGGACTCCCACCGCAGCCCCAGCACTGCCCTCCCCCTCCCCCACCCCAGCTCGTCAATCCCCGGTCGCCAAGAAGTCACCCCCCGAGGGGGCCCTCGCTGGGGCTCCGTGGCCCAGGGGGTTGTTCCCCTTCCGCGCTTCTTCCTCCCTCCTTTTGAGGACTCCCGTCCTTACGACCCTTCCCCCAACAGACACACACACACACCTGGAAACGGAAGTCGCCCGTGTCGAAATCCTGCCCCTGGTTGTTCAGGTACAGCACAGCGGATACATGTCGCCGAGCTAGATACTCCCTGCAGCACCACGGCGGGCAGTAGCAGCAGCAGGTCGGGCGGTATAGCAGTAGCAGGTCGGGCAGTAGCAGCCATGATGATCAGCCAGCTGTCCTCGATAGGGCGAGCATCGTTGCAAATACCGTTGACCGCTGCGCCAACACCCGTTGTCGTCTTTATCCGAAGTCGACGTCCCATCGGTCTGCGGCCCCATCCTCTTAGTCTGGGGGGCCTCAGCAAAGCCAGCCACTCCAGCGCTGTTGTCAGCGCTGTACGGCAGAGAAAACGGTTGGCACACCTGTTGGCGTCGTGATGCCAGCCCAGTGCGGCGCCGCTGGACCAGCCAATAAGGCCCGTGAACTCCACCGCCAGCTCCAGGGAGAGACCGAAAGCGGCCTCTACGGCCGATAGTACGGCATGGCGGGCGCGGACCTGGGACGGGGACGTGGTCGACAGCATCACAGCATCAACCCTAAGTGCGTATGTCTTCTACACCCGCCACATATAGGGTCTTGTGCGCCGTATTGGCGGACGGATGTGTGTATTACACTCCTGGAGTTGCGTCACTCTCCGAAGGCGTAACTGGCCCATACTAGCCTTTAGGGGGTCCAAGGGCCAGTCGGGGGCTGTGCTGTCTGAAATAGATAAAAAAACGCGATAGAAATCTAAAGACTATATCCAAATAGATAGACAGACAGACAGACAGGTGTGCCCTAAGCGCCGAACTCTGCTCTGCCACAGGGGTCATCGCTGACTGTCGGCAGGACGGTTGTGGACCAGCAATGCCCCCCAATGGCCGCATTCCCCCCGACCACTGTATGCCCGCGTTCGCGTGCAGCTGCTGGCGGCACACCGCTTGGACCTCTTCTTCCCTCACCCACATCAAGCATCTAATAGCTTGTCAGACATCCTGTCTGTCGCGGTTAGCCTGTGTGTGCTTGTGTATGTTTGTGTGTCTCATATATGTATTGCCGGGGACGCGTAAACACAAGTCTTGCGACCTGCTGGTCGATACGAGCCACGAAGGAGCTCACAGGCCACCTATTGCCCTCAGCCTAAAGGCACCCGCACAGGACCTCGCAACAACACAGACGGTCGAAGGAGGAAGGCCGGGAGGGAAAGATAAAGAAGCTGACTACCAAAAACGTCACCACCAGACGTGGATAGCCCAGACATAGCCAGGGGGTGATCGAGATGTGCGGGTCAACCAACTATAGGGCCCCATAGGACCGCGACGGACGCGGCCTGTTCATCCCGAACGTCCCAAACGTGGCAGGATGTCGGGGCACCGTGTATTGCAGCACTCGCTAGGAGTAGTGGTTGCGGCGGTGGAAATGGTGGTGGGAAGTGTGGTGGTGCGGGAGGGCTGGGTGGGAAGGCGCACCAGGGGAGGCAGCAACCAGGGCGCAGTAGCGGCCACATCGTGTATTGTCGCGGAACATACATGCGGCCGGTAGCCCACTGTGCTGCTGGACTGGGGGGTTGCGGAGCGGGCGGTACAACGGGGTGGATGAGAGCATGGATTCATGTGCTGGGTCGTGGAATGGAACTAGTGTTCGTGTCCATCTGTGCGATTGCGTGTGTGCATGGTCGCAGCTCGTATGAAGTTTTTGCGTTCGAGTGGAATGGTGGTAAGCTTTGGAAAGTTGTTCCTAAGCGTGTGGATGTCATAGGTGTGAGCTGCAGCGAGCTGTTACCCCGGTTCAACAGTAAAGTTATCTAACAGCCGACGACATAGTCTATATGGCTGTTACCGTCTATATCGTACAGTTTCGCAGTACACGCACCCGGAACACAAAAATCAGTTCACGACATAGCTCCGGTGACAGCACTCCGTCTATCACGGTGCGCACGGACGGCAAATTAGCAAGGCGAGGATGCGGGTGGCCGGCTTCGGCAGAGCCAGCGGTGTCGCCTGCAATTCCTTCCGGCGACACCGAAGTTCCTGGATCTGATTTTTCCTCAAGGTCTGTCTCATCAACTGTTGGGGGACCTGGCGTAGTCTCGGGGTCTGCTCGCTGGCGTTTCCGGCAATGCCCCTTAGCGGCATAGCTACCGGCTGTCATGGTTTAGATGGTAAATGTAGCCATCCAAGGGTTGTTACGCTTCTTTTCAATTGTTGGTGTCACAGCTTAAGCCTATGTATGGCGGCATCGCCTGCTTCTTGTTTGGCCGAATTGTGACGCTCCTGGCGCCGCCGCTCCTTTTAGTCACACCAGACCCAATAGCATAGAAAGCCCTAACGCATGGCCGTTGTGGATTGCAAAATGTCAAGCAAGAGTGGTTTGATCAACCAATATTCCGTTAGGATGGAAGCGTCTACAACCGCCATTTTAAAAACGTACACTCGTGGCCATGAGCCCGACTGCCAGAGATGCGATATTTACAGTGGACCCGACCGATCCGATCGAGTGCAACGCTCCAAGGAACGCCTCCAGCACAACACTGTGGGCCTTTTTCAAAAAGAGTTTGGTCAGGCCATGTTAACCTTCTTAGCTGATAAACTCAGACAAAAAAAGGCCCACGGGCTCAGACATAAACCCTCAGAAAACTTCACCCTAAACTTCATTGTTCTCCGGATTTCGCAGTGTTGACTGACAGGTGGTTGTCAGGCACCTGATCCCACCGTTTTGGCGAATTTTCCCGGTTTGCAAAAGCAGTTAGACGGTCCCAGGAGTCGGATATGACCATGCAACTAATGCGGTTGAGGGGAGATGTAGGCAGGGCCGTGGTATTGGCCTGATGGCCCTCCTTGTATATCATACGGCGACCGATATTGAGCGAGCTGATGGCCGCAAGGCACACATGCGTCGACTTCTGGAAACGAAGTATGAGTGCAGAGGTAGGCAAGTTATTGCGAAGGAACTGCCGTGGTGCGTGGAAGCTGGGCGCATGCATGCATGTGTCGGACCACGGTACGGCAGCGGTACGGCTCCAAGCTTCTACCTGGGTCACACAGCCGCATTGGTTCTTTAACTGCCGTTGGTTTGACTGTTACCAAGTCAGTCAAGTGTGTCCCGCTGCTGGGACAGTGTCCTCTAGCTTTCCCCCACCCACCCACGGGTCAGTATCTTACATATTGTCCTACAATATTGGTCTAATCTTGGAGTACCCGTCTTTGTTCCTTTTTTCGTCAATCGTCTGTGCTTCGTCGTACCCCACACACCCGGGGCGATCCCGGGGGTTGCCACAATGCAGCGGTCCCTGTTTTTGTCGCTGCTGGCCTTGGGTGGGTCGCCCGGCCGTTGCCCGGGCCCTTGAGGTCCTATGATTGTTCAACGGTGCAACACAGGTAACTATCATCACTAGTGCAACTTTCAGGTGATGGGAGCGGGTTTCGCAGCCGGGTTGTTATGCTACCATGCCAAGCTATCGGCTGGTAGCTTAGCTACCGTAACGCAACACGGCAGGACTGAGCAATAACATCCCACACATACCCATAAAAACGGTGGGCGGCGGAATGCCCAACCACAAATTTACCCGGGTGATGCCAGAGCCACTCCGAAGTCCAAGCTTATGGTGTTGTGTATATGTGTGACACAGCTGGGTCTGCAGGGCTGGGGTGCCTGTGGAACTGTTAGCTGCAGCTAGGTCTTTCTACGTAGGGGACAGTTTCTACGTAAGCCACTAGCTGGTAGTGCGCGCTACCTATCCCGCTTATGGCCTACGTGTAGAAAGCGCCGGCCAATCCACAGGATGCCACGCGAGAGGCTTTTATCGAACACGGAGCGCAATCTAGTTGACGCAAGGAAAGCAGGACCGGACAGGAAGGTTAAAACGAGAAGCCCGCGCTGCCGCAGACTGTGTCTAGGACATGACCCAAATTAAGGCGAGGCAGGTTTGCACTCTTGGAAAAGTTCGAAAAGTTGCAGCGTCCAGGAAACAGCAGACCGCTGCCGCGAAGACATATACGCACATGCACGCGTTCTCTCACACGCAAATCCTAATCCGTACCAACAATTACCGCATGTTCCTGCCTCAATCAACGGCCTACGAACATGCTCGAGCGACTGAATAAACGACCATTCGCCATGCCAACAACACCAGCGAGCAACCGGAAACCGATACCAGTCCAAACAGGGCAGCAACTAAAGCACTATCGTGGTTGTAAAAGAAGACTTCGCATATGCGAACATCACAGGTAGGTAAATGAAAATTCAGCTGCGGCCACTTCGCTTCACAACACGAAGCAGTTACGGGCGCATACTTGTGCATCAAGTTGTTACGAACCCGCCTGGCGCAGACAGAACATCGCTGCAGGGGGCTGTGCCGGCAGAACTGCAACACAACAGCGCCATCAAGAGGTGTAAGCAATGGGCACTCGTTTGTTTTCTTGACGTCATTCAGCTCATCGCACGTCATGAATCCTCAGAGGCTCTTGGAGGAGGGCTGATCGCGGTCACCCCGACAGCCCACCCAAGCACGCAAATTGCGGGCCGGCTGGTGAGCTCCAATGAGCACTAAGAACCATTCACCCCTACTTGCGCTGTCACACAAGCACACACATTCGCATGTATTGCATTGGTAAGCACGCCTGTACCCACCATTACTGCTATCCATTTACGTGCCTTAACCCGCCCCTCACACGCCCTTCCGCCCCAACCCCGTAGTCCGCAAGTCCTCACGGAAAATTCCGAGACTCCTGCTTATCTGCACATCTTATCTTCCTGCCAGCCAGCCTGTCGTTTCGCCCACTCATCGCATGACCACTCTTTACGGTCAAGAACACATGTCGACATCAGCAACAATCCTGTCATCTTCAAGACGGAAAACCACGCCAAGAGAAAGGTGCGCAATACGAACAAACGCAACCGTCGCACACATGCGCTGCCGCGCCGCACAAGATCCACTCTATCGACAAGCCGCGGTGGTCCGTCTCATGCAAGACCCAGGAGGAGACCAACAGCATGACATCGGTACGCAACTGGGCTGTGGTGCAGTACACGGTACTCCCACCCGCATCATCTTGCAACTGCCACAATCAAAACACCGGACGCGGAGCTGTCCCTATTCGCGCCGATCTGGGTCGCCTCGAAAGCGCATGCGCTGGCCACCTGGCACATGTCTTTCCTTCAGTCCATACCCTTTTCTTCATGCACACACACTCAAGCCAACAGTTAAAGGTTCTAAGACTACAGACGCCTCAGCGTCGTCAATCACCACCACCACCACCACCACCAGCAGAATTCACCACATCGAGGCGTTCTTCGGAATGCCGCTGCGCACAGGGCACCGGTACCGGCCAGCAACCCTAGGGGCCCCTTCCCCGCGAGCCTTACGTCCGCACGTTCTCGCGACAATCCATTTCAAATCCTGGGGATGCCGCGGACACCTCGCCACTGGCAGGCCCTGCCGCAGCCACCTTTTTACGCAACCGCCGCCAAGTCGCCGTCACTCCTGCTGCATTCGTCGACAAGGTACTGCCCCAGCAAAACCACCACTGCCCCCGCACCCTTTGCTCCAGCCATATAACGTCTCCATTACCACCGTCCGCTGCCGCTCTTACTGCCCTGACGACGTCTGCATACCCAGTGCGTTCATGCCGTGCAGCAGTGCCAGAATTTCATGGCTGCTGATCAGGCCCCCCCCCGCCAGCTCCGCCAGCTCGTTGCTGTCCTCCAGCTGCACCCGCGCCGCGCGGGGCCCGCCCAGGTCGCCCTCCTGCTCCTTGCACAGCTGCCCCAACACACCGCCCTCGCTCACGAAGTCCGACCACTGGGGGTCCATCTGGAAGGGGGAAAGATGAAACATGCAGATACGAGTTAGATGTGTGATGATGAGAAGCCTGGTCGTGGGCAGGCCGTGTCGCTCCCGAAGAAGCTATTGGAATGGTATGGTGGGCAGGCGGGCAGCGTAACGCCTGGGTAAAGGTAAAGCAGTGCTAGGGAGAATATCGTCGTGTTTAGGAATGCATAATTACGATTCAGCCAAGGGTTGCGTTACGTGATGTTTAGCGCCTGCGCGGTCGGTTTTGTGCAGCCTCAGCGCGACACCGAGCTAACCTCAGTTAAGGATAGCTCGATGTCGCGCTGAGGCTGCACAAAATCAGATGCCTTGTTCATGTGGCGATGGCTACCGAGGCACGTTATTCGCCACTGCCCCTCCAATGCAAGCCCAGTTCCATGATCGTTGCAACACCCTCTACCCTTCGTCGAAGAAAGTAATAACTAGCATCGTCGCATGGCTGTCTCGCAAGCCGGCACCCGGAAGACACACCAGCAGCAGCCGTCGCACGTTTATGTTGAGAATGGAGTCGCGGTTGGCTTCATCGCAGCAGGCCCGTAGCACCTTGCACGCCTCCAGCACAAAACCCACCAACGGGTCGCGCCGACCGCTCGGAATGCCCAGCGATGGTGACGCTGCCGGGACACGATCAGCGAGGGGGTTAGGCATAGGACCCGCAAAAATCCAACACATGAACCATTGGTCCATTGCCACAAAAGATAAATCGTCACAGCGCGCAGTGCACCATCGAGGCAACGCCAGAGCGATTCATGAACCCCAGCATAACCCCGCTACCATCCCAGCCGCCTTCGTCGCGGGCCCCTGCCCTCCCCGCCCCATCCGGGTCCCCTCCGCACCAAGATGCGCGAGCTGCTGCTGCAAGCTGCCGCACGGCTCCTCGCTACCCTCGCCCGCCGTCAGTCCTGCGCCCATGCCTGCCGTGAAGAGCGGCCCATACAGCGCTGCTACCTTTGATACGCAGCACGAGCGCAGCACGCGCAGCGCGCGCGTATGCAACGCGGAGCACATGGGGTGCGCCAGGCTGAGCGCCAGCACGCGAGGGACCAGCTTCGATGCCGCAACGAGATTGTCCACAGCGGTGTGGTTGGGCGCGAGCAGCATCGACACAATTTCCGTTGCCCACACTCTGTGACTCCCCACAGCAGGCTGTGTAGCGGGGAACAGGGAGGTGTGGTTTCGCTCCCTTGGCAGAACGTAAATACATTGCACGGGGCTTTTGAACTGGGGCCCACAATATGAGTTTCCAAGCAGCTGCAACGTTGTCATTGCGATTTTAAGATGTTTCTGGGATCGTCGCCAATGCCGGCTGCTCATTCGTACGGATCGGAGCAGGTTGCACACGTACGAAATTAGCACAAAAGGCCTCGTCGAGGGCTTTCGCGCAGTAGAGGTCCCTTCCAGGCCGTGTCACTTTAAGAATTGAGGGAATGTAGACAAGGATAATCTTCTGAAATTGGTATAATGGGATAAGATACATTTCTGTGAGGGCTGTTGTGGCCAAGTTATCAACTGACTCATGGTAACAATCGCCCGATGCGCATGTGCGCCATCACGTACAGCATCGCGACCCACATGAAACTCCCCACTTGAGGCTCGGGCGCACAACTGCGTCGCGTCACTCCATGGAACTGTGTCGCCTGTTGCACTGCGCTCCACTCCCGAGCCCCTGCACCGCCCAAAGACACCCACCTGCGCCTCGGACACATACTGCATGGTCACCTGGCGAGGCACCATATCCAGAATCGTACCAAGAGTGTCCAAGTTCATGATGCAGCCCTTGATGTGCGGCCGGGAGCCATCCACTGCAGCGTCCGTGTGGGGGACCTGGTCCAGAGGTGTGGTGGGAAGCGGCCAGCCGAGGAGCGGGTGGCAAGGACGGCGTGAGAGCACGGGAGAACGAAAAGGTCGGGCTGTGGTGTGCCCGAGGATGCGGCAAGATTGCACATGGGTACGCACCCGCGCGGGTAAAGAGAGCTGTCGCCCCGATGATGGCGGCAGTGTCGAGGGTAGTGAGCGTATCGAAATGGTTCGCATCCCACTCAATTCATTTTATAGCAGCACAGGGCGTGGCGGCAGTATGGACCTCCTTGCAGCGGCTGCTACAGCCATAGGTGAAGTTGCTGCCTGGCTACGACAGTATTTTGTCATTTACTACGTGCACGTCTTTCTGTCCCCTTGCAGCGCCTGGTGCACATGTGCGAAATCTATCCCTCGTTTCACAAGCTTAAAAGCTGCCACCGGATGCTGCCCAGCCCTACGTATCTCCTCGCCGCACCTGCAACGTGCCAAGCTCTCGGTTGAGGTGCGCAATAAGCCGCTGCAGCAGCGAGCTGAGTTTGGGTATGCTCGCCGTGCCGGCTGCCACCAGCGCCTTAACCTGCATCCACGTCAGCAAAAATGCCTGAGGTGGATCAGTTCAAGTCGATTTAAGGTCACCGATCGGACTGGATACTAAAGGGACGCTTGCGGGCTTGGGCCACAACGAGCGGTACTTCACGGGCCCTCACCCCGCATTGACCGTGAGCACTGACCGATAGGCAAGCCGGCTTTCCAAATGCCCAACCCTGGCGTCTGTGGGGAATACGTCTCATTTCCGCGCTTTCGCCCAGACGGCAAGGGTGGGTCCGGGCTGGGAATGCCACCTAATGCAATCGTCGGGTCGGCTGACACCTAGCAAATCCTTGTTGACTGATTCCTCGGCCTGCGGTCCTGAGGGCCGCCTGCCCAGATCACGCCCCCACTCAAGTTTGCCAGCAGAACCAGCGGCCCGACATTGAACCCTTCATGGACAGCAAATCGTGTTATTTCCGGGAACCAATCCTCCGGCCTGTAAATATGGCCCAACATGCTGCCCGTGCTCTCCACAAACGCCCAGGAAGCGCTCTACTGCTTCCCACCTCCGACCACAGCTCTTCTGGTGCCAGTCCCCCGTCGCCAAGCGGCCCCTCCTGCTCCCCTTGCCCAGCAGCTGTGTCGTCATCGTCGTCCCCAGTTTGGAAGAACTTTCGAAACATGGGCCCCTTCGTGACCTCCTTCATGCTACTGGCACCGTGTACACCATCCTTGACCCCGGCGGCAGACCCCGTTTTTTCCGGCGCCGGAGGGTTCAACGGCCCAAGCTTAACGACAAGCTGCTTGCGAGCTCTAAAAACTGCTTCCTGCTCAGGCGGAAGGGAATTCGTGTAAGCAAATCAACGTCACGTGGCTTGGGGTTGTGCACAAGGCACGTCTCCCTGGCTTGATCGGCACGATCGAAGAACATAACGCAAGCACCCCATGCAATTAGGGTATTGGATTAGAAAGTGTCCACAACTAAGGAGCGCAACCGGGTGGCGGTGTTTCTTCGCCGGCGGCTGTCAAGTCCTTCCCGTATACCTGCCCCAAAAAGCAGATCACCCGTACCAGCGTACCATAGCCTGGGTCCCTGCTGGAGTGAGGGGATTGTCCCGGAGATCGAGCTCAATCAGCTCGGGAGCACCCGATGCGCTCAGCATGGCAGCCAATGCCTGCGCAGGACACAACATGTGGTGTTGGATGTCGACGGCCCTACCCCCGCAGCTATCTACACCAAGGACGGAAGTCATGCATCGCTTTACCTGGGCGCCTTCGTCCGAGATGTTGTTCCCAGAAAGATCAAGGCAGGTGATACATGAGTTCGTCCGGAGTGCGTCTGCGAGCTGCACACGAAAGGAGACATACACATAGTGAGGAAGTCAAGTGCGGGAAACGGACTGTCGGTCGTCCCCGGTTGAGGGAGGCATGTGTTATCACACACACCTTCTTCGCTTTAGCATCAAAAATGTTGCAGTGGGCCAGCTTGACCCACATTTCCGTGCTGCCACGGCAAGCATCCAAAGCGGCTGCGAACCTGCAAATGGGCACTTGTTACTGTTAACGGAAGGCTTATCAACACGAAACTGGAGTGAGCGATCCATACCGACCTCTTCTCCGCCTCAGCCTTCTGAGCCTTGGTGAGGCCAGGCTGTGCTGCAGGCTGCGGCGCCTGTGCAGCATCACCGACCGTTCCCTGGGACCCCTTGCCCTTCTTCTTCTTCTACATGGAGAAAGATTGCTGCTCCGGATAAGTGCCGGCCAAGGGCGCGCGCATCAGCCGCCCAAACCAACGCTGTTTCGGCTATGCGATGCTGACAGCGCACCTTTTTCTTTTTCTTTTTCTTAGAGCTAGAGTCGACACTGTTAACCGAGCTTTTACTGGAAGTGCTTGCTGCATCGCTGCGCTCCTCGTCAGAGTCCTCCTCGTCGTCCTCCTCAGCGTCATCCTCTGGCCGCTTCTCTGCTTCTTTCTCTGTCATGTTTAACCGTGACCCCAGCTGCTATTAAACCGTCCGATTTGTTCGCGGGCTTAACAGCAGTCAGATAGGCAAGCAAGAGGTTATATCACATGTACATCAGGTAAATATAACTACTCATGTTGTATATGGAGTACAGCGCTGCGGAAATGAGTTGCTACGGAACATGCATCGCTATGCCTGCATCGAGCTCTACGTTGCCGGCTGCACCATCATGTTTGCTACCATTTCATCCAAGTTCATCTTAGATATTTTTGCTTTTGTTCTAATTTATATCATGTAGCCTGCTTTGCATGATGCACTGCGTTGGACTGTCCTCCGGGGTTATGGTGAAGCCGGCCCGTGCTGTGGGCTCACGCCTTGTAGGATCAGGTTATCGGAGCAAGAGGATAGTCCGTTCCCCAGCTACGGGTGCCGGCGGGAATCACAGTACTGCCTGGAGCACCTTAACCGACCGCCTTGTCGCGGCTTCTAGCATACCCTTTTCAATTTTAGTACTCCCACAAGTTGTTCAGGTATGTAGGCTTTACTTATACTCAAGGGTTAACTGGAGCTCTTCGCCCTGGTGGGCCGGGTAGCGTGCTGGCTTACGGAACAATAGATTTAGTTACATTGCGTTTCCTGCAGAATGGAATCAACATGGCATCTGGACATGCATCGGCCTTATCAATTATATCTTGGGAAGGATACCTGTCGGCCATGTTTGGCAACACGCTCATGTGCAGCCACTTCGCTGCCAGCGGCGAACGCAGCGCCGTAAACGTGCAGCTCGTGGGTATTCTTAACAACTTCCTTATCTTGACTCAGGTAATCGGTCACGAGGGGTGGAGGTTTACATCTCAGTTGCATCGCGATACCATCAATTTTGCTGTCGCCGAAACCCTGCCTCCCCGCAGGTAGCATTAGCTGGTTTCATGCCCCTGGCAATCTTCCTCCTAGCAGCTGCCTTCACAGCCATTTCAACTGGAATGAGCTTAACACGGGTACACAAGCTCAGCGGCACGTCGCAAGGCCAAGACGAGAAATTTGGCACCTGGCAGATGTGGCAGCTAGGCTCAGGCTTGGTGGGCATTGCAGTTGTACCACAGGTAGAATCCGGAGTCCGGCCGTGAACTCTCTGTCGTACCCTTCCGCAAGGATGAAGCCCACCCTCGAGCCTGCCCCCTAAATCCCCCTAACCCTAACCCCCCTCTCCTGCACATCAACCTGTGCCCTCAAAAATGGTTCATTGATTGGTTTGTCGGTTTTCCCCTCAGCGGTCATGAGTATTGGATTAGATTGTCGCGGATAGCGCGGTGGCTGCCATGGTACCAGAGTGGCCGGTTCGCCCACTCCAGGGCAGAGTTCTGTGCTCCCTCCCACCGCGCGGGCCCCCCACCGCTTTACGTAGTTTCCCATACCCCATCGTGTAATCCATCCTCTCTATACACCACCACTTCACCATCACTGTCTCACCACCACATGCGACAACCCCACGACCATCGACTCCACAGTGCATCGCTCGCTGCAGGTTCTATACAACACCGTGGCCCCAGCGGCATCGAGCCTCCTGCCTTTCTTCTGCACCTTCCTCGTGCTTGGCGGAATTCTCATCGGTGTCAAGGTGTGTGGTGCTGCATGATGGTGCCAGGGGCGGCCCCGGCAGGTGTAAAAGTTACACCGCTTCGAATGCATGCCTTTGAACAAATCCGGGCCTGGGACGTTTCCCTCGCCAAGAGCAGGTGCCTGGCCGTGTCCTGCCCTGCCCTGCCCTGCCCTGCCCCACCTCCTAAAAGATGGCGGAACGACTGTGGCCCCCAAGCAGAGCCCCCTCCTGGAGTCGTCACCTAGTCGCCTGATGCTGCCCAGCACATTCGCCAACCCTCCACCATCGACCCGGCTACGCAACAGTACATCTAGGGTCGATGTACATGTGCAGGGTTACGCAACGCGGATGTGTCTGGTGGGCAGCATCAGGCAACCGGGTGAAGTCTCCAGGAGGGTGGTCTCACCGCTGGAAGAGCCGCCTTGCTTTGCAGCGATTCTCTAGGCTTGAGTTCACCACACAACCGTCCTCGGGCAGCACTAACGCTTCTGGGTTTTATGCGCGGATGTGGGTCACCTGCACGCAGCTATCTCGGAAGGGCGATGGCGATGCGTCCACGTTGGTGCGGCAGCTGCCGGGCTGGGGCGCCACACTGCTCTTTGCGTTGTCGCCGCTACCGCAGCTGGTGAGTGCCACTGCTGTCGGCAGGGCAAGGGGGGATGGCGGAAGAGGGTAAAGGAACTGAACTCGGGATGGGATGGCGGGGTAGTATCTTGGCCTTGGGGGAGTTGTTCGGCGGCGACCCAGGAGAGAGAACCTGGAGGGCCCAGTGGGGGCCTCCTGTCTAAACCTTATAGCATGACCAGGTCACAGGATACCTCCTGCAAACTGCTGCTCCTGCTGGTGTTTAGGCAGCCGTCCTTAGATCCTTTTCCATCATATCTTTCTCCTACTTTACTCAATTTGTGGTTGAGATGACCGCGCTCGCTTGGTGCTCATTCCCGGTGCTCGTCCTGTACGACGGACTTTAGGTACGGAATTTGTTGGAGCCTCAGAGCCTGGAGGGGCTCTCAGTCGGCACAATGCTGCTGGCGCTGCTGGGCAATGCACTCATGGTTCCTAGGGCCCTGCTGGTGCGGGACGTGGTCTGGCTGAGCGGCACGACGTGGGCGTGCGCCGCAGGATGGGGCCAGCTGTTCAGCATGTTCCGCAGCGTGTCGGCGACCACCGGGTGAGGGGGAAGAGGGGTGCAACAGGTGGAGGTGGAGGGCAGGGGACGGGTCAGGTTAGAAAGGGTTCGTAAGCTTGATGTGAGAGGGTGAGCTGGTGCGGCAGCGCCTGAGATGTCAGGCGGCCGCAGCAGGGTTAGTCACGGGAGCCATCGGCGGAGGCCCTGTTTCCGTTTTTCGGGATGGCAGTCGTGGCGTTGAAGGGCAGCATAGTAGTAGAACTGTCGATGCACCTCAAGGACTGGGCACAATCCGCTGTACGCCGGTCTGACGGTTCGTCGTCCCTTCCAGTTCGCTGAAAAGCCCATGCTTCCGCTTGTGTGCGGCCCCGTGTCAGGTTGAGATTTTTGGACCCGTGGGTCTTCTTCACGGTTACAGCCGCCCTGGTGGTGTATGCGGGGTATGTGCTTGCTGAGCATCGGAAAGCGCAACAGGAAGGCGGGGGCCCACAGCTGCGGACTACGTAGTGTAGGGTTGTGGTGATGGGCGGCTCTACGCTATAGGCTTGGCAGGGCTTACGAAGCTGCGAGAGGGCGGCCCAGGGCCCGGGAGGTACGTTTCTTGCCATGCAAAGTTGGGAATAAATTAAGGAACATGTGAACGTGCGTGACATGGGACTTGCGGGGCGTCGTGGCGAGCAGCAGGCGCTGATGATTCCGGATGTTAGCAGGAAGGATTGCCCAGGAAGTTTTGTTGGCCATTTTGCAAAGTTGGTTGGTGGCCTTCGGGCCGCTAGTCCCACAGGCTGGTGTGCTGGGAAGGCGGTTGGCTCCACCAGGGCGGTGCCGATGGTACTCTAGGGAGCTAGCTGTTGGAGCGAGAGTGAACCATACCGCCATGGCTCGGCTGTTATCTATTAATTGCATTAACTCGTTGATGCGGCCTTTGTCGTTGAAGGCAATTTGCTTTGCTTTGCCTGCATAATTTGTTGATGATGGTCGTGCGGATGTGTGTCGGAAGTCGAGTATGTCGAAAATCTAGCTTTCTATGGCAGCAGCAGCTTGGTGCTATTGTTTTGCATTACACATTCATAGCCTGAGACCTATGTAAAATCCTTATTATGGCTTCAAAATACATGTCGCTGCGGATAGGGAACACTAATGGAAGACGTACAACAGGAGCGGAAGCTTGGTCCACTACACAAACTTTTTATACTTTTTCTAACGTATGGCATCCATCTCGTTTGTGGGTCCTGAGAATTGTGGTGATGTAGAAAGCCACTGTGCCCCATGGGTAACAACTACAGTACAACCTATTTAGAAGAGACGCCTCCTTGGGAGGAGTACATTGCCCAAGCATGGAGATCAGAGCGCTGTCGAGAGTTGGACCGGTTAGGAGGTGCGTGCCTGGGTCACCAGCGACATCCTTTGTCTTGTGCACTCAGCGCATCCAGAGCACCTAAATTGCTTTGCCTGGCAGGTCTCAACCGACCTGCTATTGCTCGTGGTCAAAGCTTTACGGCAAAGCTCCAGTTTCTCGCGGTACGTCTTCGCAAACGCACATGTTCGGGTCTACCCACGTCAATTGACTGACAAGACCGCATTATCCTTGTAATGCACGGCAAAACTTACATGTTTCTGGACGTTCGGTGTGCAGGAGCAAGTAAAAAAGCAGGGAGATGTCATGCAGGTTGGTGCGGCAAATTCTCCAGTTTGGAATGCGCATCGGAAGGTGGTGGGAAATAGAAGGGACTTGAGCATATTATTAATTACGCGTGTCCCAAGGCACTGCCGAAATTGTCCCGGGCTGACCAGACCCGATAGCAAATGGATAGTTAGCCGAACGCTACTGCACCCTCTTGGCTGGTGGCCACAACATGGGGAAGATATATTACCCGTTACTTTGTACGCTAGTATGTCCTCGTGCTTAAGGCGGAAGCGTTTTGCTGTCGTACTGTGCCGGTGGCGCTGTCAGTACTGGGCGCTACCCCGCAAAGCGCAATGTTCCATGTCCCGATTTCTTAACCTGTCAGCCGTTTGCGACTCTGCCAGGGGGGAGGCATTATTTCCCTCGTCTTCTAATAGATGCCCCCGCTCTTATGGTTTAGGATCCGTTGCCATGCTCCTGTATGAGAGTGTGTGGCCTGCGCTGTTGCCCCCACCCCCCGGGGCCCGCAAAGCTCCCCTGATACCCCACGGACCACCAGAGCTTTGCGCCCTCGTCCTGGAACCCGTGCTGCCCCGCCCGCCGCAATAATGGCTCCTTCCTTCGCCGTACGCGTTCCCCACCGCATCTACCAACCCGCCCCCCTTCCTCCTCCCCCATTCCAGGAGATGCTCCTCCCCCAGGCCGCGCCGAAGGAGGAAGCCAAATACACGGGCTTCACTCTCGCCACGGAAAAACGCGCCTACGAACGCATGCTACAGGAGCAGGAGCGCGAACGCGCAGCACACCTGGCAAAGCTGGCGGCGGCAGCAGCGGCAGCAGCGGCGGCGGCGGCGGAGGGGGCTGACGCGGCGGAAAGCGACGCCGCTGCTGATATCGCTGCCGCCGTCGCTGCCGCCGCCGCCGCTGCGGCGGCGCCGGGGCCAGGCGCGGTAGTGGCTGCGGGGCAGGCGAAGCCTAGCGAGCGGGGGTGGGTAGCTGGGCGGTTGCGTCGCGCCATGGGCAGGGGAGACTATATCGCGTTTGTAGCGATGTATGTCCTGTTGGAAAATGACAGTTGCAGTTTGTTTTATCATTATGTGTGTTGAATGGCGGTAGGCGCGGCGCGCATGTCTATACGGGTACGTGAGAGATGGGGGGCGCGTGCGTGAGACCACCTGGTGCCGTACAGGCGTCACAACCCACAGGAGGGCGGGAAAACCCGGGAGGACCGGGGGCACCGGCAGGGGAGGAGGACGTGCGCGTCGTGTGTTTGTAAAACACATTGCTGTGTTTGTACGTGTCTAATCCTGTGCATCTGAGCTGTGGTCTTGCGTCTGTGCGGGTTTGTCTTCTTCCGTCTTCCTGTCTGTCTGTATGTTCGATTGATATGTTCGAATTTTGCTTTTAGAAAGTTTAAAGGCAAGGCGACGCTGACCGATCTTCCTGGTAGATAAGCTGGTAGATAGCGAGTCCGCCGGGGACCGCGGTACTTAACGCAGCGAGGGGGACGACGAGGCTCCCGGCTTTTAGAGTTCAGCTGTGAAGCCAGGCAGCGGCAGATGGGACCTCACCCAGGAGGGTGTGGAGGGTGTGGGGGGTGTGGAGGGTTCGGAGGGTGTGGAGGGTGTGAAGGGTTCGGAGGGTGTGGAGGGTGTGGAGGGTTCGGAGGCTGTGGAGGGTTCGGAGGGTGTGGAGGAGCACGCGCTGCTGCCTACGCCTCCGCTGCCACTCCCTCCCCCACCTTTGCTGTGGTTAATGCTTTGAGCGTGTCTGCAATCGTCTGTTTGGGTTTTCTACCGCATAAATCCCGCCCCTTGATGCTGGTGCTGCTGGTGCTGCAGGTCCACGCCCCTGCCCTCCCCCAAGCCGCTCCCCTCCTCAGAGGGGCGGTCCAGAGCCCGGAGGCCCCAGGGTGGGTCTTACCTTCCCCCCAGCACACATACACACACACATATCTCCACCCCTGCAATATGTTTGAATCGCTCGCCGTGATATAATGCATATGCATTCATATTATATAAAATATACATGTAGATGTAGATGTAGATGTAGATGTAGATGTAGATGTAGATGTAGATGTAGATGTAGATGTAGATGTAGATGTAGATGTAGATGTATCCATTTTCCACACGGCAATGGCTCGCAACGTGTCTCTGGACGTTTTGAGAGGTACAGGTCGTGTGGGGACGGGCTCTCTGCTCGTCCCCGTCGCATCCAAGCATCCCCGCAATACCGGATGCACTCGCACACGCCAGTCGCCAAGTCAGCTACATCCTCCCCCCGCTTTGGAGGTCTCCAGGACAACCCTACCTACCCCACACGGGCCCACCTCGTCGCGGCTCGGAGGCACAACCTTCCAAAACCCAGCTCGTCCCCCTGCTGCAACCACCACCGGTGTCCGTTTTCCTTGTTGCTTGACCCTCCACCTCCTCCGCCGCCCTCACCCCGGGGCCACCTCCGGATGTGTTCCCTCCGCTACCTGACCCCGCACCCGCCTCTTTAGCGTACTCGTTATCATTTCTTCATCACCCCCCAGCACACAGACAAACACCGTTCCAACGGTTGTCGTTAGGGTCTTTTTTACTCCCCTTCATATCGAGTTCCCCTCCATTGCATCCTGCACCCCCCTCCGCAGTCGGCGGCGGCACCTTGACCGCCGCTGCCCACACCTTATCCGCCCAAGGTTACCCCATCGCCCCGTGGCGACTGAGGCTGTGGCTGGCCAGGAAGCGCGTCATGATCATAGTGCTCACAGTGCTGCGGTTGCGGCGCGGCAAAATGCGGCGACGATACGGCAATAAGTAAGGGGGCGAAGTTGGGGGGGTGTTACGGTGGGGGATTAAGGTGTTGTAGAGGTCGGAATTTGTATCTTTTGACTCTTCCTTCGCATTATGTAGTGCAACCCCCTCACCCCCTCAACCCCTCATTCCCTCAACCCCAAACCCAAACACCACCGTGTGCCCCGCCCTCCGGCTCCGGTCAATCACCTGTGCTTCGTCGTACCCCTCCGGGGCCCCAGGCTGGACAACCTGGGGTTCATGATCCACCGCGTCCTGGCGGATGACGTGGGCCGGTTCGTGGAGGAGCAGCGCAAGTACTCCAGCACGAAGGAGGAGCTGGAGGGGGCCAAGGTGGGCCGGAAGAGAGGGGGGGAGGGGACCCGCCGGGGGCTGGGACACGTCGGAACGATGTGCAGTTGGGTTGGAAAGAGTCCTGGGCCGACGAGCGTGCTGGCGGGTCCATGCGTCCATCCCCTTACACCTCTGCCTCTGCCTCTGCCTCTGCTCGAGCCCCCAGTGGGTTGTTAGGGCGTGGGGTGCGGGGAAATGTGGGCATTAGGTTCCCTCACCTCACCTCACCGCACCGCACCTCCCACCTTGCTTCTTGCCTACGAACCCCTCCCCCCCTCCCCCTCCCCCCCTCCCCCTCACAGCAAGCCCTCCACGAGATGCTGTGTCGTAACAGCACCGGTCCGCTCCAGGGCGGGGCCGGAGGGCCCCTCGCGGAGGACTCCTCCTGGCCGCCAGGGGCCCCCACCACCACCGGGTGAGACGTGGGGGCGGGGGGTGGGGGGCCCCTGAGGAAGGGGCTGACGGACCCGGACGGCGTGTAGACGGGTTTTCACGGTGGTGTGTTCTTTGCGGGTGCGCTTTGGCCAATGGTGATGTTTTAGTGGTGGTATTGGTATTACTTGGTTGTACAATTATCGGTTGTATCCGTGTAACTTGAGTGTCGGGTGGGGCGAAGCTGATGGCTCACTCCGGCGCCAAACCTCATTCCGAGCTGCCATGTCATTATTGTTGTCTTTGTATTGTGTACCTGTACCTGTCGTACAGGTCTATCTCGCGGCAAGGCAGCATGGCCCGGGTGCCCTCCCTCTCAGCCACCGTCGCAAACACGCTCGCGCCATCGCCGGGCGGGGGGGGCGGCGCCGCCGCCGCCGTCGTCGGGCCTCGTGCCTCCACCACCCTCTCCACTGGCCGCGCCAACTCCCGCACCCGCGCCTCAGACAGCGGCGCCATCACGGCCGCGCTCCATAGCGCCGGCGTCTCTCCGTTGCGCACACAGCACAATCAACACCTCCACCATCACAGCCACCTCAGCGGCGGCGTGGGGGCCCCGGCGACAGGGCCATTGCTGTCGCCCAGCGGCTCTCTCACCCACCAGCAGCAGCCGCAGACGCTAGGCGTGGCGGGTAACGGCCCACCGCGGCTTAGTGCGACGGGGATAATGCAGCGTCTATTTGGAGGCGGCGGCGGAGGTGGAGGCGGCGGAGGCGGCGGCGGCGGCGGCTGGGACGACAGCGGGTCTGTGTTGGCGCAGTGTCCTGTGAGCCCCCTGCTGGGTGCAACTAGCAGCAGCAGCCCGCGGTCCAGTTTTAATAGCGGGCTGGGAGGTTTTTTGGCGGCAGGAGGTGGCGGAGGCGGAAAAATGCGGCGGACCAGCACTCCAGGGGGACTTGGGTCGCCTTGCAGCAAGGACAGCCCGCTGACCAGCAGAGGTGAGTACGGCATTGTGTTTGTATGTATGTGTGTGGGGAAGCGGGAGGTAAGTAGGTAGGTAGGTAGGAAGATAGGAAGGGTTGCGGGTCGTGGACTGGTGATGAGGGTCCGTCACTCTCACTGCTCACGGCGAAGGCCGTACGGCAGCTGTGTGTGCCCACACCGCTATGGCGTCTGGCCCAGACGGCCGCCTGCGGGCGTATACACAAACACATTCCCCTACCCACACACCGCCCTTCGGCTGGTTAAAGGTTTGTCCGCGGCCTCCCGCAGCCGTCCCAATCGCTTTCCACAACCCCCGCAACCTTACTTCATCACATTTCCGTACCTGTCGTAACACCTCCCGTAACACATCTCCCCTGTTTAAACCCTCCTCCCCCCCCCTTCCCCCCCTCCTCCCTCCTCCTCCTCCCGCAGAGCCCTCTATCACCTATCAGTGCCAGCAGCCAGGTACTCCCCCACACACACTGCCGTCCAGCCCCAGCGGCCGCCGCTCCGTAGCCGTGATACCCCCCACACCCACCTCCGTCACCGCTCAGCTAGCGGGGACAACTGCGGCCGCCGCCGCCGCCGCCGCCTCTATGTCGGGCGGCCTCAGCTCTATGGCGGCGCGGCGCTTCAACAGCCGCAGCAGCCCCACCGCCAACGGACCCACGGGTCATTCCCCTGGCCTGGTGACCACCGGCGCCGCCGGGCCTCTGCAGGCGCGGGTTTCCGTCACCAGCGCCGTCGCCGCGAAGCACGGGCAGATCATGCAGGCCCAGACGCAGATTGAGGCTGAATCTAGTAATCTGAAAAAGTCCTCGCAGATGCTGTCCATGTACGTCAATCGCGCGAATGCGGCTTGGGCAGAGGCGCAGTCGTGGAGCACGGTGGACGCGTCGGCGCCGGGGGAGCTGGAGGCGTTTTGTTACAGCGAGCAGTACAGGATTTATCACGCGGATCTTATACGGCGCTTACGGCAGGGCTCGATCTGTATGCAGATCTTCGCGGGAGATGATTTTTTGACGGGTACGGAGAAGCGGCCCGGGTCGTCTTTCGGATTGGGTGTCGGGTTGTCTGGCGGCAGTGGCGGCGCACACCAGACAGTGACGGTGCCGTCGCCCCCGACAACGCCGCACGACAGCGGCGGCGGCGGCGCCGCCGCCGCCGCCGCAAATGGAAAGCACGGCAACGGTCACGTGAATGCGAACGGCAGGTCGCGGCAGCTGTCGCATTTTGACAGCGGTGGCAGTGCATCGGGTGCCGGCGGCGGCAGTGGGTCATCGTCGGGCAGTGGCGCGGCGACGGCGGGGGCCCCGCTGACGTCCCTGTTGACGCTGCGGCGGCGTCAGCAACACGACCTGTGGACCTCCGACCCGTGGGATCTCATTGACCGCTTACGGCCGGGCATCATGCCGCAGACCGACCGAATACAGGTACAGTCGTACGGCACAGTACGGCACCATCAGCATCAGCATCACCATCACCATCACCATCACCGGCATCATTCGTTGTGAACCGCATTTCCCCGCCCATCCCCACACCTTAGCTTTCGGCCCATATTGCTTTGGACCTAAAGCTTTGTTAGGTGTTTTGTATACACCCTGCCGATGACCAGTCCGATGTCCCTTAGAAACCCCAAAAGCTCCCGCTGGGCCCTCCCCCCTCCGACCGCGTCTTCCTAGGCTTTTCCCTTCCCCTCCCTCATCCCGGCCTCCGCAACAGCCCACCCGCCGGGTGCATGTAATCTTCCTCCACAGCCAATGGATCACCTCTCACCTCACCCCACCATCATACCCGGAAAACACTATACCCTGAAAAATGAAAAAAAACGATCGAACACCGGAACCCCCGATCGAACCCCGTGTCCCGCGCTTTCCCCCACCCGGACCTCTCCTCCGCCCCTTCCTGTTCAGGGCCCCTCCCTGGGTGCCCGCATTCTGTGTCAGCTGGTGTTGGCAGTGGAGCAGCTCGCGGGGGCTGAGGCCAAGTCGGTGATGCCCGTGCTGCTGCACATCAACGAGGAGCAGATGGAGGAGGTGGTGCAGGAGCTCTGGTCGTACAGGTTCTTCGGGTGAGCCAGAACCTGCGCTCCGGGATCTGCTCGCCGGCGGCTGCACGGCGGTGCGCCGCCCGGCCATCCGGACACACGACGTGAAGGAGCGAAACAAAGACGAACCTCCCTGCAGGCGCACAAACCCAAATCACACCGTGCGTGTGATGTACATACGTACAAATACACACACACGCGGACGCACATGCACGTATGATCACGCTTTGCAGCCACCTTCTGGCCAATCAACTTCACACACTCACACATGCTACGAACATCATCCCTTGGTGCTCAATCGATCTCTTCCGGCCCAGATCCCAGGTCCCAGATCCCACCCGTGTTTGAAAACCTCTGACCCGTCCGACCTCCCTGCCTCCACAACCCAATCCTTCCTGTGCTGTGTTAGCCTACCCGCCTACCCACCTACCAATGTAACTACTGGTCGGTAACTTCTTACAATTTCCTGATGCAGTATGATGTATGTATATCTGTCTGTCTATTTCCTGCGGAGTGGTATCCGTATATCTCTTGGAGTATCAGCTCCACCACTCGTGTGTGTTTCGTCTTACCCCCTCCAAGCAACCTGGTGACTTGCCCTGCCCACCGCAACCCCCCGGGTTTCCCTGCTCGCTGCGCAGCCTGAAGCGCGACAACGTCATCTTGGTGGCGTCGCCCTTGCACAGCGGCTACCGCTTCAACCACGAGCTCAAGGTGTTTGAGAAGGACTACGGCAGCCCCGTGGCCCCCCTGGGCTCGGGCTACAGCCTGCTGCAGATGACTTGGGCGGGAGAGGCGTTCATAGTGGGGTCGGAGGGGGCGCCCGAGATGCTGGACACGCCCGCGCTGACCATGCTGCTGGTGGGTGGGTGGGGGGTGGGGGGGTGGGGGGTTGGGGCTGGGGGGTTGGGGTTGGGGGTCTTGCGGGAAAAAGGGGGGACTTAGAGGATACCTTATCGGCGGTATCTTGTTTCCATTGCTGTGTGCGTGTTGTCACTGGTGCAAGAGCGAACAGCGGTTACATCGTACTGTTAGGAGCTACTGCTACTGCTACTGTTACTGCTACTGCTACTGCCGCTGCGCTTCATTCCTTATCCCCTCGTCCTTATTTCCCCCCCTCCTCCTCAACCCCGCCGTCCCGCCTCCCTGTCCCCCAGGAGCGCAAGGTGGAGTGGCTGGTAGCTCGTCGCGCCCGGGACCTGGCCCTGCTTTCACGTGACGCCATCCTGGACGTGCCCATGCTGGCCTACTGCATGGCCCTCAAGGAGCGCTCCGGAATCGGGGCAGCGGGCGGCATGTCGGCGCCCATCGCCGCCGCCGGGGGGTCCGCGGGCCGCGCCAACATCCTCATGGAGGTCACGTACGCGGAGAGCCTGGTGGACGCACGCGCGCTGGACTCCTTTGTCATGACGCGCGTCGGCCCGAGCGGCAGCGGCGCCGCCGCCGCCGCCGCCGACGGCAGCGGCGTCGGCAGCGTCGGCAGTAGCAGCCAGCTGTCGCTGCAGCTGTCGACCCGTGTGTCAGCCGGCGCGCAGACAGCGCCATCGCCGTCTGCTGGCAGCGGCACCGCACCTAGTCCGAACGGGGAGCAGCGCAATAATGCCCAGGCGTACGGGTACCTGTATTACGGGTACGGCATGAATGTACAGCACCATACGGTGCCGGATGTGGCGTCGGCGGTGATAGAGCTACGGCTCGGGGAGCTTGGCACCCCCAAGATGATCGAGTCCCTCAACCACCTGCGGGGATTCCGGGACGGCCAGGTGCGGGGTCAGGAGGGGAGGGGAGGGGAGGGGTGGGGGGGGAGCTGGGGGGCCGTATACGCGTGGGTGATGTAGGCGGGTGGCGCGGGTGTGGAGTTCCCGGTAGTGGGACATCATACGGGGCTGCATCAAACGCATGTCGCATGAGATGTGCATACGGTGCCCCGTGTTTTACAGTTATGTGGTATGGTGTCCTCCAGTGCTTCCGCCTCCTGCCTTTGGTGGCGGTGTGTGGGGGGTGCCTCCTCCTCCTCCTCCTCCTCCTCCTGACGTCTCCGCCCTCATCTGGGAGATACCATACCTGTGGTCGCCAAAGTCCCCTTCCCTTCCTCTCCTCCCTTCCCTTTCCTTCCCTTCCTTTCCCATCCCGCCGTGGGCTGTAGTTAATGTACGATAACACTTGCATGCACGTATCCACGTGGGTGTATCCACGCCCGCATCCAACCCTACTAACGTCCCCCTCCCTCCCCCCGTCCCCCCGTCCCCCCGTCCCGCCATCTTCCTGCCCGGCAGGTCCCCGTGGGCCTAGGTCGCTACATGCTCCACGTGCCATCCCTCCCGGTGCTGCTCCCTAACGCCTCCGCGCTGCGGCCCAAGCTGGCCCTGGCGGAGGAGCTGGTGCGGGTGAGTCTGGACCTGGGGGACATCACGGCGGCACCCAAGGCCCGTACCCTGGCCGTACATGCGCGGGTCAGCCCGGGAGTGCTGCTCACCGCGGACGACCTGGAGAAGGTCATTCCGCTGCTGCAGGTGCGGCCGAGGGGGGGGAGGAGGGAGGAGGGGGGGCTAGGGGTGGGGGGGTGGAGGGGGGGATGGCGGGGGATGTAAAGTGCGGGAGAAGGTTCGTGTGGTTTGGTGAACTGAGGTGAGGTGCCGTGCGTATGGAACACGAGAGCAGCTTTAGGGGATGGGGGGGGTCAAGTTTGCCGCGGCCTTCTTCCCTTTTGCGCCCATCCTCTGCGCGTTGAGTTCGCCTTATTTGGGTCTGAAATGTTCCCTTCCACATGAAGCCCCGCCCATGCCCGCCTTCCTCTCTACCTCCCTCTCTACCTGCCGTACAGGCCCAGGACCACGACCTGGCCTTCCGCGACATGCTGGTGGCCAATCGCTCCGAGTCGCAGAACCTCAACTTCGTGGCCTCTCAGGCTTTGTCAAGCAAGTCGGGCGGGCAGGTGAGAGGTAGACACCGGGCAGAGGGGGGGGGAAGGGGCAGCCTTACTGCTCCTTCATGTCCGGATTGTTCGTTTGCTGCTGCTGCTGCCGATGATGTTGATGATGATGATGATGACAATATTCCTGGTTGTGCTGTCCTCTTCAGGGCGGATCTCACCTCGCATGGCAATATCTTCCCCGGATGCATGAAGGCGGCCACATCGGCCGCATCCCTCCGTCCCTCATTTGGTTGATTCCTCCGCTGTCCGCATCTCGTCGCACGGTCAGCACTCCTTCCTCACAGCCACCCCTCTCAACCCCCCACTTACCCCCCCGTCGCGACTACCACGTCTACCTGCCGGACATAACCCCACCCCGGCCCTGCTCTCCCTTTCCGTCCCCCCTCCCTTTCGCCACATCCCGCGCCGGCTCATTCTCCTCCCTCCCTCCCCGTGGTCCCCCAGGTGATTGTGGTGTTCGTGGTGAACAACCGGGTGTCGGCTGCGGCTGTAGACGCCGCCGGTCTGGTCGCCCGCCCCGGTCGCGACCGGCTGCACCTCGTGACGTGTGTGAGCAACAGCCTCCAGCGCGCGGATGCGGAAGAGCTGTTGCGGGTCTTTCAGAAGCGGCTGCTCAAGAGCATGGTGGACACGTGCGTGGAGGTGCTGGTGAGTGATAGGAGGGGGAGGGGGAGGGGGAGGGGGAGGGGGAGGGGCTAGCCCCTTGAGGTGGACTCTGCTCACTCGGGGGTTTGTACGGGAGTACGGAGCACAGAGTACGGAGATGTTACCTCCGCGGGAGCTTTTGGGGAGGGTGATGGGTCAGGATAGAAACGGGCCCCGTCCAAGGACCGCAATGATGTATGTATGATGTATGTATGATGTATGTATGATGTATGTATGATGTATGTATGATGTATGTATGATGTATGTATGATGTATGTATGATGTATGTATGATGTATGTATGATGTATGTATGATGTATGTATGATTCTAAGTACGGTGTATGAATGTATGAATGTATGTACGTGCGTACGTGAATGTGTGTGTGTGTGTTGCCGGTTGCAGGTTCGCGGCATGTGGGGTTTGTTAGACATCATGGATAACTACGTGACGGCAGTGGAGGCGCAGATGGTGGTGATGGGGTCCGAGCACCTCACATCAAATGACTTCAACTACGTCATCGGCTCCATCACCCTCTCAGCAATCAAGCGCCTGCACGTGCCCGTCATGGTGGTGACGGCAAACTCCAGATGCAACATCGCCATCGGAGGTGACTGGACGCCGCCGGGCAGCCTAGCTGCAGGAGGAGTCGCAACCGCAGGGGGCTCGCGGGGGCCCGGCGGGGAGAAGCTCAGCGGCGGCGGCGCCGGAGGAGCACCCGGCGGCGGCCCCGGCGGCGGCGGTGGAGGCGCCTCCGGGGCCGCCGCCGGTGGTCCTGGGCGTGCGGGCAATCCTGGCGGCGCGCTGCGGTGTCTGTCGCTGGTTGAGAACCACGCTCGCAACATGTTGGCGTTTTTGTGCACCAGGTTGCTCGACATGAAGAGGGGCGACAGGCTGCTGCTGGCGCAGATCCTGGTGGGTTGCGCATTGGGGTGCGTGGTTGTGTCGTTGTGTGTTACGTGGGGGAGGTGGGGGAGTTAAGGGGAGATGGCTGCGTGTGGCGGTAGGGCTGTGTGAGTGTGTAGGTACGTAAGCTCAATGGGCTGTATAGTGCCATAACAACGCGTCAGCGCCATGCAGAGCAGTGTGGCTATGAAACCCGAAAGATGCTCTAGCACACCGGAGCGACCTCCTTAACTGGCCGGCATTTTTACAGGTCGTACCAGCACGCACAACCAACTCTTCTGAGCTCACAGAAATCTCGGTTTTGTATCGTTATACTCTCAGAAAACCTTCAGGATAATATAGGATATATATACCAGGGGACAAACCCGCGTGCGTGGGAATAGCTATTTGGCCTGAAGGCCACCCTCCATCCCCTGCTCTTAACACACACTCACGCCACCCTCCTGTACCCCAGAACCCCCCTGTACCCCCCAACCCTAAGCTACCTGTTACCCCCCTGTACCCCCTCCCCCCCGCGGCAGCCCACCCGCCACCTCACTCGCCAACAGGCCGCCTCCATGCGCCGCTCCCTGGACAACTTCAACCTCCTGGCCTCCGGTCACGGCTTCTCGGTCAACCGGGTGCTATCCCTGGAGGGACCTCTGGATGAGGTGCTGGCGGAGGCGGTGGGGGTGCAGCAGATCCAGGTGCTGGCGCTGGCGCTGCCGCAGGTGCGTGGGTACAGGGAAGAGGGAGCAGGGGGAGTGAGGAGGGTGCTGCCGCTGCGGCGGCAGGGACTGTGTGCATAGCAGGCGTAGCCACGTCACGCGCCCCCACAGGGCCCCCTTGCACCCCCCCCCTCATTTAACAACCCCTTCAGCAACCCCACCTTCACATCCGGATCAGAAGTCCGTCTTGCTATCAACACCACCTCAACCCCTACATCGTTGGAGGATTTGTAAAGATGAAATCCTCAACTCCCTTCTCCTTACCTTTGCACGTGTATATGTGTATGTATGCATGTATGCATGCATGTGTGTCCTTTCATCTTTCTGTCCCTCATCCCCAACCCCAGGGCCTGAAGACCCTGCCACCCGCCCTGGTCAACTTAATTCGCTCCAGCCGCGGGGTGACGCTGGTGTACAAGGAGCCTCTGGGGGCCGCACAGCATCAGCAGCAGCATCAGCAGCAGCAGGTGGTATCCAGGGGGCCGTTCGGTCAGGGCGGGGGCGGGGGCGCCGCTGCAGCGGCCTCAGCGCTGTCTGTGTCCGCCTCCTGGCCCCACACGAGCACCGGGCTGGGCATGGCCGGCGCCACCATCAGCGGAGCGCTCGGCTGATGGAAGCGCACTACTGGAGAAGTAGCGGCTGGCTTGCGGCTGTCCCGCTACATCTACCTGGCTGGCTGGCTGGGTGGCTGGCTGGCTGGCTGGCTGGCTGGCTGGCTGGCTGGCTGGCTGGCTGGCAGGCTGGCTGGCTGGCAGGCTGGCTGGCTGGCTGGCTGGCTGGGTACATCCCGCCTGCAGGGTGCGTCCTTGCTCTCTCGTGTGTGAGCGTGTGCGTTTTGGTGTGTTCGTGTGTGGGGGGGAGGGTTTGTTCGCCATTCGGTGGATCGGTGGCGGCTTGGGGGTTCCCTGTCTGGCGCTGTCTAAGTCCTGAAATGGGCTCCTGCTCCGCGTGAAGGGGGGGAGGTGAGGGGAGGTGGGTGTTCAGCACAGGGGAGGAGGGATATGCAACCACCCCGCCACCGCCGCTTTGGGAGCTGTTTGGGTCGGTCAGGGCAGGGCAGGGCAGGGCAGCAGTGAGCGCTGAATTTGGGTCGGGTGGGGTGAGGGAGTCTTGAGGTGTGCGAGTCGAGCGGGGAGAGGTAACGGGTGAATTTGTCCTCGACGGCCGAGGAGGGATTCCTTCCCCTCACGGCGACGTCTCACAGCCTCCGCGAAAGTGGGTGCGGGTGCTCGGGGTGTCGAGTGCTCGTACGGTGATGGGCGGCCGCCGTGGAGGCGACTGGAGGAAGGAGCTGCGGGGCAGTGGTTGGGGTGTCGGGCCGCCGCCAGGGCGGAGCGGCACGAAGCGGAGTGCGGAGCGGCAGGTGGGGCGGCTGCCCTCCCTGCCGTCTTGGCGGTGCAGGGCCATCAGGACCGCACAGTTAGTTGCCCGAGTGGGGAGGGGCCGGCTCAAGGGAGGCCGCATGTGCGCGGGTTTGGTAAGCCTGGGTAGTAGAGCCCTGTGGGGATACGGGTGGAAGGTTGGAACGGCTGCCCGGCTGGCTGGTTGGCCGGGTGCAGATGTTGATGCTGTTTTTGGTATTCATCATCACGCGAACGTCCATCTGATCCAAGCACCTACCTCGCCACCGCACACACACACAGACACAGACACACACACGAACACAGCGAGACATAGGGAGAACTCCAGGGATGGCGGCGCTGTGTTGCACTGTTAACGAAAACGGATTATGCGGTGCCAAGTTTGTGGACGGGTGGGGCAGGGGGGGGGAGTGAGGGACAATAGGAAGCTTCCAGCCTGTCCGGAGGAAAGGGGAGGTCGGTGTGGGGGTTTGTCGGTGCTGTCTGCAGCCTTTCTTTTCGTGTTGCGGCGGCGGCAGCGGCGCTGGCGGTACGTAGTGTTCATCCCCCGACATACATGCACACACACCCACACATACATACATGTGTACACGCGGCTACACGCACGTTTCTTCGGTTCCGCCCCTACACCGGCTTAGGACTAGTTTTCCCCCGGGGTTCCTCCCAGGGCGCGCCTCCTAGGGGGGCTCTTTAACCCGCAGCCCTTCAGCTTCTTCACCGTCCTCCCGCCCGGTGTGACTCCTCATTGGGGGTGTTCCTGTCCCCATGTGTTGCAAAACGATGAACGCCATGCGTCGTTTTTGCATCGGCGTTATTGGCTTGGCGGTATGATGCTGCGTAATGCGGTGCGGTGCGGCGCCCTTAGAAGACCGCGAACGGCGTGGTGACCCGTATTTATGGTGCTGCAGTGTTTTGTACGGAGGAAATGCATCGTTCATGGTTTAGTACGGCAGAGCGGTGGCTTGATCAAAGCTCCTGGCGTGGTGGCGGCTGGCGGAGGTAGCGAACGGGAATAATTGCAAGATTGCATCTTGACGGGTGGTGGATCTACCACCTAGTGCCCTCCTACAGGGTGCGGTGGTGGGACGAGAGCCCCTTCTCCATGCATCTCTAGGCTGCTCAGCAAGCAGCAGCAGCAGTAGTACTATTGTTAGCGGCAGTAGTCGTAGGAGCAGCAACAACAGCAGGAGCATGGCGCTCTAACCACCTGGCTACTCCAGGGCTTTCGCATGCGTTTGCAACACACTCAGACATGCAGACACACACACACACACACGCACACGCACACACACACACACACACGCACACACACACGCACACACACACGCACACACGCACACACGCACACACACAAAATCAAGTATCACGTCACATCACAAGCACATCATGCAATTCACGCGACCACCGCGTGCACGCTCTTTGCCACGCAGGCCACATCACATCACATCACATCACATCACATCGCACACTCGCACACACTCGTACACACTCGTACGGACTCACGTAGGATGCACGATGTTCGTATTGCATGATGCATGATGTTCAGACGGGAACAGGCCGGGGATTGAGCCCCACGGGGGTTGGGAGGTGTGCTTTGGCGGGCGGTGACGAGGGCCGGCGGTTAAAAAAGTGTGATGGCTGCGCCCACCGTCTTAACTCCTGGGACGTATTATGGTTGGCCCGATGGGGATGGCGCGGCGTCCTGCCGTGGGCGGGTCGTGGTCGTGGTCGTACAGGCCCCTATTTGGGTTGCTGTTGGCTGCCGGGCAATCCGGGGGCCAGCGGGCGGGTATTAGGGTCGTGTGATCAGCGCAGTGTGGCACTGGAGACCGCCCGACGGTGCGTTGCCCGGCACAGTGCAGCACGCTTGTGCTCGTGTATGTGTGTGTATGTCCCCTAGTTGCAGCGGCTGCAGCTGCGGTGAGCAGCCGGGGGTTGGGTGTGGCGGCCGGCTGCCGCCGCTCCCGGCCGCGGCTGCTCCGCGGCGTTGGTGTTGTCTGGTGCCCAGTGTGGTGTGGTGTGGTGTGGTGTGGTGTGGTGTGGTGTGGTGTGGTGTGGTGTGGTGTGGTGTGGTGTGGTGTGGTGTGGTGTGGTGTGGTGGTGTGGTGTGGTGTGGTGTGGTGTGGTGTGGTGTGGTGTGGTGTGGTGTGGTGTGGTGTGGTGTGGTGTGGTGTAAGGCTCTCTATGGGGATGAGGGGGGTGTACTACGGGGGTCGGAGACCAGCCGTGTGGGGGCCCCTGTGTTGCGGCGTGCGGCGGTGGACACTTAGGGTGGAATGTTGAGGGTTCTGGAGCCTGGGGGGCCGTGCCTTGGTGTACCACATGTGTATTACATGCCTCATGTCGAAGCGTGGTGTGTCGGCGGCGCAGCGGCCAGCGTCGTTTGTTCGCCACTCGCTGCGGAGTGCAGACCCACATAAGTGTACGGAGGGTTGATGCTGCGATAGCTCCACGGCTGTGTTGACCGTACAGATGAATGCCGTGTCGTATGGTCGCTATGGCCATTGCCGTGCCGTGCTCTGCCGTGCAGGGCAGGGCAGGGCAACTGAAAGCGGAAAAGGCGTTTCGTCGTCGCCAGCGGAGCTGTCCGGAGTTCGGGTCTCGGGCTCTGCGGATTGGGGCGATTGTGACGCGCGGATCGAAGGTGGTGCAGAGGTGAACTGGAGGCTGTCATTAGCAGACTGGGTTGGAGGATGGGACAGGGGAGGACGAGGGAGGAGACGAGGGGTACTTCCCGCTGGCGATTGTGGTGGTGGTGGCGGTGGTGGTGGCGGTGGTGATGGTGATAGCATCTCGACGTGTCACGTGAATGGCATGCGACCGTCGCATGGGTCGATGTTTTGGCCCCAATGTGCGGCGGTAGGACGGTTATCCATTGGATATTCCATAGCTTCGGTGAACCTAAATTAAGCCGAGGAAATTTCCAGAGCTCCCAAATCCCTGACTTCTGCATCGCTTTGTTGCTTCAACGGAAATGCGCCGACCGGTGCTGCTTAGTGCGAAACTTTAGCGCCTGGGCACTGGCTAGACTTTCCCAGCATTGCTGGGAAGGGGATCTTGCGAGCGAGCGCGAACGCGGCTGCTTCGGGCGGAGCTTAGATTAGCAGGGGTGGCTTAGCAAAGCCACCTCGTGTGTTTCGTTTGTATGCAGGTGTGCTATGCGCTGTGTGTGGCCGTCGCCTCATTGCAAAGACCTCATTGCATTCTTCCTGTCCTGGCGGAGCAAGGCACCTGCTGTGCCGGTATGTTGAATGGCTAGATTTGCGGCCAACGCTTTGCGGCCGGCCGTACCCTCGATCCGGACGCAGCAAGTGCAGTGCTTCGCGAGGAGGAGCTTATTCATTGCAAATTTGCCTAGCATGTAAAATAAATGTTACCCGACAGTACCTACGATGTTGTGACTGGCTGGTTCAACTGGCCGACTGCGCACTGTCAAGCAAATACAGAACATACGCGATACAAATGGGGTGGTCTGCAATTGCAGGATTGACATCTCTACACTCTCGGAGAGCTCCCAGATATGATAGTTTACTAAAACCGCTAAGAAGATGTGAGCGTTATAAAAGGACAGCGGCACACCAATCCTTCAGAAACATAATGTATATCACGTATGCCCATTGCCAAACGTCAACGGTTTAAGCTTTTACCCTAAGTAAACAATTTCCTAGGCCCAACTGACTTAACGGCCGTACGAATAATGCTTCGAAGTTGCAAGGACGTTTGAAGATACAATGTTACAAGTGCTTTAGTGTCACATTAGTTCCCACATTTAACCATCCATTTTGCTCTACGATGAAATTTCAGTAAGTCCTTGGAAGATCACATTAATATAACATACCCTCTTCGCACTTCAAGAAAATATAAACATGGCGAAGGAAGGAGATGCGAACAAAGGGCATCTCCACAAAGGACCAGTTAGCGCGCCTCTGAAGTCCGTGCCGGGCTACAAGCCTGTGAGCTCCATACCAGCCAAATTTGAGACAATTTTATATACAGGACCCAGGTAAGATATCATTGGATCACGAGAAGACAGAAACCGCGGCACGCAGTGGACATTAGAAGTAGGCCCAGAACTCCTGCACCCGCTGCAACTGCTTACAGGGAAAAAAAGGGGTTCAGCACTGAGAGCAGACGCTTCATGGATCCGGACAATGACCTACCTGGGTACGTCAGGGCTCCTCTCGCCCCTCAGCGCTACCCATCACCTTTCCCATCCACCGCTGCCTTTAGCCAGGTGAAGCCGGTCTTCCCCTACTACTTGCACTTCATGACACAGCCCTCGTTACTGTGCAGGCCCGGCAGTTACAATTCACAACCGCCATCCCTGGATCGGCCCAAACCTGAGTCCATTGGGAAGAAGGGATTGGGTCCCATGGCATCGCAGTCTCGGCGCTTTTCGGATCGCGTTTACTACACAGGGCCAGGCCCCACAGATTACCGGAGGCCTGGCGCTGCGATCGAGGATAAAAGCCACAGCAAAGCATTTGTGACTTCAGCCTTCCAGGAAAAAGTAAGGCTGCGGGCTGCAGCAGCGGCCACCTCCGTGGGCTAGGGCTAGTAGTTGCCGGTACCAGCCTTCAGCTATACGCTGAACGCGTTCAACCTGTCAGACACTCTGACTAGTCCACCATCTTTTTGTGGGAGGGCGACGGCGTTCGGGTGTCCCTTGGAGCTAGATGGATTGCTCCGGGATTGCAGACCTGATCCTGCCTATCTTGAGAGTCTTGTTGTTGACTCCTCCCATGGATGAACCTTTCGTAAGGGCGCTGCGCTGTGCGCAATCCATTTGTGGTCGCGCTGCGGGTCAGATCCAGATCTGTAGCAACTCCGCTCAGTCCGAATACCGTAGTACTTGGGGACTCGCCGTTGGCAGCACACGCGGGCTGACCGACCGAAGGAGTGTTCCCACGCAGTGGCACCTGTCGCTGCGGCCAAAGCCCTCCGTGGAAAGGAATGCGCTCATATCGAGCCCATACCGATCCAAAATGGTGGAAGAGATTCAAAGGCCTCTTGAGGCCTGTCTTAGTTTGAAGACGATGAAGAAGGAGCGCCATTTTGGCGGCCCCGCTTGGCGTGCTGCTACCATGGTCCAAACTTTATCGCTTTGGGGAGGGTGGGGAGGTGAAGCGAACTGGAGTCCATTAACGGCCTCGGGGCAACAACGGGCTCACAGAGGGGCGGGCGGTAACACCGGGGTGCGGTAACCTCCTGACGCGCGGCAGCGATGGACGTCGTGTGCTGACTCATGTTGTATGTATGTGTCGTACATTGCCACATTTCCTCGCGGCCACGCCCGTGCCATCGCAGACGACGACATCGTTGGTACCCCTGGACCGTATCACGCCGCATCTGGGGCCTGGCGCGTACGACAGCTCGGCCATCACACGTACGGGCGCCAAGGTGGATTACACGAGCAGGCCTGGCGCCACGTCAGCCTTCAAGAATTCCACAGGGCATGAGTTGATCTTGTCTGGTAACCTGGAGGCGCCCGCGTCCACAAGCTATGAACTGGTGGGACGGGCTCGTTCCACGACCGCTTCGCAACGTGTTCTGTTCTAGACAAGGATGTTTGGGGCGATCTGCGGGATGCAGTATTCGTTGGGGGTGCCCTCGGGTGGTAATACCCCACTTCCCCACCGGTCCACATTCACTGCCCTCTTACCCCCATCCGTGTCCCTCAGGGCGACCCATGGGCCCAAACAGGCACCCGCGGTGGTGGAGGCAGCGCCCGAGTGGGGACGTCCTCCTTTGGGACGAGCGCCGGACGAGGTGCCGCATCCGTGGGCTCCATGGCCGCCACCTTGGACACGTTGCTGTTCGGAGCGCCCTCCGCAGCTGCTGGGAAACCCGAGTCGGGGCCGGGTCCCGGCTCGTATGAGCTGCAAGACTATGCATCCATCCGCGCCAAGCTCAGCCGCCAAGCACAACGGCCGAGCCCCGTGTTCCTCACAGCGGACTCGTCACCTCCCAGGTGGGTACTGCTGAGGCTGGGGCGGGGAGCTCGGGGTGAAGGGGGCGGGTTGGGTGAGAGGAGCAGGGAGGGCGCAATGTCCGGGAGCAGCTAGTTGTCTCTCGGGATGGCTTGCTCCATCAGGAATCCAGACAACGCAGCTGGAGGCGCTGCCAATGCTGCTGGCAGCAGCAGCGGTACGGTGCCTGGTGGGGCACCAACGGGTGCCAGGGGCGCAACAAGCGAAATCTCTTTCCCAAGCGTTCCACGGAGGGGAGAGCCGCAGGCTCACTTTCTTCGGGTCCTTAACTCGCGTCCACTGTCCCTGGGCATCCAGCGGTGGCTGGACAGCATGGCCGCTGCGGGCTTTGAGGGGGATGTGTTTTGCTGTCGCCGCCTCAACGACATCACGCTCATTCCTTTCAGTTGCGTCTGCCCACCCGCAGGCAGCAACCCCGCCAAATATTGGTCAGTGCGGGCGAGAAGGTGGCGCATGACTACCTGCGGCCCTCGCACGCGCCCCTCCACTCGCTCAGTCCGGGGAAAGGCGTCTCAGCACCGTTCCGGAGTCGAAGTGCCGGGCATGAGGAAGTCATTGACCAGCACGCCTACACGGTGTCATCCAACGCACCCGGACCCGCGTACTACCAGCCCCCAACCGCAATCCGTAAATCGTTCCACAAGAATGCCAAGCAGCAGTATATGACGGTTGCGTTCTAGGGGGGATGTAGTTTGGATTTTGGTGGGCGAGGCTAGTATTGTGCGATAACGCGGCCGTCTTGGAAGTGGTTGGAGTGCTGTTTTCCTTGGTGCTTCGTGGACTTGAGAAGGGATAGTAGACCACGTGCCCTTTGACTGCTTTTATACGTTTTAACCTGCCTAAGACTGTGTACTGCAGTGGAGAATCCACCCGTATTTACGGAATTTGCACACTTTGATTACAGGACCCCGGTGTACAGAGTGACCTGATACGATATACACGCTGCGGTTACCAATCTACGGACACGAGTATGGTATACGACGACTAACGCAGGTTGTAACGTAATGACACTATCGCACGAATTGCAAGAGGCTGGCGGGCAGGGGCTAGCATGGCAAGTCACAGAGTTGTTACAACTTTGTGCTGCTCCTGGGTCTACTGCCTGCTGACGCGATGCGGCAATGTTCAGGAGCGCCTCTGCAGCTTTGTTACAGGTAGAAACGGTAATGGTTTTGCCAACATTTAACAGTGTTGCTGTAAACCTGCAGTGAAGACCACAAGAGCAGCGATTCCCAACACCACAATTTTGGCACCCGCCCAAGTTCAGCAACTACACCTGCAGTCCCAACGAACGCTTTGACACCTGCTATGATAATGTGCACAGGTCCTGCGCATAGTCCTGTGTTCGCCATGACTGCATCTGCGCTACATGTTCTCAGTGCACCGTGGAATGATATGCAGCAACATGAACCTCTCACCATAATCCTTAAGACGAACGCGGCAAATATACCATAATTCCTGCGGGACAGACGCAAAAGAATATCTGACTCGCGAGACCCCAAACGCTCCTATGGTTGACTACTTGCGGGAACGGTACCGCATGACGTCCTGTAGCGCAGCCTCCAGCGCAAACTGCATGCCCTGGCTACCCGTTACAGCAATAAGCCGCCGTACGGCCACCGCCCGCTCTGGGGAGGCCAGACCTGGCTGACCCTTCTTGGCCAGGAGACCGTCGAGATCACCGAGGACGACAGCCCATTCGTCATCCAGATCTTCAGCACCATACGCGTCGGCAACGGAGTACATGCGCTGGTGTTGCTGTTTGGGTTGCAGCAGTCCTTGGTCGGCTGTGTCGCGTGTGGACTGGAAGGGTACAGCCTGGGTTGTAGCTTTATCGACAGGGGTTGCAGGTGGCATGGCAAGAGTTGCAGGCTGCATGGACGATGCTGGGGCAATGACCTGCATAAGAGCGGAGCCATGGCCGCCATAGATCGCAGGGTCAGGAAGGACGCCGGTTGTGGCGCTATTTCGCACGTTGCTGGGCTTGGCCATGCTGTTCTGCAAGGGCGAGTAAAACACCTCCTCGCCGTGAGGTGGCTTGGCGGGGAGCATTGCGGCCGTGAGGTTGTTGGCTGATGGTGTGTCGCGGACATGAGCAAGGCTGGTGAAACCACCAACACTGGCGCGCTGAGCAGCAAGCCTAGCTTGTGGTTGAGGTGCGACATTCTGCAGGCACACGCGTAAGAAAGGTCGAATGTCAGAGCTAGCGTCGAAGCAAGTTCGACGAATGTCAGAGCTAGCGTCGTAGCAAGGGCATACCTTCCGCCTGCGAATCAAGCATGTGACGAACACATAGGCTGTGACTCCTAGGACAAAGCCGCAGCCGAGCCCAATGCCAAGCCAAGCTCCGCCTGCCAATCCGCCCATCTGGGCATCATCGTGGGCCTGCAAATCCCAGCGCAATGCCAATTTGGTATGCAACATACTGTGTAATATACTCACGATTTGCTTATTAGGTTGCAAACCTACACCCAGCAGAATGCGGGCCATTCTCGCTGCGACAGCTCCAAGATCTGCACAATTAAAATATGAACAGGAGATGTCCTTTTTAGCGTCAGAAGGCTGTGAGCTAAACAGGTTTGATTCCGTAACAGCTGAATATGTATTTCAATGGCATAGCTGTCTTGGATACGACAACTTTCTAATGCGCAGCAGGCACAGCAGGAAGGGATGAATAGTAACCCTAGTTTACACCGACAACTTCATCAGAACAATGAATTGACGATTCTCAGAATGAATGGTCTTTATGCAAAGGCTGCCCTTGATTTGATTTAAAGCCTGAAATTGCAGGCCTGTCACGTTATTTCTACCGCTTGACAGCGGTAATGACCAGTAGGGCAACGATATTATATGAAACAGGTCGCTTAGACCTGGTATGCGCGTCGATCCGCGAGCGACGTTGCGGTGGATGAAGCGCCAGCCTTCAGTTTATGCACAAACCTACCGTAGGAGGGGTTGGGAAAACCACACGCTACGCGTTTTTCGGCTTGTCGGCTTGCCCAAAAGAGGAATTGTCTTAGTCTGTAGTGGGTGCGCTTGAGGGTGCTGCAGCAAGGTTCTATGTCTGTTACGGCGTTTTGACCGCTGTTCTATGCTTGCTGCTTCACGTTGTCATGCTTCCTGGGATGCGTTGGGAAGATGTTGTCGGAAAAGACAAACACGGCAATACAAGCAACATTAACATGCTCTTCGACCTCATGTCCCTCTTCCCTTTCCTCTCCCTCCGCTTTCTTCTCGCCCTCCTTTCCCTCCTCTCCCTCCTCTCTTTTCGCTCCCTCCTTTCCCTGAACGCGTCTCCTCTCCTCTTCCTATCCTCTCTCCTCCTCTCCCTCCTCTCCCTCGCCCTACTGTGAATTCTTTTGCTCATTAATCTTGCAGATGAACAGCCCGGTTTTAATGCGAAACTCCGTACACATCTGTTCCTGCAGTTCTCGAACACAACGTTCATTATCACTATAGTTGCTTTTAATTACTTCTTCTTCTTCTTACTTGACGCTTCACTTTGCCATTTTTCCGGTTGTCACATCCCATGTGTCTGATCGATTTGCGTCATGGCTCAATCGCCGCACGCCTCGTCGTGAGTTTCCGTTTTTGGGAGCTTGGCCGTTAGGAATAATAGGCCGGCTGGTCGGCGAAGGGATGAGCGCACTTGTAGTGTCTATGACAATGGGTAGGGTTTCGCTTCGTTAGGTGTTAATGCGTGTGACCGCGTACCCTGCCTATGCTCCGTATTATGAGTGTTGATAACAAGCGCGGGTTGGCAGGATTAGTTCATGACATTTGGGTTCGGCGCTTATCTGTGCTAATTGTTGATTTTTTGATCTGGACTGGCTTGGCCCTGTCCTTGGTCCCTTCACTGGCTAAGCTTTGAGGCAGCGAAGATGGTGATCAGGCAAGGCCAAACGCAAACGGTACGACCTGCTTGACATCAGTGTTTTTCTTTTCAATTTTGCCGGTGAATTTTCCATTCCGAACGGAGGAATAGGTTTTTTGTCGCGGGAATAAAAGCATTCCGAATCTGTAAGGCCCCCCCCCAGACCCCCCCGATGAGTTACAGTTTACTTCGTGCAAACGCCGTGGGGAATGCCGCAACACGCGTCACCACAATCTCTCAAACACTGATCGAATAGAGTTCGTTCACCATCGTTCGTCTTGCATCACGTTGAAAGATAACATTACACGACTTTCCGGGTTGCAAAAGTAATGATGCATAGCAGCAATGAACCGGAACCGCCAAACGCAGCCTGTTTCCTGGACCATCGCGATTGTCTCCATATGACGAACGTTGATGTTTGGCCCGCTCGCTGTTGACAACCGGAGTGGCGTCATTGTCGTCGGCTGGCTGCAGCATTGCGCCCACATTCCCTACGACGATCAAGTTGACATGCGGCCATCACCAATATTCGTCACACAGTTGCAAAACGATCTCCGGGCCATCACCAACTGCAAGGATCATTGCAAGAATCATTTTAGGAACTTTTTTAGGCCGTCGCCAAAGTTTCAGTCACCTACTTTTACTGGCACTACGGTGCGCTGCAGGCGTGCACATTCCCTTCCACGATTACCACCCCAAACCCACGTAGGTGCGGAATAAGGTAAAATCTTAGGAGCTCCAGGAGCTGAGGTGTGTGTCACTGTGGCTCACGTTCTATGGTTGGGTGCTCCCCTGCCTAAGTCACCAGTGTTAGGTCCACGTCGAGTATCCATGCGCGGCCCCTATCCGTGTTGCCAGTATTCCGAAACTGCCACGTGGCATGGTGGCGTTTGGCATATGGCCCCAACCATTGGTCCGATCCGCCCGTATGCACACATCGTAGGTCGGTGGCACATAGGCATTACACCGGCGAGGCTGGATAGGCTCCGGGCCAGTAGAAGAGCCGGGCTGTCCAAGCTGCGCTGCGCAAATCATTTTCGCATCAGAAACCAGCAGTGAAACTAGAACCTTAAGATCGCATATTAGATTTAGTTGAACTATGGTGTTGCTGGCTGGGCGCACTAAGGTTAAGGAGATTGCAACTAAGTAGTTCCTCGTTCATTTCGGTCGTATTGAAGCCTGCGAGCTGCATCCCTACCGATGCGTCATCACATGACGCGAATCGATTGAAATTATATTCAGCTATTTGTTACAAAGAACTTGGAGGAGCAGCGCGAAGGAGTTTTTCTCGGCCGGTAGAGATAGTACCTTTCAGGGCCATCATCTCCGTTAGTTACTTAGCTCTCTGTGTCCGCACTCGCAAACCCAATCGAGATATGGCGTAGATTCTTGCATGCCGCATTCTGTGCCGCATTCTGTGCCGTATTTGGCCGTATTAGGACAGGAAATTTGACTTCGTCCAATAACGTAACCATGAACTTGCGCTAAACCCTATCGAATCCTTATCCTTACTAAACAGCAGATGACCTTGTTCCGCTCTCGCTAGCAGTGTAGGTAGTTTGTGATTGCACAGAAGCCATGCCAAACCCTACAGCATTTGGCAACCTCCAGGATGCTGCACAAAATTGCACTATCTGTGCTTAACGCTTCTTGCGTGACGCAGCATGAGAGAACCAACTGGTGCTCAATTACGCTGATGAACGGTGGCCTGTCGGCTTGCCAGTTAGTGTACTCGTCCCGGTGACCCTGTTCAGCTGAACATCAACAGGGTTGTCCATTCTCCGGCGTACAGCGGACAGTAGTGTCTGTCGCCTGCTTAAAGCTGTAGTCGTGTGCGTAGGTGCGTGCACTTCAGTAGCCATGTCAGCTGGGTGGTTGGTTTGAGCGCAGCGGCGGGCTCACTTTTCATTCCCCTTATGTGAATTGTCTGAAGCGCCATATGAATGGGATGTCAGCTGCTTCATGCCATGTGCGTGGCGTGAGGTTCGCCTGTGGGTTGTGCTTGACGCGCCTTGGGCGCTTGACCGCGCCTCCGTGCGATTTTCGGGACCGTTTTTCCTTCCGTTTGTTAGAGCACTCAGCTCCCCCGCAATTTTATTTCCCAGAAAAACGTTTTCACATGCAGTTTCCTAGTAACCCCTATGGCATGAGAGCAGCTACCGCCCAGTTTCTAAAACCAAGGGTATCTGTTAAATACCGTTTCTATCGGAATCGGCCGCAACCCAGCTTCAGTGCAAGCATGCCTTGTAGCTTTTTTCACTTGCAATGAAAATCACTTCTGAAACTGGCCTGTTTAGCTGTAGACGTACCAAGGTGAAAATTTAAGGTACGAGTACCTTTTGGTTATCAATATCGGAGACTGTGGACATTTTTGTTGCTGCCGCTCCAGCCATTCACACGACCTCCTCCTTTGCCATTTGAACAGGCAGCACACTCTTTAAATTAATTATTTGTAAGTACTGGAACACACGCTTCTCAGCACGCTTTTAAGAACATTACATAACAAAACATTTATCGCACGTCGCTGCTGGCTGCTGTGTACGAGCTATATTTTGCAGCTAAATCTATTTTAGTCCCCTATTTTTATCAGCCAATGCGTTATGGCTAGCAAAATGTCGCGTCGGCTGCCGTTCGCGTCTATTAGATTTCGAATGCCGTCTTGTGGTAGCTCGCAGCCGGGTTACATGACGTTTGGTGTAGTGATACCCCGCGGGGAGATGTACCGTAATGTGCGGCAGTAGTATGCCGCACTCACGCGCCGCAACCTCACGGTATAGACGTAGCGGGCGTTGCGGCTAAGGCCGTACAGCCGCAGCAAGCGTAGCGTTATAAAGCCCATCCTCGTCGCCCCAGATTCATTTACAACGTAGAAAGTTTTTCCTTCGGCGGCATATTTGGTTAAGGTGGTCTCAGCGACATCGACATTCAACGCCTCCAGTTAAAACCGCAGTCCTTGTAAATTTTCACGTTTCGCACATCTCGTCTCGACATATGTGGCCTCTCAGCGACTCTCTTTGGAAGGGCCGGTGTCGACTCGCTTGGCCGCCATTACAGCTGCTCGCAGCAGTTGCAGCAGCAGCAGGAGTAATCCTTCTTTCGCGCCCGCAACTTACGTCAGGCCAGAATTGCCGGTGGCGCTTGTTTGACGAGAATGATTACGAGGTGCAGGAAATAGCAACCGTCATTCGGAAGCAAGCTGATGGGAGCGTTCTATCCGGAGTCACGTCCAAGTTCATGCTGACCTTGCCAGATACCCCCTCAGATTACGACCAGTATGTTAACAACACTCCTATCTGGACTCACACACCAATGTCCAGCGGGCCCGTTGCAGAGGCTGTCTACATGACGGAAACAGAGTTCAAAACTGCTTATCCAAGCAATGCACCGAGTTGTACTGATCCCAACGACTTGTTGGCCGGTACTCAATACTACTACTCGGATCCCTCGTATCCAATTAATTTTTGGCCAATGATTGAGTTTATGACTGATCCGTTAGGTACAGCTCTCACAAACAACCCGTGTCAGGTGCAGAAGGTGTACATGATAATCAAATTTATCCCCGATACCAATACGTATGTCCCGTACTGGGTCGCTGGCACGTGGGTAACCGCCAGCACTCCCAGCATCACCTACTGCCCCAACTCGCCATTCAACTGGGGGTTTGCTACACTCAAAGTGAGCTGCTGTCCCGAACCGCCGCCACCCAGTCCGCCGCCTAACCCGCCGCCACCATCGCCACCCCCATCACCTCCCTCTCCATCACCACCATCACCTGCACCTCCCTCTCCATCACCACCATCACCTGCACCTCCCTCTCCATCACCACCATCACCGGCACCTCCCTCTCCATCACCACCATCACCGGTACCCCCCTCTCCGCCGTCTCCACTACCACCGTCGCCGACACCTCCATCACCATTACCTCCGTCTCCATCACCACCACCTCCCCCCTCGCCATTTCCCCCATCCCCTCCCCCACCGCCGCCGCCACCGCGGCAAACTGGATCTCCTCCCCCGCCTCCTTCGCCGTTGTCTACGTCCCCCCCTCCACCTGCAACCTCTCCTGCTCCACTCTCACCACCGCCATCCGCAACCCAATCTCCACCGCCATCCGCAACCCAATCTCCACCGCCATCCGCAACCCAATCCCCACCGCCATCCGCAACCCAATCCCCACCGCCATCCGCAACCCAATCCCCACCGCCATCCGCAACCCAATCTCCACCGCCATCCGCAACCCAATCTCCACCGCCATCCGCAACCCAACCCCCACCGCCATCCGCAACCCAATCTCCACCGCCATCCGCAACCCAATCTCCACCGCCATCCGCAACCCAATCCCCACCGCCATCCGCAACCCAATCTCCACCGCCATCCGCAACCCAATCTCCACCGCCATCCGCAACCCAATCTCCGCCGCCATCCCCAGTTCGATTCTTGCCTCCTCCTCCATCCCTCAGTCCCCCGAAAACCCCGCCAATTCAACCCAAGTCACCAAAGGCACCAAAGGCGCCCAAGGCACCCAAGCTGTCATCACCACCACCGCCATCTCCACCACCACTCGCGAATGATTTCCTTGTACAGAAGTTCCCTTTCTCTTCCTGCAATGCGCGTGACGTCAATCTGACGCCGTACCGCATGTCCTCACCGGAAGGCCCGTACAACACGACCACGTCGGATGCCACGTACTGCGTTCAGTTCGCAGCCACCGCGGCCACTGATGGCACGAGTCCATGTGCGGCGATGGACATTAACCGAATTGAGATCATCGTCAGTAAGTGCTGAGGAAAGCAAAGATTTTCCATCTGCTGAGGAGTTTGGTGAAGTTTGAAGCTTGTATGGTAAACTTCTGCTCCGGAAGAGAGTTTTACGGCAGAGTCGGTCGGTCAGCCAAGGGTGCACCCCAGATATGATTAGAAAATAATATCTCTGCCCCCTTTTGTAAACATGTTATAATAATATATGGTATGTGCCACTGTCTAGGTAGGCGCACTCAATATGGCTCCAGATACATACCAGTAGCCACCGTAGCAGCGTGTTATCTGCACATGCCGTGCTAGTGACCTGGTCCCGGTGACAACGCCGATGTGCGACTTTCATATCTCCGCTGGGACGTGCTGCGTGCAAGTGTGGGGCCTGATGTGGCCGGCGAAATTCCAGCTAGGTTTTCGTCTTTACTGCACCTTGCACCGAGTGGTCTTGCCGTTTCCCACTTCGAAGCCAGCAACAGTAGCCTAGACTTATGCTGAAAGACTTCAGCAGAGCCATCTACAACATTGGGGCGTGTCTATTTTTTTTCAATCAAGGCCAACGACCTCCGTGGCGCGTTAGCTATTGGTTCGCTTTGGATCCCCATGCGTATTGTTTCATGCGTTTTTCTTCCTCGTCTGGTTATTTCTCCGCCGGTTTCTTAATTTCTCTGGATGTTTCAAATCTCCAAATGCTTGCCATGGCGGGCACCTGCAAGTAAGGCCTTATTGATTGGCGAGCGAGCTCCGTCTCAGCAGCCTATAAGTTTGGGGTTGCTGGTACAAGGGTGAAGCGTCAAAAATCCGTAACATCAAGAAGGAATAGACATATAAAACAGCAGGTGGCGATTATCTCCCTCATACTATCGTAGGAAAGTCAATCCGTTGGAAACTGTTAGGTCGTAGGTGCGATCCCAGGTCGAGGGGCAATCATTCAGTTCGGAGGGGGGTTCCAAGTCCGTCCCCGGCGGGTTACAGGCCCTCTGCCATTTCAGCAACCCCGGGGTTTCTGAGTGAATGCCTGAGGACGCACTTAGTAAAACACCCAACTGGTGTTGCCAACGGACGGTTTCGGAAGACTGGCAACACGAATAGGGGCAACACAGGCATAGACCTGCGGCTAACAAAACACCAATGATCGCTAGTAACTTCCCAACCTTCTCATCGCTGGTCCCCTTAATACAAGCCGGGGTACTGGAGTAGACATTAGTTTTTCCTCCCTTTCGTCCCTGCTCTGAGTCCACCGACCTTCGTGACGTGTAGTGGGCTCCCCGCTTTCTGGCCATAGGTGATGGCCTCCTGGCGAAGAGCAACGTATATTATTAAATCATACGGCCCTCTTACTTATTTATAGGGTTTTTAACTTCCTTAGATGGAAATTTTATCTCAACTAAACTTCCTTAGAAACTAATTAGGTTTAGTTGAGAAGTTTAGAAATCTCAACTAAGGTTTCGGCTACTTTCTGGCGGAAGGGTCGTTTAGGCTGAAACTTAGGAATTAGAATCTCCATTTGCTGCTTATTAACGATAATTAAATAGTTTTGCGCTGCGTTGAGTGTGCGCAGCGAAAGGTGCTCAGTTGGCATACGGGGCAAGGTACCCACGGGACACCACCGCCTGCAAGCCACTGCACACCCATGGAAACGAGCATTACATAGCAAGTAGCAAGCCCCTAAACGCTCCAAAGAACACAGCGATTGGCAAACTGCTGAACTGCACACCACGACACCAGGCACCTCGTGCCAGTCGATGTACCCCGCCGCCCATTACACACACGCGCTCTTCTCATCCTCTGCAGCTAGCAGAGTCATCACCACCTCCTCGTCCGACAGGCGGCTGCCCTTGCCCTTGTTGGAGTCGTCGTTCTGGCGAATGTAGATGAGCTTCTCCGCCCGCTCCTGCGACAGGCGGTTGCGAGCCTTGCTGAAAATGTTGCCCCACAGCGACCAGTTGCGCTCAGCAGCGCAGGTGGTCGTGTGCATGCGCAGTACACGGTCCGCCACGTTTGCCAATGCTGGGTACTGCACGGACATGTGCTGCGACCAGAACATTAGCCGCGCTTCAATGCCCGCGATCTGCACTGACACTGTGGTGGACTTGCCTCTCCACAGTCTTGCGCGCGGTCAGTACCTCCATGTGCTCCTTGCAGTCGTCGGGGACGCCCATTAGGGTGAGCGTGCCCCACACAGACAGCTTCATCTAAAGTTTCTCAGGACTACCTAAGGTCGCTCCTAAGGTTTCGGAGCTGCCGTACAACTAAGGCGCCAAAAAATTCCATCTAATATCTCAGTTTAGTTTCTAAAGTTTCTCATCTAAGTTAAGAAGTTTAGGTTTAGATGACTTCCAACCCTACTTATTTACTTAGTCTCAGCCTCCGGTGCACTATCTGCGGTTCACCTAGACTATCTATCTAACTACCGACGTCCCAATCCTATTCTCCGGACCTGAACTAATTCCTGCCTATGCATGGTGCGCATGCTTACGTACTCGCAGATCCGGCTTGCGTGGACGATACTCCCAAGACCGCCACCATCAATGGAGTGGCTGTGTCTCCATTGTACAGCAGCAAGAATTGGAAGGGAGATACATACGGTGTGATGACGATTCGCCGCCTGACCAGTGTGTTCCCGGTGACCCCCCCCGAGGGCCTGAGACTGTGCTTAGCTCTGCGCTCACTTAGCAGTTGTGGCACACCAGCGGGGCTGTGTTACGGGAGCAGCTGCGTGTATTCGCTGTCCAATGATAACATGAGCTGCTGCCCCACAGGCCAGCAGGCGCTAGCGTGAGGCATGCAGCATGGCATGCCGGAGGTGCAAGGGTTTTAGGGTTTTAGGGTTTTTTAAAAACCCTTTAACTGACACTGTACATGTGCCATCTACTGTACATGTGCCATGTGCTGTACATGTGCCGTGTGCTGTACATGTGCCATGTACTCTTCAGTGTGTGTTATCTGGCATGCGCCTGACAGCATCGAGATTATGGGTACTATACCAGCAACTCATTAAATGTGCATTTCATTGGTGTTGGACATTATTGCTTGCTTGTCATAATTACCATGCGGGAGCGGAAGCAAGCAGCAGCTTGGCTTTCGGTCTATCCTATGTATGTATGTTACTTTTGCATTTGAGGCCTCTGCTAATGCGTTGGTAACCCCGGCAGGGTGGTTGGTTACCGTTGGCATACCGTACATCTATACTCTTGTTGGCTGCGGGGCAGTCGGATCGTAAGTGAACTAGCGGTGCTGATGTAAATATGTGGTAGAGGCGTTGCCATTCGTTGTGGATGATGTGTTTATGTATACGTAGGCGCACTTGCAGCCACGTATTCGTACTGGTGCCCGTATACATACCTCGATGTGTTGGCATAAGTGGCTGCTGTGGCAGCATGTTAACTTGTTGATCGCAGTGCTTGGGGCGGTTTCGCTCTCCTGGGTTACCGCCATGCCACGTGAATTCTTCAGTGTGGCGGATGTTAAAGATGTTTGTGTCTGCCGGTCCAGACTAGTCAAGCGATCACATACCAACGTTTCGCAACAAGATGCAATGCCGTAATCCTTTCTTGGGTACATTCACGCTTGCCTGCGTAACCAAGACGGTCAGGGGAGAGCTCCGGAACGGCCACCTTTTCCATTTCGATCCTCAGCAATACAGCAGCTTTTGACGCCCAGCGGGTAAATTTTGGTGCGCTGTTGATGAAGTAGCTGGCCGCTGAAAAGGCCTCTCGAGATGCTGGTGGAGCGCTTAAAGCATAGTTGTAGACGTTATGTGTGCCGTACTGTGTACCAGCTACTACAGTTGATCACGTACGGACGAGGGGCCCAATAAGCTTATTAGCTATTTGCCTTTATAATTATGCAGCCCGCTTTGGCTGAGCAGCATGGGACCAGGCAGTCAGCAAGCCCCCTTGATGCAGGCTGGACGGCGGACACCATGCATGTATGTGCGTGCAGTGTGGATTTATATGTAATGTAAATGAAAAAATGCGTACTGGCGTATGCACAGAGAATCGGGATTTTCAATCTCAACTTAGACTTACATGTTGATAATTTGGTCCGCTTAAGAAGTCAGGCTAGCGCACCACAACCACACTCGTCGTACGCACAAGTTCTAGCTCCGCTAACTCCGAAGTTACGACATGGTCATGCACGTATTCCGAAAGCTCGTCAACTAACTTCATAACATTACACAATGTATGCAATTTATGCAATGTATGTGTGTATGTATGTACATTATACTTTGGGCCGTGAAACCGAAACGTGAAACCCAAACCGAAGTGCCAGGGTCGGAAGCACCAAGCACAAATCGATTCCTAAAACGCGACGTAGCTGCTCACATCATGACGACGGGTGATCGCGTTCACTCCGCGTTAGTTCGCGTAACGGTGCGAATCTTAGCGTTAGGTGCGAATGAGCATGCTTTTGTAACGCAAAAAGCTAACGCACAACGGCTATGGAAAAGCAGAAATTGGCCCTTCTGGCTGCATTTTTCAAAATTTCATGATTTTCAGTTTTGAAAGGTTCATATGGGAATAAATTTGCGTCGTTTTGGTCGGCTTGAACAATTCGTCTGTGCGTATGTGGAAACGCAAAATAACGCGAAGCATATCCAAACCAAAGGGGACAGCGTGGCCAAAGACCTGCTTTTTATACAGCAGGCCTTCGGTTGTTATGTTGTAGTTGTTGTCCCCGAAGGGGAAGACATCGTCCCAACTTACGTAAACCTTTATTATTTAGCAAAACTGTAATACGCGGATGTGTGGCAAGGCGATATGCATGCGATTACGTACTGCGATTCATGCGTGTGGGGAGGCAATGCGTAAAGCAATACGCGTCCAATCGCACATCAAACGCACACAGTCCGCAAGGCTATTCGCATGCAAACACACGCTGCGTTTCATGCGTATGGAGGCTCATTGCGTCAAGCTAATGCGGCCTAAGCTAACACACACCAAACACACACGATTTGCCTTTGATTAAACGCATGAAATTACAATTGGCCTGCGATATTGTATGTGTTGGTCGCATACTCAGTTCGTTAAG